TCAGTCAGTATCATTGTTATGCTATAGTTTCTAATATTTTCATGTCTACTTGTAGGTAAGCAACTGCTTATTAATTAGGTATTTTTGCGTATTTTGGACTTTTAATAAAGATCTTGTCCATGAGCTCTGGGAACCTTAGTTTGGTTTGTTCTGATTGTAACTTCAGAGTGTATTTAGGAAATAATTGACACTGAACACCGAGTTACTCTTTGTAGGATCTGAATAGGAATGTGTATCTGTGTAGCTCAAGCAGAGATGATTCATATATACCTGATCACCTGGAACAAACTTTCATTCAGTGGTATATCTATGGTCCTGGTGATTTGGTGTGTGACTTCTAAGGCTGGCTATAGTTATATGTATCTGTCGGGGAACACACCCAAATTGTGTAAAGCTGGGTTTGTGAGGACTTCTCTCGGAAACCATAGAATGATTAGACCATTGTATCATTAGACTGTGCTACATGAACATTATTGGAGATAATATAATCATGTACAGACAAAACGTTGGAGCATATCTTTAAAAACATTAAACCGATGAAAACCTTATTTTCTCAAGCTTGTCATTGTCAGGAATGTCGTCCATCATGATATCAGTTCAGTGATAGATCTTTGATGTTGATACTCTGTCAGTGCTAAGGACCCGTGAAGATCCGGGGTAAAATAGGTCTTCAGCAACCCATTCTTGTCATAAAAGGCGACTATGCTTGTCGTAAAAGGCGACTAACGGGATCGGGTGGTCAGGCTTGCTTACTTGGTTGACACATGTCATCGGTTCCCAATTGCCCAGATCGATGCTCATGCTGTTGATCACTGGCTTGTCTGGTCCAGACTCGATTATTTACAGACTGCGACCGTATAGCTGGAATATTGCTGAGTGCGGCGTAAAACTAAACTCACTCACTCACCTGTCAGTGCTAAGGGTCAGTGGGGTAGCCTAGTGGTTAAAGCGTTCGATCGACAAACTGAAGACCAGGGTTCGATTTCCCACATGGGTTCAATGTGTGAAGCCCGTTTCTGGTGTTCTCCACTTTGATATGCTGAAATATTGCTAAAAGCGGCATTAAACTAAACTCACTAAAGTGCAAATTTATAAATATCGATACTTCATTATGTTTAAGAGGGACAGCAACAAGACTCATAGAATTTTTAACACATAATGGATTAGCCTGCTTCATATTTTGCATTAAGTTAAATAATTGAAGATCTAGATAGAATTTTTGTGATATTCACTTTCAAAATACTTGTTATTAATGGATGTGTCCATATTAAACTTTCCAATCACGTGACACCCATTGTAAACATGTGTATTGTTAGCCAAGTGGTTCAAACCTTTGCCTGGGTTTGATTCCCTACATAGGTATAAAGCACCAAGCACCAAAATGACAGAATTATAAGTAAACATTCACTCTGGGTTGTGTTAGCCTTTTCCTCCGTCACTTGGTAATGTGTTACAGACTCCCTTAGATAACAAAGGGAAGTAATCCTTACCTAGATTATACCTGGTCCTGCTCGATTACCTCCCTTGACTCGCTCTTCTGCTGGTAATAACCAATACGTGTCATATTTTCCTCTGTACTCAAGCTGTGTTCAATCAATCGATCAAATTGATCGATCAATCGATCAGTCAGTCGGTCAAGTCACCCATGAAGATCCGGTTAGAATTGGTCTTCAGTTTGTTTATTGTTTAACACTGCACTCAGCAATATTCCAGGGCCTCCTTTAGCGAAAACACTAAGGTGATCGTAAGTCACTCAGGTAACCTTAGTGCGATGTTAAAGAATGGGAGTTAAGGTTAACCCTTTAGTAAAGGTTGCCTCGTAAAAGGAGCTCAGTGCAATACAGTGATCAACAGCATGAGCATCGATCTATGCACATTGGGATATGATGACATATGTCAACCAAGTCAGAGAGCCTGACCACTTGATCCCGTGATGTCGCCTTGTCGACAAGCAGTTGGTTACTAAAGACCAATTCTAACCCTGATCTTCAAAGGTTGGGGTTTTTTAAGTTGAGGTGCTGTGATATAACCTCCAATTATATGAATACTGATCTAAGCAGCACTGAGCCTAGACTTGCACAAGTCTCTAAGGTAAGAATTATTAGTTTAAATGATAATTTCTAAAGATAAATGAATATCCTAGTAACATACTGGTACTTTCGTGAAAATCCGGGTTAAAATGAATCTTCAGTAACCCATGCATGTAAAGAGGCTGACTAACGGGATCGGGTGGTCAGGCTTGCTTACTTGGTTGACACATGTCATCGGTTCCCAATTGCCCAGATCGATGCTCATGCTGTTGATCACTGGCTTGTCTGGTCCAGACTCGATTATTTACAGACTGCGACCGTATAGCTGGAATATTGCTGAGTGCGGCGTAAAACTAAACTCACTCACTCACTTTAACATTCTGGCATCCCCAGATGTACTGTCTGTTTTTCTAGACTTGCCTCTTTAAGGATGGAGCTGCTATACATGGGTTTAGCCTTTAGTTTAGCCATGGAGCAAGGCTAGCCCAACTCACTGGCTTTGATTGCACATTAATCTGACATGCTGTGTTATAACTGAAATACTTTTCAAATAGTCATTAAACCTGATGTTGCAGTAACACTGATGACCTTTTGCCACACAGGGGAGGGCAGGGGAGATCAGAATGGGGCCTGTGCATCCATCTGTCACATATTGTTTCTGGAGCATAACTTTGAAACAATTTATTATTCTATAATGAAACTTTGCAGCTTTGTTTTGAACATATAGCCCATATGTTTACCAATTATATAATATTGATAAGTTTAATGGTATATTGACTTTCTCAAATTTGAATGTTGTGAAATATTTGTCTGCCTTTGAAGTGATAAGATGTAGGAATCAGCTCTCGATATCTGTACATCAGGCATGGGGCCGCACTCAGCTATATGGCGGTCTGTAAATAATCCAGTCTGGACCAGACAATCCAGTGATCAGCATGAGCATCGATCTGCACAATTGGGAACCGATGACTTGTGTCAACCAAGTCAGCGAGCCTGACCACCGATCCCGTTATTAGCCTCATACGACAAGCATGGGTTACTGAAGGCACGTTTTAACCCGGACCTTCATGGGTTCATGGGGCTTGAAGTATTTACGTAACACTAAACAAGTACCAATCAATGATACTATTTGATGGAAATACAGACTGGAGCCTTTCAATGTTATTTTTATATTAAAAAAATGACCTTTTGTTTCCTTGTCTTTTCTTGAGCATGCTGTCTACAACAGCGATACCTATTTCAGGAACTAATGTCACTTGAATGAAACTTTGCTGGTTTATCTAAGGGATACTTATCAAGACAGTTAAAACAAATTAGCAACATGAATATTATTTTGTTCCTGTTAATACCTATATATTTTTACTGAGTTAATACCTCCCTTAATGCTTTTTAACATTAAGTTGGACCTGTGGGACCCAGGTTAGAATTGCAACTCGTGCTTGTCGTAAGAGGCGACTGACAGGGTTGGGTGGTCAGGTGCTCATGCAGTCTAAGTAAACTTCGCCTCAGTAATATTCGTTACACTGCTATATACTGAGTCTAACAAAACCTTGTGGAAGGTCGCGTCAGGTAACCTTTGAGCGACCTATGACCGCCCAATCAAACGCGAGACAACAGAACAGATTTAACCAATCAGACAATGACTACTATTTAGGGTTCGGCGGGACTTACAAAATGGATTTACTCTTCCCTAGTCGCCAACACTGATCTCACAACAAATGAAAACCCTCATAAGAGATATATGACCTGCAGAATATGTGCTTTTGGGTTTCTGTTGACATGGTTACCATTAGCTAATATTTCCACAAGCTGACATCCTTGAATACTGACAAAGCGCTATTTCAGTGACTGTTTACTCACGGTTGTGGGGTGCTCCATGTGCATCACTCGGAAGCGATCGTACGGAAAATAGCATTCGGAATCGTTCGGGTACAAATCTTTTCGAGGTAAAAGTTCAAAAGGGATGCGCGAATGTCAACTTTCGCGATTTGGTTAGCTGTGTTCTGATTGGTCAGTTGAAAAGGTTACCAGACGCGACCTTCCACAAGGTTCTGTTAGACTCAGTATAGCAGTGTAACGAATAATACTGAGGCTAAGTTTCCTTAGACTGGTCTCTTGATGTTGATCACTAGATCGTCCAGTACAGAGTTGATTATTTACTGCCTTATGGCTGGAATATTTCTAAGTGCAGCATTAAACAGCAAATAAAAACCCCCAGAACATTTGATATTATTCACTACCATGTGAACAAACAAAATTCTAATGTGCCCCATGGTGGGGATAATAATGTTTCGTTCAAAACGGAAAACACAATAATAATGCTTCCCTTCACCACAGGAACAGTTGAACAGCTGACCACTTTTCAGGTGACAGCTGTGGTTTGGCGGATTTGATAGTATGGAGTAGTAATTATACGATAGAAAGGGTCGTGCGGATATTTCTCCTGTTACATGCATTTGTAGTCTGTCTCCCACACTCAAGAGAATATATATTAGGGAGTCCTACTTAAGTCTAGAATGATTTGGCAAGTCTAGATTGCCTCACCTCTAGCCTGAATTTAAGGATAGTTCTGCTCTCAATTTTGATTTTAGTGGTAGATTCAGTAGATTTTGTTAGAATTAGAAACCTTATTTCAGGGGCGAAATATGTCAGTCTTGTGCATTTGATAGTCATTTAGCACTGCCCAAAATCTCATGGTTGAATCTTAAAGGGTACAACTTCAAGTGAACCATTCATCAAAACTGGACATGTCTTGATGGAACCCAACATCCATGCTGTTGAGTATTCAGGGCATTTCTGGTGTCCCCCGCCGTGATGTTGCTGGAATATTGCTAAAAGCGGCGTAAAACCAAACTCAGTCAGTCAGTCAGTCAGTATTCAGGGTCATAATAAAGAAGAAAACATATTGACTTGCATGAATATTTCAGAATTAGTAAACCCTTTTGACATTTTGTTTCTTTTTTTTTTCAGAATAAAATAAAGTAATCCAATATGTCTGCCAAGGCCATATATGAATCCAAGGGGAAGGAACTCTTGAACAAATTCCTGAATGATGAGGCTGTGAAGAACAGACTAGCTGAGGTGACGGAAGGAGTGAACTGGGACAAACTCACACAGGACAATCCATGGCTGCTGTCAGAGGTGGGCAGTGATTCTCAGTGTTTACATGTTTATTCATAAATACTTCATGGTTAGTATAAAGGAATAGAATAACAAACATGTCATGTAATTGCTAAAGTTGAAACATTAAATGATATTATTTGGCGGACACTGCTGAATACATAGTCCCCCGTTCCATGTTGCGGCAGGGGGCGATGTATTCAGCAGCGTCTGTACATGCGTACTTGCGTCCCGTTTCTTGTTAACATGATATCTCATGAACTGTTATACCCAATGCCTTCAAATTTTGTGACGGCCTACACTGGGGGATTATGCAGAAACAAATTGATTTGTTTGAACATATTTTCAAGGTCACAATGACACTTTGACCACTTTTCAAACTCTTGTTTACGCGATATATCGTAAAATATTGCAACCAATTTTAGCCTCCAAGCTCAAGAATATATTGCCATTTCTTAAAAAGTAATCTTCTATGTGATCAAAAGATGAAAACTAGTAAATACTAGAATGTTATATTTCATTCTTCTTTAGCTGCGTTGGACGTTGCCATGTTAGTAGCAAACACTTGTTTTTTATAAAGCCAAAAAGCAATACATAGCAAACAATACTGCTTATGGCCTAATGACAGTGTTGTAAGGCGCCATTGCAAAGTACATAAGTTACGGTATTGCGTGGCTTGGATATATTCCATTTTGCGTATCACTTAGGTAAACAATAAACTAGTTCCAAGTAAAAAAGTCCTTTGAAAATATTTTTAATATGTAATTCTAGTGGCCAAGAATAATGAATTGAATTCATGAAGGGATAGGGTTCAATTCAACGAATACTCGAGTGAATCATAATGGTCAAATAAACTATGTTTGTAACAAACATTCTTATAGTCAAATGTGTTTTTCTCAGCCAACCACTTGCTGTATATTTTAGTCCAAATGCATATAATGAACTGTGGTTATTTCAAACTAAAATAGCCTAGTGGTTAAAGCATTCGCTCATCACGCTGAAGACCCGGGTTCGAATCCCCACATGGGCACAAATTGTGAAGCCCATTTCTGGTGTACCCCGCTGTGAATTTGCTGGAATATTGCTAAAAGCGGCGTAAAACTAAACTCACTCACTCACTCACTCACTCACACTCTAAAATAAGTGGTCACTCTGAGCTCTATATACCTTAGTTTACTGTGCTATTTTTAGACTGGTAGTATCTTGGTGTGGGCACGCCAGATACAGTCAACCCCAAGGACCAACAGGAATATCAGATAAATATGTTGTGTGAAACAGAAATTCACTATACAATTATCCTCTGCAATGAGTGAAAGGTGCTGAACAGTTTTAATTGTCTTTAACAACACTTTTCTTCGGGCTGATAAGCCTGTCCTGCGAACAATTTAATTTTGTATGTAAATCCATAGGCATGTTTTTCATATATTTTCTGGAATAAATGTTATTGTTATCCATATGTGTTAAAATAAGTGATGACATATTTTCGATGCATAGCACACGTGTACTAAACCCTAGAGGCCATTTCATTGGCTGGTTGAGACAATCACATGATATGGGAATGCGGAACTACTTTTTTCATTCATAACTTTTTACTATGGATACAATGTTTACTACAACTTCAGTTATTCTCGTTCACCTCCATCTGACACATTCATCAACACTAATAAACACCTGAGATTTCAGTAAAAAATAACACATATCACATTTTTCAAGAGTTTGTCACATTTTCCATGTACAGTCAAGTCCCGTTAATCCGACACCGTCCATTGCACACCAAATTGTCGGATTAACAAGAATGTCGGATTATTGAATTCTAAGGACAGATCACGTCCATGGTCGAAAACAGGACAATCATGATTCATATCCCTGAAGTCACTGTAAATAATACTAAAACTATAATCAATTCAGAGTTCATGTATTTATTAGCCCACCTATAACATAAAAATGCACAACATTTATTAATGTCATTTGTAATATCAAACACCTGTATAAATTTTTATACTTAACCTTGTAAATTGTGTAACTCACTTTCTTTATCTTGAGTGACACGTCAGTGCATTCACGGTTAATTGATCATAGGCGCTGATCGCCTTAGTGTCGGATTAACGGGCCTAATTACTGTGTGATTACGACAGTCGGTTGTTAATTGGGTCCGTCGGAGTCGGAACACGGGACTGCCAGATTAACGAGACTTAATAGCGTTGATTCAGTTTGTTACCGACATAAGCGTTGGATAAAGCCAATTGTCGGATAAACGGAGGTCAGATTAACGAGACTTGACTGTATTTGTCAGAATTTGACTGTTTTAAATTGGTGCTACATTTTTAGTCCTACAACAGTTCATGTCAATTTGCAGCGACCTTGACCTTGCCGTATTTGTATTCATATGCTTCCAGGCTATATTTAGATCAGCTTTAACATTGAAACTGTCGGTAAAACATTATTTGTAATTAAAGCCTTCTGATGAGTAGGGGATATTAAAGAAATTAACACAGTCACGGATCGCTTAGATGTCATATGTATTTACAACACTCATGCCAGAAAAAAATATTTCAGTCACTCATGTTGTAAATACAGTATGACATCCACGCTTCGGTATTAATCTCTATTTACAATTGTTACAGGGATGGAGGTATATCACATTGAGATAATGTAAATTTATTGCAGAAATTTGTTAAACTTTACATGATATTTTGACCCATGAAGATTGATCTTCAGTAACCCATGCTCGTCATAAGAGGCGACTAACGGGATCGGGTGGTCAGGCTCAATGACTGGGTTGACATATGCCATCGTATCCCAATTGCGTAGATCGATGCTCATGCTGTGAGGTAGCCTAGTGGTTAAAGCATTCACTCGTTACGCCAAAGACCCGGGTTCGATTCCCAACATGGGTACAATGTGCGAAGCCCATTTCTGATGTCACCCGCCAAGATATTGCTGGAATATTGCTAAAAGCGGTGTAAAACTAAACTCACTCACTCACTGGACCAGTTCAGACACCCCCACCACACACACATGTTCATGCATATCACGATATAATAATAATCTAGAATATATTCTTCCATGCTATTATGAAAGTATTTTCAATTGCAGACCAAGCTGGTGGTGAAGCCAGACCAGCTGATCAAGAGACGTGGGAAGCTTGGCCTGATCAAGGCAGGTGCCAACCTGGCTGGTTGTAGAGAGTGGCTCAATGGCAAGCTGGGCAAAGACTTCAAGGTAAATGGCGACATTATCCATTTCTGTGTGATATAGTCAGTTTCACACACTGCTGTGTATATCTATATGTGGTAGCATTGCAAACCAAGAAGCGGGGTGCTTTCTGGGTAGTTTACTATAGGAGCACACTGATTGTCATTTTAGCACCCTGCATTGTATATCGCTATGTGTGATATAGTCAGTACAGCACACTTCTGTGGATATTGATGTGTGATATGTTGATATAGTGAGACAGCAGTAACAATATTCTATATATCACACTGCTGTGCTGTATAATGGTATGTGTGATACCGGACTTGCATACCACACTCCTTAGGACATTTTGTATATGATAGATCCAGTATACCACAGTTCTGTACTCCACTGTGTGAAATACCAGCATACCACACAGTAACAAAATGTGGACTATTTCCAGGGAATCTTCTAATCTTCTTATCTGCTGGCACTGAAAATATATACACATCCAATTAGTCAGCAGTTTATCACCCTGGATTCTGTGATAACCAAGTTGGCTCATGTTGAGGGATGGCCAAGTTAACATTAAGCCTTCTGTCAATACTATACAGTCACCACAGTAATCTGTCTGTACACCTCCATACATTCGTCTGGGGTGGTGGGGTAGCCTAATGGTTAAAGTGTTCGCTCGTCACTCTGAAGGCCTGGCTTCGATTCCCCACATGGACACAATGTGTGAAGCCCATTTCTGTGTCCCCTGCTGTGATATTGCTGGAATATTGCTAAAAGTGGCATAAAACCATACTCACTCACTCACTCACCATAAAATCGCCTGTCTCTTCCCACACGTGAAACTGGAATGATACCATTATGTTTTAATAATCCCAGAGAATTAACTCATAGTACTCTAAAGAAGTAAAAAACACTGGTGTATTGTATGATAATAGAAAATCTGTCCTGGCCTTGACGCGGCAACAAAAGTCTTATGAAAAATCAAGTGTTCTTCAACTTCTCTCAAGTAGTGTTTTACCAAGTACTGCGGTGCTTTTCGCTAAGTGTGGACACAGTCAGCAAGAATACATTTTGTCACACAAAATATCCTGGTGAAATGGAAAAGTTCTTTTATTGATTTTCTTTTCAACAATTTAGTTTGAAACACATGATCTCAAGAACATTTGATCATCTGTCTGTCTAATGAATTAAAATACACGTCAGACATCAGTCTACAGTAACACCCTAAAACACGGCAGACGTCAGTTCTACAGTAACACCCTAAAACACGGCAGACGTCAGTTCTACAGTGACACCCTAAAACACGGCAGACATCAGTTCTATAGTCACACCTTAAACCACGGCAGACATCAGTTCTATAGTCACACCTTAAAACATGGCAGACATCAATTCTACAGTAACACCCAAAAACACAGCAGACGTCAGTTCTACAGTAACAACCTAAAACACGACAGACGTCAGTTCTACAGTAACACCCTAAAACACGACAGACGTCAGTTCTACAGTAACACCCTAAAACACGGCAGACATCAGTTCTACAGTAACACCCTAAAACACGGCAGACGTCAGTTCTACAGTAACACCCAAAACACAGCAGATGTCAGTTCTACAGTAACACCCTAAAACACGGCAGACGTCAGTTCTACAGTAACACCCTAAAACACGGCAGACGTCAGTTCTACAGTAACACCCTAAAACACGGCAGACATCAGTTCTACAGTAACACCCTAAAACACGGCAGACATCAGTTCTACAGTAACACCCTAAAACACGGCAGACGCGTCAGTTCTAGAGTAACACCCCAAAACACAGCAGATGTCAGTTCTACAGTTACCCCTAAAACACGGCAGGCGTCAGTTCTACAGTAACACCCTAAAACAAGGCAGGCGTCAGTTCTACAGTAACCCCTAAAAACACGGCGGCAGACATCAGTTCTACAGTAACACCCTAAAACACGGCAGACATCAGTTCTACAGTAACACCCTAAAACACGGCAGACATCAGTTCTACAGTAACACCCTAAAACACGGCAGACGTCAGTTCTACAGTAACACCCTAAAACACGGCAGACGTCAGTTCTACAGTAACACCTAAAACACGGCAGACATCAGTTCTACAGTAACACCCTAAAACACGGCAGACATCAGTTCTACAGTAACACCCTAAAACACGGCAGACATCAGTTCTACAGTAACACCCTAAAACACGGCAGACATCAGTTCTACAGTTACCCCCAAAAACACGGCAGACATCAGTTCTACAGTAACACCCTAAAACACGGCAGACATCAGTTCTACAGTAACACCCTAAAACACGGCAGACATCAGTTCTACAGTAACACCCAAAACACAGCAGATGTCAGTTCTACAGTTACACCCTAAAACACGGCAGACGTCAGTTCTACAGTAACACCCTAAAACAAGGCAGACGTCAGTTCTACAGTAACACCCTAAAACAAGGCAGACGTCAGTTCTACAGTAACACCCTAAAACACAGCAGACGTCAGTTCTACAGTACCCCCTAAAACACAGCAGACGTCAGTTCTACAGTAACCCCCTAAAACAAGGCACACGTCAGTTCTACAGTGACACCCTAAAACACGGCAGATGTCAGTTCTAAAGTGACACTCAAAAACCTGGCACACGTCAGTTCTACAGTGACACCCTAAAACACGGAGACGTCAGTTCTACAGTTACCCCCTAAAACACAGCAGACATTAGTCTACAATAGCACAGCAGATGTCAGTTCCTGGTGTATTCCTCCCTACATGCCTGCGTGTAGCTCGAGCCGAGGCTAAATGGCATCATTTTGTTTGCCTTGACTTGCTAGAGGCTGGACAGGCAAATATTGATCTGCCACGATAAATAGTTTTACTCCTCTAACCTATCAACTTCAGAAACCAGGATAACTTGGACCTGAAAGTTGTTTGACATGCTGCACGCAATGACAGTCTAAATGTGATGGGCAGAGACTATTATGGAGCTGAAGTTGGAAGTGTATTTTCTGACATAAATGTCTGGCTAGAAGGCCAGGGAAACAGCTTGTAGATGGACATACTGGCTTTGTTTAATTTTGGATTGTTGGAATTCTGTTTCCATGCCTACAAACCTTGAAGCAATATCACAAACTTTGGGACAAAGAGTAACATTAATTTTGTGATGCAACCACATATGTTAACTGTCAGTGAGTCCCCTTCAGGAATGTTGGAAGGACAAAGTAAATTATACCAGTATGTATTTCTTAAAGAAAGATAGAAACACACTACAATAAGGTTGTCTAGGTTTGTTGTAAATGCGTGAACGGAGCAATGTTCCAGCTAGATGACGAAGGTCTGTAACTCAGACAACCACTGATTGAAATCATGAGCATCGAGCTATGGAATATTTGGATATGATGACATACATCAGCCGCCTTCAAGAACCTGACCATTCATCCTGTTAGCCGCTTCATACAATAAGTATGGGTTGCTGAAGAGTAATTCTAACCAGAATGACAGGTGCTTGTTTTTATGTATTTGGGAACAGTAAAAATGCATGAAGCAAGGTGTTTGAGTCAAGCAGTTGTTTTTTTTTATTTAGGGACTTTCTAAATGTTTAACATCAGGTTATGACAAGGAACCAATTGCAATTAATGCTTAATTATTCAAGTCATCAGTTGCATAAATGCAGTATAGCATTCTTAGGTAGACAAGTAAGTTCAAAGTATTGTTTACCATAAACAACAAGACCTGTGACAACTAAAACCACTGGCCCCTGGAAAATACATAGATGATGGGTTTGAAGTCCAGTCTGCATAATCTGAGTCTTGTAAAATTCAGGAAGAACATACTGACTGCCACTTTTATCATTAGAGATATGACAGGTGTAGAAAATTATTGAAATATTTTCTAGTCCTGAGAATGGACCATTGGCCTGCAGTATTGCTGTCATAAATGGACCAGCATAAATTAAAACTTAGAGAGGTAGTGCTTTTGTTCTAATAATTGAATTTCATACATCGCATACTGAATTAGTGATTGGTGTTATTATTATAGTTGTAACGAGCTCAAGGAGAGGTGCAAATACTTCAAGAAATGTTGTGAAAACAGGTGTGAGTGGATTGGAAACAATGTGCAGTGTTCATGGTGTAACGTTACAATATGCAACAGGTGTAATAGTGTATTATGTTGCATACTACTGATTGATTCCCAGGATATCTGGTAGCCAAAAATTGTAGACTCAAAGTTGAACATTGAAAGGTGAATGACGGTGTAAAACGATGTAGTTAAAGTAGTGTCCCCAGAGACCCACCACCAAGTTCGACATGAGGGAATTTTTCAGTCTGTAAACCTCTTTAGGTTGACAGCTGTGAAGTTGAGTGTAACAGTTAACGGGGAATCAGTCCATAAAAGAACTTGCTGTGAAAAACCCCCAAAGCAATGTGGTATAATTAACAATTGTATTGTAAAATACACAAATTACAAGTTCATACAAATCACTACAAAAGAATATTACACGGTATTAGAGCATAAAAATAGGTGTTTAGTGGCATTACAAATACAGAGGCAGAATAATACACAAGCAGTGATTACAGCAATAAAAGACAATGATTCACCTCACTGCAACATTGATGAAGTGTCAAAATGATTACATATGCTATATTTGGGATATATTTAGCTATCTCCAATGATGATAATTAGGACTTAGTATCTCCTGAAATTCACCTTTGAAGCCAGGACTTAAGGATCTTCAGCCCTCATGAATATGTTTGAAAAAGTCAACCAGTGAGTCATTCACTTCTTCTGTTTGGGTTTAGCATCTTGGATGAAGTCATGGATGAAAGCATACAAATTTGTTTCATGTACCAAAGAAAGACCTCCACCTGGGCATGCAGTATTCAGAAATTGTTATTGTGTCTTAATATGGCACCATGTCACTGCAACAACAATGATGATAATATTCACCTCACTGCAACAATGATGATAATATTCACCTCACTGCAATGATAATAGACCTCACTGCAAAAGGAAATCAAATATTCACCTCACTGCAACAATGATGATAATATTCACCCATGCAACTAGTGATATTGCAGTGATGATAATATTCACCTCACTGCTATGTTAAGTATATTTACCTCAACTTTCTCAGTAAAGTAGAAGAATCAGTGATTACACAGAGTGCCATTTAGAAAGTGGTCAGATGTAACATAGGTTATTGGGATTACACTTTCTAACAGTCATGTGAGATGCAAAGTACAGATTCTAGGGTAGCCATAGGTTGAATATTCACACTTTGCTAAGCATCCAGGAACCTAATCACCAGCAGTTTTCAAAGTCAGACACCTAACCCCTCAGCCTGCTATTGACAGGCGTTGTGTACACAATGAGGCTTTGGCTGAATATCCAGGATAGAATGATTTCCACACAGTTGCTGAGCTTCTTGTAACTGGAAATATCATGTGAGATGCAAGTCAAGAATTACCTCCCTTCATATACCCAAGTTCAACAAAGCCATAGGTTCATAGTTTTCTGTAGTATTTTCCAAAACTCTGTGAATATGGCACATGTCTAAATATAGCGCACCACTGCTCCTCACTAACTGTACAATGCTATGCACTTGGAACATTGTTACACACTGAATAACACTGCCACATTATAGTCATGTACTATCTCTTGATGTTTTCTTGCAGCTGTTACCTCCATTATGTTGGCACCACCTACAACCAATCAATACTAATCAATACAGGCAGTGGTTGTCCAAATATTATGTCATCATTGTGATTACACAGAGGTTTTTGCAGAGGGGCGTTAATGTAGCCTAATGGTTAAAGCATTCACTCATCATGACGAAGACCCGGGTTCGATTCCCCACACGGGTACAATGTGTGACTGCCATTTCTGGTGTCCCTGCTGTGTTATTGCTGGAATATTGCTAAAAGCGGCGTAAAACTAAACTCACTGACTCTTTTTGCAAAGTATGTATGTGTCATTAAATCTTGAGATATTTGTTGATTTTAGTTTAGAGTCTCCCAAAAGTGGAATAGTTTTGTGAAATAAGAAATTGGGATGAAGTCATTAAAAGGTCATGTGGAAATATAAAATAATACCTCCAGTAATTTCTTTTCTTTATGTAAGTGACTGTAAGGTATGTGCTTTGACCAAAGTGAAAACGGAAAATAAAGCTGAATCAGGTTTGTTATTCTTATATTCTGTGATTATATTGATTAAAATTGTGGAGACTAAAAATTGACTTTTGAAAATCAGGAAAATGTGTCAGGCTAATTGTATATGAAGCCTGCTATTTTAGGGGACCCTAGATTGAAATCTCAAAGACCCCAGACCAATGTTAATCATGTCAATTTCTTACCATATTCGACCTCGCCAAACTTTGACCTTGCCTGTCATGACAGAAATGCTGGCTGTTTAACCCCAGCAGCCTTTAATAAATCTCTACATCCAACATAAATCATGGGATATTCCATGCAGGAGTGTATCCACCGCTGTCAGACTTCTCGTGATGGCGACCAGCCATTGATTTCTTGTCGTGATCCAGCTGTTTTCTTCCATCATGTTAAATACTGTTATTGTTTCTGTGACGTCATGGCAAGCTGGCTCAGCAGCAGGTTAATATCTTCTATATATACCGGTTGGTTCACACTTTTTACATGGAATTCACACTCATTTTGTCATTTACAAAACAGACATAATGTTGTTGTTTTATTCAGACACTGTCTGCGTAATGGGTGCTAATATTGTATTGTATTCTTAGTTTCAACAGCTAAATTAAAATTGCCCTTCTAAACTAGAGATCAGATTATTTGTTGATAAGAGAAACAATAAATCATGTTGTCAACATCTGCAGTCAAATTTCAATTAAATAACATGACACATGAGAAGTTATTACCCAATAACTTTTCAAACTTGAAAGAAGCACAATCAAAGTCAGGCTCCATTATTTTACCTTGTTGTAAGGGGCAACATGCAGGATCGAGTGGTCAGGCTCGATTACTTGGTCGATACATGTCGTCATATTCCGATTATATGTTGATTCTCATGATGACAATCACTGGATTGTCTGGTCCAGACTCAATTCTTTACTTACTGCTACCCATGAAGATCTGGGTTAGAATTGGTCTTCAGTAACTGATGCCTGTCATAAAGTGGTGACTAACGGGATCGGGTGTTGAGGCTCGCTGACTTGGTTGACATATGTTAATTGTGTAGATCGATGCTCATGCTGTTGATCATATTTCAATTGCATATATTAATTCTCTTGATGTGATTCACTGGATTTTCTGGTACTATTTTATTTTCCACATTTAAATATTGGTGAGCATGGTGTTAAACAACGTAATTGAAAAAATTCCAGTTTTAATTAATTCTTTGCATTTTTTGGAACCCTATTGAACACTTAGCCCAAATGTCTGAGAAATAAAGAATACTCCTAGAGTTGATCTCAGTAGCTAATGGATAACCTTTATCCCCATGCGTACAGAATGAATCTATTCCGAGCAAAGCGGCAGTTGTTGTTAAGTATCCCGTAGCTTGTCATTAACAACGATTGTTCCTCGTGTGACAATGCCTCCTAAACTGTCTGCTTCTTCTCCAGGAATGTTTCGTGTCATGCTTATTGTATTATTGATCAAGAATTCAGCAAGCCTTCCGTAATTGGCGCTGATTATTACCGTTTACCATACAGAACGTATTGATCACAACTTTCTTCCGTCAATCTGTCGTGGGTAGATCATTATACTGCCATAGAAAATGACGAAGCTGACTTGAAGCTGTAATGATTTGATTCATCCAATGGTTATTGATTTTGTTGGTTTCGTCAGAGAATGTACATTGTACACCATGTATATGGAGACATGCTTTATATATCAAGTATACTCGGATTGTGAAGGTTTCTTATCTCAAAATAAACCTTTGAGATGCAGAGAGCACATGAAAGCCAAGATCTGCGGATCAGTTCCTCCTTTGTATTCTTTCCTACAAGACCACCTCCGTGGTGTAGTGGTTAGAGCGTCCGCCCACAGAGCGGAAGGTTGCGGGTTCGATCCCTGACCGCATCATACCAAAAGACCTTAAAATGTGGTACTTGTTTGTCCCTGCCTGGCGCTCGGCATTACTGGGTACAACAAGGACTGGTCGGCTCGGAGTCTCCTTCACTTGACATTTTTAAAGCCCATCTCAGGTCATATGTCAGTCTGCCTCACAGTCCCTGAACCACATCATTTTGCCTACTGCCAAGCCTTCTCTGCAGTGCTAAAGCCCTAAATGAAGCAAGTCTAGATTTCCTCAGGTTCTGAATCTCTGGTCTCCCTAGGGCTCCTTTTCAATATAAATGGGCTTGTTTGTTACTATCAAAATTATATATATTCAGAGACTAAGCCTTAGTCTAGTCATATGTCTTTGGGAGATATAAAATTGACTTGAACTGTTGTATGCGCTTAGAGCATGCCCATGAGATGTGGAGATCAGCGCTACAGAAATATCTTCATTATTATTAGTCTAATACCCTGTCTCAGTTCTTCCACCACATGGCTCTGTTAGACATCAGATTTATTGTGATGTACAAGGGAGATAGTTGGATATACAACTTATCTATTACAAAATGTCGGTCTGTGTATCCATAGAACTGTCCTCTTTGTTCATCACAACAACTTCTAAATACCACTCGAAGAAGTGACTGTGATTTGACTAGATTTTTGGATATGATTTTCAAGGGTTGGTTATGATGTTCCATGGTCAGCACCATGAAGATTGGTAGAATAGGGACTGGCTTGGTTGTCGTAAGAGGCGACAGGTTTGTTTAAGCTGATTGTTCCATAGTATCGGTTCCCAATTAGCCTTCGTGCCCATGCTGTTGATCACTGTAGTGGGTCGAAGGACAGAGCTGAGACAGCTGGAATATTGCTGAGTGGCGTTAAACTAAACTCACTCAATGGCCTGTAGACCTGTGCCCAACTCAGTAGTGTGTGATCAAGCTGTGCAAAAGCCTGGCCAAGCCCAATGGCCTGTAGACCTGTTGTGTGTGCCATTGTACTAAGTGTTCTTAGCGATAAGGTGATTGTACTCCCATATCTTAACATAGACTTACGACAGTCTTCATGGTCTTAGAGCTAAAGGGGCGGTGGGGTAGCCTAGTGGTTAAAGCATTGGCTCGTCACGCCAAAGACCTGGGTTCGATTCCCCCATGGGTACAATGTGTGAAGCCTATTTCTGCTGTGATGTTGCTATAATATTGCTAAAAGCAGCGTAAGACCTTACTTATCAACTCAGTTACTTGGTGCTAAAGTCGTATTGAGCAATGGCACCCTAGTCTCAAATCAGTTACCCGTGAAGGTCCGGGTTAGAATGTACCTTCAGTAACCCATGCTTGTCTTAAGAGTCATAAGGCGACAACGGGGATCAGGTGGTCAGACCCGCTGGCTTGGTTGACACGTCATTGGTTCCAAATTGCGCAGATCGATGCTCATGCTGTTGATCACTGGATTGTCTGGTCCAGACTCAATTATTTACAGACCCCGCTGCCATATAGCTGGAATATTGCTGAGTGCGGCGTTAAACTAAACTCACTCACTCACAAATCAGTTGAAGTTAGGCACTGTGTTTGGCAGCTTGACTCTGAGAGTTTTGAGGATTTCTGTCCTGCCCCATTAACAAGCACCTGTGTGGTCAGTGAATATTATTTTTATAACCAATGTATTTTTTCAGCATCCATTCTGCACATTTGTTTATACTGAATGCACATTTCTTGCATCACATAAATCCTGTTTTGGGCACTGCTCATGCAATGACAACTGTTTCATATGTCACTAATATTTTGTGATTTCATTACAATATTAACAATTTACATTTCCTTTCACAGATCGGAGCTTCCACAGGAAAGCTGAAACATTTTGTCATCGAACCTTTTGTGGCTCATCAACAGGTAAGTACACTCCAGATGTTTCCAGGGTCATATTTAGATAGGATTTTCTTAACAGTTAGTTACATATTGATAAAAAAATCTATCAATAGAATGACAGTGCATTTGGAAAAAATGTGATGTTGCCAAATATTGAATTAGAACACATGAATTCTAAGGAATTTAACATTTTTCTTGAAATTTGGAATTATTACTCTCATTTGCTGCAGATTTGATGCTGAATATCAGCCTTTGAGTGTATACACCGGTGGATAAATCTATACTAATATACACCGGTGGATACATCTATACTAATATACACCGGTGGATAAATCTATACTAATGTACACCGGTGGATAAATCTATACTTACTTATCTGTGAAGTAGACTTCTTGTGAGAACAAAGGGCAACTTCTCCATCTGTCTTAGAACACATCTAAATACTTGAGAACAGCAGATAGCATATCACTACAAGTAGTTTCTGCTCCTACAGACAGCACAATTAACTTTCCACTCAACACCCATGACATCACTGCCCAGTCATCTGTGACATTCTCATTGTACAGCCGGCTCGAGCAGCATTCATGTGTTAGCTTGGAATACATTGAAGGGATATAATTGAACTACACATCACCCATGTGAAGAATACCCATGTTATCAGATACTTAGCCGTGCTCTAACCAAACATTAAATATTGATTTCCCAACAACTACTTGTGTATGTTATAAAAACTTTGGATGTTAATTCAATAACGTGACAGATGTTATTGTTTCTTAACAAAGGATAACATGTGATACAACTTATGAATTTTTTTAAAATTTTACAAACGTTTTAGAGACTACCAACTTGGTTGATTGTGAATTAGTTTTGTTTCTGTTTCAGAGTGAAGAATTCTATGTTTGTATTTTCTCTCACCGATATGCTGACTCCATCCTCTTCCACCATGAGGGAGGAATTGACATCGGTGACGTTGATGCAAAGGTACTATCTCAAAACTTGCCTTGTCACTGTCATAGCCCTTCAAACACTTTGTAGATCTGGTCATAGTCACATGACCTTTCTCACCAACCTGTCCTGAAAAGTACCTTGACATTAATACAAGAGTGTCCCTGCTTCCTGAATGTACTCCTGTAATCATCTGCCAATGCTGCAGCCAGGTGTAACTGATATACCATTGGTTTAACAAGAAATAAGTCCTAATACACACTTCTTGAACTCTTTCACCAATAAAAGCTGCCTTGTCTTATCAAAATTCTATCTTACATTCATATGATGAATGCTGCTTGTACTAATTGTGATCATCCATTTCCTACTGGTCCCCCCAGTTGCGGAGACCAAGTTAAAATTTTTTGTCCTCCACCAAAGGCAGCAGTACTGCATGTATTGAGGCCAGTAACCACTGCATGGTCCAAGATATTAAAGGGGCAGTAGGGTAGCCTAGTAGTTAAAGCGTTGGCTCGTCACGCCGAAGACCCGGGTTCGATTTCCCACATGGGTACAATATGTGAGGCCCATTTCTGGTGTCCCCTGCCATGATGTTGCTGTAATATTGCTAAAAGCAGCGTAAAACTAAACTCACTCACTCACTCCAAGATAAAACTGAAATACTACTGCATGAAACTACATTCACTCTGTATCTGTGTCCCAGGCTGTCAAGCTGGAGGTGCCCGTCGGGAGTGACCCCACTGCAGACAGCGTCAAGACTCAGCTGTTGTCCAAGGTCCCAGCTGGTGCACAGGGGTATGTAATATACTACTCACACTTTGATAAGGATCACCAAAATTCACAACTTTACTTAACGTAGATTTATATTTTGAAATTGTATCCATTTAAAACTGGATAAATAATATGGTAACCCCTCTTTAGGCAAACAGCCACTTTATTCTAACCTTAATGCACTTGATACATGAGTAACCATAAAAATGGTTTTCATGGCACCAATCAACCATTTTGCAAATCATGGAAGAGTCATTGACAAATAAAGTTCTGTAAATAATTTAGTCAAGACCAGACAATCCAGTGACCAGCGTCGTGAGCATTGATCAGAAATAATCAGAATGTCATCATACTTGGTTCCTTGTATGACGCCACACTTGGCAATATTCCAGTTGTATGGCAGCGGTCTGTAAATAATCGAGGCTGGGCCAGACAATCTAGTGATCAACAGCATGAACATCCAACTATGCAAATGGGATACTATGACTAGGGCTGGGTATTGCAGAGAATTTTCATATTGCAATATATTGCGATGCAAAAGCATATATTGCGATATGTATTGCAATATATTGCAAGAAGTTCTTTTTTAACAAAAAACTACTTATAATTGAGTTAATGCTTGATTTATAAAGCAAAAACACAACAAAATCACCATGCTTGATTAAGCTTTAATAAAAACTTTTAATCATGACAAAATAAAAATGTAAATAATATTTGGCACAAATTAAAAAAAAGGAAAGGAACAATTTATAAAACGGAAATATCCGAAGATTTCCGAGTGTTACGAAGTCTTTTCGAATGCATGTCAAAATACCGGTTTTCAATCAGCGTATCGCAATACGTATCGTTTTCATGACTGAACCGGTATATACCGGTAAACCGGTTATATTGCGCAGCCCTAACTATGACATTCAGATTATTTCAGATCGATGATCATGATGTTTGTCACTGGATTGTCTGGTCTAGATTTGATAATGTACAGACTGTTGTCATACAGCTGAAATATAGGTGAGCGTGGTGTTAAACAACAAACAAACATATGTTGGTAGTCTGGTAATGTGGTGTTGTCGTTCCAGTGCCCTGACCAAGTTCATCCTGGCTCTGTACAAGGTGTACAAAGACCTGCACTTCACCTACATGGAGATCAACCCTCTTGGTAGGTAGCAGTGGTGTCCCTGCGATGTATCCTATTTTTTCATCACCATTGAAAGGGTATATGTTGATATGCCCCCCAGTGGGGGATGTCAAATTCTGAAAGATAAATTAGAAAAACTATTTTCTTTTTTTTGCTTGGTGTAGATATATTTTTGTGGGGTTTGGGGGTAATTTTATCAAAACAGAAAGATCTGATTACTTCTTGTCCTTCAACAATTTATCCAAAATGTTTTTCCATGTGGATGGTCACTAATTATTAATTAACCTCATCAGTTATGCAAATACTTAAGTTTTCATAAATTTTTCAATGAGATTGCACGCTGCCATATAGCTGGAATATTGCTGAGTGCGGCCTAAAACTAAACTCACTCACCCTGAGATTGCAAGACAGTAACTTTTAAACTGTTTCCATGGTAATTTTATTATTTTTCATATCTACAAGCCACAAGGTTATGTCTTACCTTGTTTTGTGTTTTGTCTTCCAGTGATGACTGGAGGCAAGATCTACATCCTTGACCTGGCGGCCAAGATCGACCAGTGTGCAGAGTTCCTGTGTAAATCAAAATGGGGAGAGTTGGAGTTCCCCCCGCCATTCGGCCGCGACGCTCTTCCAGAGGTAACATTTCCTTCCAGTAGGAGTGAGGGATGGTGGAGTAGCCAAATGGTTAAAGCGGGTTCGATTCCCCACATGGGTACAATGTTTGCAGCACATTTCTGGTGTCCCTGCCATAATACTGCTGGAATATTGTAAAAAAGTGGCATAAAACCCATCTCACTCACTCACCCAGTAGGGGTGAAACATAACTGTGAGACCAAATACGGCATGTATTCTGATAATATAGGTGCAATACAATTCGTATCCTGATACAGGACTTTGTTTCATAACTTCTTATTCCCATCCCATCCTCGATAATCTCCAGGGTATATGTTACGATAACTCTCCACTATACCCTGGATGCATCTATGGCTTGGCCAGATGATTTTATTACCTCCCTTGGCTGGCTCCGCATTCTCACAGTAGCCAATCAGCTAAGCCGCCGTTACAACCGAACTTGCCAGTGTCAACAAAGATAGTGGTCGCACCTGCGAAGGTTTGTTCGCAGTGCGGCTCAGATTTTTGGGGAAATCATACAGACATATTTACAGGTCAGAAACTTAAAAAAAATATAACAAGAACTCCTTCAACCTCTTCCAGACTACCTCTGCATCAATTGTGTTGCCAAGTTTGATCGGTTAGATAATTTAAGAAGTGCATGTGAGCTGTGTTTGGTCCGCTCAACTTCCCAGCGTAGACACCTGATTGGATAAGAAGCCAGCCAAGGGAGGTAATAAAATCATCCGGCGGGACTGTAGATGCGTCCAGGGTATAGTGGAGAGTTATCGTAACGTATACCCTGGAGATTATCGAGGATGATTCCCTTCCCTGAATCATGTGTTTTTAAATTTCTCATGGCAGAAATGGGAAACATTGACATGGATCATTAAGTTCAGGGACACTGTTCAGATTCTATGTAGAGACAATGAGAAAATACTAGAGAATCTGCATAAACTGCTTCTTGATCAGTTTCTGTTGTTATTCAGATGTCTTCACGTCGTATGTTGTAATGAACTGTATGTATTGCTATACAGAAATTGTAAATAAATGTATTGTATCATGAGCCTCGTAGCCAAGCAGATAGTGTTTAACTCCCTTGGAACCTACATGACTTGGGTTCTATTCCTCCCTCTTGGTGCAGCATGGATGCAAACTCAGTCCCCAGAATTCCTCTGATTTCCTAGTTTATCTAAACTGGTGTTCTATTCCCAGCATGGATAATAACTCAACCATGCAATTTCTCAATTTCTGCATTAAAAAAAAATCATTAATATTTATCTTACCTCACACATAAATGTCGCTTTCTGATTGGCTAAACGCTCTTCTATTATTTTCAATGTACCCCGCTTACAAGCGAGTAATATTTCAGTGTACCCCGCTGTCAATGGTAACTCATTTTGGTACTTCGTGGTAGTAATTTTTATCTCGAATAACATTGAATCACGTATGATGTACGGAAATTACTGATGTTTTGCGAATGCAAATCGATGGAAGGGAGATAACTCTAGATCTATTTTTCTTGTCAGCAAAATTTAGCGATGGCTACAAAGAGATTTATACCCGTGCTTCAAACAATTCAAAATTAGTGTTTGGTAAGATAAATACGTTGTTCACTGGTCCCTCGGGGCCCATGGGTTGATGTACCCTTGATGTACATCACATCTGACTATATCTACTAACATGAGCAGAAAAACTATTTATGATTGGCTGAAGTGGCTACACTGCTCAACTTGTTACATGGTGGGGGCAGTGGAGAAGCCTTGTGGTTAAAGTGTTCGCTCATCACATGAAACACTTTGGTTCGATTCCCCACAGTGGTACAATGTGTGAAGCCCATTTCTGGAGTCCCCTGCCGTGAAAAGCGTTGTAAAACTAAACTCACTCACATGGTGTTTTGGTCCGTCAACAGGAAGCCTACATTGCCGACCTGGATTCAAAGAGTGGGGCATCTCTGAAACTCACTGTCCTCAACAAGAAGGGCCGGATCTGGACCATGGTTGCTGGGGGTGGGGCCTCTGTCATATATGCGTACGTACAACATCCTTCCTTGTATACATATATATATACACAGACATAACATCCCTCTATTCTATATATGTATACATATATATATACACAGACATAACATCCCTCTATTCTATACAAGTGTATATACAGACATAAGATGCCCCTCTGATAGTGACCTTTGTTAAATTGATAATTACACAGGAAAGTTAATGACCTTCACCTTCTATCAGTAGACGACCTTCACTCAATAGATAATGACCTTCACCTTCAATCTGGAGATGAAATTCACTGAATAGATATGACCTTCACCTTCAGAGACACTATCTGTGACTTAGAGAGAGCTTCTGATTTGGCGAACTATGGCGCGAGTACTCTGGTGCTCAAGTGAGCAAGTGAGCATCCTTGGTCTCATGCAGAAACATGCTGAAGGTAAGGCACATTTAAGTAATACAGTAGAAAAGCGGATATAGCGAACACGGATAAGACAATCCAAATTTTGGTCTCATTGACACAGGAGAAGCATGCTGAAGGTAAGGCAGACCCAATTAGCGGCGTGATTAGCGAACTATCAGTCTCAGCTGAGACTTGGTATACTCAACCTGACTTGAGATTGTTGTGATTGTTAAACATTTTCTAGAGGGATTTTCATAGTCACATGTCATGATTTGTCATCAATATCTCCCCAGACACAAGATGCATATGTCTAAATTTCTTTCTTTTAACTTGGGGCAGTGGAGTTGAGGGACCATAGTCAGTCATGGTCATCAATATCTCCACAGAACATGCATATGTGTTTTCTTTTAACTTGGGGCAGTTAGCCTAGTATAGTTACCAGACTATTGTATATACCAGACTTTGAGTTAGAGTGTCTGTTAATTTCAAAGGCTGTTGGTCATCGTGTCCGGCAAATTGTAAAATCAATTTTCTAATTACCTCTGTCAATTTTATTTCTCCTCAAAACGATTACGTTTTCACAATGACATCGAGGCGTTGTCAAATGAAAAATAGCAGTTTTAGAAAGAAAAAAAAACCAGGCTAAAAATAGCGGCATTGACGCATTGTAATACCCTCTACGTTTCTGATTGGTTGTTAGGGTGCAACGTCTTGCACACAATGAGAAGCGTGATTACTTGACCTGTAAAAAATTCACAAATGATCGGCATTTGAAAAGCTAAGCGGTCACAATGTCCAGCAGTAAAAATTGCCAGCAGAAACACTGGGTTAAAGCTTTTTTGCTGATCAAGCCGAAGACCCAGGTTCAATTCCTGAACATACTCACTCACATGCTTAACATACATACAAAACATGCTTAAAAGCATATACATATGAAGCATCTTTCTGTTTCTGTACCCAATTATGTAGATTGATGCTGATGCTGTTGATCACTGGATTGTCTGGTCCACACTCGATTATTTACTGACCGCTGCCGTATAGCTGGAATATTAAGGAGTAAATCTAAACTCACTCACTCACTCTGTTTCTATACATGATCAAACAGTTCATACAGGTGATTTTGGATGTTGGGGTAATTGGGGTAGTGGTTAAAGTGTTCACTCATCATGGCAAAGGCCTGGGTTCTCTTTAACACATGGGTACAATGTGTGAAGTACATTCCTGGCATTCTCTCCCTCTCCCCACCCCTCTCCGCACCCCCTCCCTCCTGTATGCGAGGCCCGGAAGGTCGCGGGTTCGATCCCCGACCGCGTCATACCAAAAGAAATTAAAATATGGTACTTGTTGGTCCCTGCCTGGCGCTCGGCATTAATGGGTACAACAAGGACTGGTCGGCTCGGAGTCAGTATAATGTGTCTGAGTGGGGTATTCATGCTTCACTGCGGCGTGGTATCTCAGTGGGCTAGCACTATAAAACCAGCTTAAGTCTGGGCTAGTACAAGCAGCCACACATACACACGCATGCACGTCGTCATATGAGTGAAATATTCTCAAGCACAACGTTAAACCCAATTTCACCTCACCTCACCTCACCTCACCCCTCCCTGTATATTGCTAAAAGCAGTGTAAAACACAACTCACTCACTCACTCCCAGAATGTGTTAAATGGGTGTTGATTACTTTCAGGGAAGATACTCATCATTGGTGGCGGCATCGCCAACTTCACAAACGTTGCTATGACGTTCAAGGTAAGCCTCCTCTTTCATAAACTCTGGGGCGATTGGGGTAGCCTAGTGGTTTGCTAAGCTCGTCCGCCGAAGACCGGGTTGATTCCCCACATGGGTACAAGTGTGAAGCCCATTTCTGGTGCTGCATTGATATTGCTGGAATATTGCTTTCATAAACTCATTAATTCATCTTGTGAGTCCACTGAACAAAATGTGGGATTTTAACTTCCATGTTAATAGTTGATTTAGTAATTGGATTGGATATGACATGGAATTTCAGTGGTAACTGAACTGTTTCCTTAATGAAAGTATGTTTTGTTTAAATTTGACATGCAAAGAGGTCTTAGTTTATTTTTTCTGCTTGCAGATTATCTGCTAGTCCCTTTGTTATAAAAAAATAGATAGTTTAGTTGTCATTGAAATGGAACATTACTCGCAGTTTGATGTTGAAAGAATATTTATCAAAGGCAGATAAACTAACTTCTTTGAGTGGCATAGAAGTTGGGCCGTACAATATTGAACAAATTTTATGGATAACAACTTCAAGCAGGAATGACAATGGTACAAGAATCTGTATTTGAAAGTCACACTCACGAAATAAAGGAAGTTGTTATCCATAAAGTTTGTTCAATAATGGCAGATGAACCAGCTTATGAAAACTGCCACCCATTATCAACTATGCTTGGTTTCCAGTTAAAACAGGTTCTCGCTGTATAAGCATGATCCATATTACCAAGGTCTCACTGTGTACTGATTGCTGTAAGAGCATTGTCCACATTGAGAGTTTTTCATTGTGTAGTACAAAATCCTCTACTATTTGCAGGGTATTGTCCGAGCTCTGCTAGAGTTTCAGCAGAAGTTGATCGAGTTTGACGTGAAGATCTATGTGCGGCGAGCTGGACCCAACTATCAAGAGGGACTCCGTATTATGAGAGAACTAGGTGAGTGAACTCTTTCTTCGCTTCTTTCAAATAGACCGCCTCCGTGGTGTAGTGGTTAGAGCGTCTGCCCGGAGAGCGGAAGGTCGCGGGTTTGCTCCCCGGTCGTGTCATACCAAAAGACATTAAAATATGGTACTTGTTGGTCCCTGCCTGGAGCTCAGCATTAATGGGTGGCTCGGAGTCAGTATAATGTGTCTGAGTGGGGTATTCATGCTTCACTGCGGCATGGTATCTCAGTGGGCTAGCACTATATCACCAGCTTCAGTCTTGGCTAGTACAAGCAGCCGCACATACACATACACACGCATGCACGTCGTCATATGAGCGAAATATTCTCAAGTACAACGTAAAACCCAATTTCACCTCACCTCACCTCACCTCACCTCACCTCACCTCTTCAAATACGATGACCTCTCACAAACTGAGCCTCTGTTTGTACTGCTCCATCCAATCAGGGACATCAATGAAAGGCTCCAAACATCCCTACATCCCTGGATGTTTTACGAAAGTCATCTGCTGCAGCCTAAATTATTTCTAATTGGTGTTGATCACCGCTTACATGTTGCAGTGATGATTATGACAAGTCAGTTAAGAAGGCTCTTTAACTGATATACCCGTGAAGGTCCGGGTTAGAATATTGATCTTCAGTAACCCATGCTTGTCATAAGAGGCGACTAACAGGATCGGGTGGTCAGGCTCGCTTACTTGGCTGACACATGTCATCGGTTCCCAATTGCACAGATCGATGCTCATGCTGTTGATCACTGGACTGTCTGGTCCAGACTTGATTATTTACAAACTGCCGCCATATAGCTGGGATATTGCTGAGTGCGGCGTAAAACTAAACTCACTCACTCTTTAACTGATACATTATACTTGCAAGATAACGAATAGTTAGCACTTTTGTTCCAAACTTGAAGGTTTCATGAACGATTTGTTCGTCAGGTGACAACCTTGGAGTACCGATCCAAGTGTTTGGCCCTGAGACTCACATGACTGCCATTGTCAGTATGGCTCTCGGCAAGCGAGACATCCCACCAATGCCGAAGCGGCTTCAGACAACCGCCAACTTCCTGCTACCAGGGGGAGCTGTGAGTATTGCAGCAATTCATTGTCAGATATTTTACGACATGTCAGTGTAAATGTTTTGTACAAATGAGATTTAAAGATATCTTTAAGTAAATAAAACATTATGAGCATATTAATATACACCTGGAAAATGTTAAGCACCACACTTTAGTTGTTTAAGACTTATCCCTGATGGCTGTGTACATTCGGAAATCTCTACCCATGTAGAGCCTGGATTAAACTGCACCTCCAGAAATCCATTTCAGTTTGTTACATTCCATGATAATTAAATGGAAAGGGATATTGAATACGAAATTGTATGACACAAACAAGGGTTTGGACGGAGGAAAACACAAAAGGGGTTTGGGCAGAAGCAGTGGCAAGGGGGTTAGCAAGAGGAGAGGACATGGTTCAAGTGATGGCCCAATTACTTTAGCTGTAGCAAAGACAAATCATATTTAAGATAATCAATTTCTGTGGCTGTATTTCATTACAAGCAACCCGTGAAGTTCCGGGTTAGAATGAGCCTTCAGTAAGCCTGCTTGTCGTAAGAGGCGACTAACAGGATCGGGTGGTCAGGCTCGCTGACTTGTATCAGTTCCCAATTGCGCAGATTGATGCTCATGCTGTTGATCACTGGATTGTCTGGTACAGACTCGATTATTTACAGACCGCCGCCATATAGCTGGATTATTGCTGAGTGCAGCGTAAAACTAAACTCACTCACTCACTCATTACAAGCATGTCAGTTGTAAACAAACACATCTGTTTGGGTGGCTGTTCCATGTGGAAATATATCATAAATGGTGCTTATCATTTTTCCATTTGTGTTTGAAATTTAATTTGTTTTACAATATAAACCACATATAGTAATATTGTTTCTTTCATGCCCTGCATGGTGAAACATCCATTAAAAACTAACTGTTTGAGCTGCACAAATCTAATTATAATATTCATCATAGTAAACTTGACTTTGATTTGTTTTCAGCTTGCAAAGGTAGATTCAGTATTTTTTTATGTTGTCCGCCTCAAACTTTAGCCTTTAGTCCCTTGCCTGCCTGTATGCATTCCAATGTTGTAGCTGTCTTAGGTCGCCTGGGTCAAAGATCCTTGTGACATGATATTTGAATGGTTTGATACTGATATCAGTATGCAACCAAACAGAGCTAAGGAATGCCTAATGTTTTCATGTCATGCGTAACACATTATATGTTGTCCTGTAAAAGAAAGCAGGTGGTCTATAACTTCTCTCAGTAGTATAGTTCATAGAACTGCATGGTGTCACCAGTATGTGGATTTCAAATGGCATGTATTGTAATACTTCTTCTGAGAACTGGTATATTGGGTAAAAATATATGAAGTTTTGGGATTATCTCTATGGTTTAATTTTAAATCTGCTGACTTTCATTTATATCTGATGTTTTCTTTCGTAATTCATCAACAAAGTGGACCCTTTACATGCTATAGAATTGTGTAAAAATGCCACAAAGGCCCTATGCTACCAAACCTACTAACGGGATTGTCAGTTTACCAAACTTGGTTGACCGTCATCCGTTCTAATTTTCATGCTGTTGATCACTGGATTGTCTGGTCCAGACTTGATTGGTTCAGACCGCCATATGGCTGGGATATGTTTTCTTGGCATACATGTATAAATTGTGTAAAAATGACAAACCCTTGCTTAATTTTGAGATTGCTGTTATCAGAACCATAACATGTTTTATAATGGCTACAAGAAAAGAGAGAGTTTTTAAAATCGATGTAAAAAAATGTAGTTATTTTAACACTATCTTCCAGGTTATTTTTTTATTCTGTTTGTCTTGATGGTAGTCAAGATATGTTACTGTCAATATGAAGTGAGGCTCTGTGTTAAGAAGTAAACAATTAACTTGCAAGGTGAGCGACAGAACCTGTTGGGATATTTTATGGTTTAACACTGGTTGTGAGATAGGTAATATCATTAATATGTGGGTTGTACTTGGGTTTTGTAATATGATTGGGACTGCTGAATGGACATGTTAGATGAAAACTTTAGCATGTGCTTGTTCTTACATTCTGGGGGCAGGGGGGTAGCCTAGTGGTTGAAGTGTTCGCTCGTCACACCGAAAACCTGGGTTCAATTCCCCACATGGGTACATTGTTTGAGGCCCTTGCCTGATATTTTTGGAATATTGCAGCATAAAACCATACTCACTCACTTTTTCACGCACTCACTCACTCTTACATTCTGGTACAAAGACTAATATTTAATGAAGCAGCTCTTTTGGTAACACTTATTTGACTTAACATAGCTAGCCTATGACTAAATTCATTTTTTCATTTTTTTTTAATCAAAAACAGTGAACCTTAAATTCACTCGGGTTGTGTACTCACTCTTGGGTAATGGTGAGGAGTTACACAGAATTATGTCCCTTAGGTTCTCCAGGATCTTACGATACTTGTTCTCACAGGCTTCTGAAGAGTGGTAAACTTTGGAAACCTGCATCTCTTCAGACTCTCCTCACTGACTCACCTTGTAACGGAAATACTGTTGACAGCAGTATTGGAGATCACTCACAATGCTCACCGCTGTTTAGAGTATTACCGTACATTTCTAGGAGTCTGTGACTCATTTTCACACACTGCACAGTTTCACACAAACCTGACCAATACTGAGCATGGATTTACACTTTAGAATAGCTGTCTGCTGAGTAGAAATAGCTGAAGTCTTGAGAATTTATGAAATTGTTAATGATTTTAAGAAAAAAATACAATCTATACAATTACAGTTTGGGCATCAAATCAGATTGGGTCTTGGGACCTATATCAGTTACCTAGGTGTTTAGTATTTTGTCGAAACTGTTTGTAAAGTGTACTTATGTGTGATTTAACTGTAAATGAATGTGAACACTACTTGTGTAACTATGGCAACATCTTCAAACAAACCAGTCACACCTGGACCTTGTCCCTATCAAACATTGAATAGCATACAACAGCAAAGTTTGTCAAGGAAGTGTATAACAGTATAACCATGACATCTTCAAGCCATCCAGTCTGTTCAGACACTGTTGAGGAGTGCACAATAGGTGTGCCTGTACAAGAACTGCATCCTACCCTCCTCTCCAGCCTTATAGCCACCGCTGTTCTTTCCAGCCTCTTTAACTTGTGCCAATATTAATCGGGAAATATATACTACTCAAAAGAAATAAAGAATACAATTCTCTCATGTGACTATAGTTCATCGGTCATATGAAACCATTGTTTATCTTGTATTGAGCTGCATATTGTGCATCATGCTTCATGTCATTGTGTTACTCTTGCCGGCTTATTCCTTACTCCTTAATTTGTTGGAAACAGTGGTCATGTCATTGTAATGTATCACAGTTCGTGCAGAGTTGCTTCCCTTAGGCTAGCCAGGCACCTGTGACCATGTTTGATTCCAGACTATTTCAGCACTTACCCATATGATTCTCCCAAGTAAAAAATGTTCATGATCTGAGGTCTGTTAAAGCATTAGCTTGCCACATTAAAGACCTGGGTGCCTTTGTACAAAACAACCTTAGAGCTAAGTCTATCATATGTCTATGTAGTGTAGTGGTTAGAGTGTCCGCCCGGAAGGTCATGGATTCGATCCCCAACCGCGGCATACCAAAAGACATTAAAATATGGTACTTGTTGATCCCTGCCTGGCGCTCGGCATTAATGACTGGTCGGCTCAGAGTCAGTATAATGTGTCTGAGTGGGGTATTCATGCTTCACTGTGGCATGGTATCTCAGTGAGCTAGCACTATAAAACCAACTTAAGTCTGGGCGAATACAAGCAGCCCCACACATATACGCATGCACATCATCATAGGAGCAAAATATTCTTACGTACGACGTTAAACCCCATTTCACCTCACCATAAGTCTATGCTGGGCTATGGGACGTACAGCGCTGAAGTTGTTTTGTACAGTGGCACCCCAGGTTTGATACTTACATGGGTGCAATGTGTGAAGCCCATTTCTGGTGTCCTCCACCGTAACTTTGCTGAAATATTGCTGAAAGCGACATAAAACCAAACTCACTCACTCACTGTGACATCAAGCTGACATGTTTCAAAATAACTGATATATATTCAAGAGTTAAATCACTCAGAGTGAAGATATTTTTACGATTATACAATAAATGGACGTGTAATATCTCTTCCCTCTATTCAACATGGCCATATCTATCCTTAACAGCGAACCTCTCTCCAGCGTCTTCACATGGGAACTGCTTCTTTTAACACATTGGAGTAATGCTTTCTTTAAAACTTGATATGTTTTAATTGGGTTTCTTTTGTTCAATGGTTTTGTTTCAGGTTCAGTTTTAATTCTTAAATGTATAGATTGCAATAAAACACAGATTCCTTGCGAAAAATAGTTTGACCATAGAATATTGACAGGCATCATCATTATGATATTGACTTCATGTTTAAATATTTGATAGATTTCATGATTTACAGTTTTGGATTGGCGGAGATAGATCTGTTTCAGGACTGAATTCTGCATTATTAAGCTTCTAATGCTGTACAGACCATCGACTCATAAAATTTGTTTCTGTTGAATGAAAGAAGTTCTTGGTGTAAAGTTGCTACAGATGTCAGTCGACGAGTTTAATGATCACAAATCATTGATTCAAATCTCTTGTATTCAAGATTATTACAGTAAGATGGTAAGATAACAGTACAATAAGATGGTAAGATAACAGTTCAGTAAGATGGTAAGATAACGGTACGGTAAGATGGTAAGATAACGGTACAGTAAGATGGTAAGATATAGTGATGTCAGTATGGTTATTCTATGCAAGGATCTGAAGTATCTGGTCATCATGTCCTATATTTGATGCAGATTATAACTGAAAGCTCATTGAAGACATTCTTCAAGCCGGTCACGGCTGTATGTTCATTAGCTAGTCACTTGTGACAAACCCTGTCAGGTTTCTGGGTTACAATTGCTGCAGGCTCACTGACTGGGTTGACACATGTCATTGTATCCCAGGCCGCAGATTGATGTTCATGCTGTTGATCCCTGGATTGTCTGGTTCAGATCTGATGATTTATAGACCGTCGCCATATAGCTGAAATATTGCTGAGTGCGGCGTAAAACTAAAGTCACTCACTCACTACAGTTGCGGCCCAGCAACATATGCAGCTCGAAAGAGGTGACTGATGGATTGAGTGATCAGTGACTTGGTTGATTGTGTCATTGTCCCCCCAATATTGTGGATCATTGCTCACTACATCCATCACTGGATTGTCTGACCCAGACTTGACTGTTTGCAGGCTGCCATGACTTCTTAAATGGTTCTGAGTGATCACTGAACATAAAAAAGCCACTTGACAAATATTTAGAAATTCCTGCACTGTCAGTTTTGTGAACTAGGTAAAATAGTGTAAAAATATGCCTTAATTCCAGTCCCCAACCACGAGCCGCAGGGGGTCCTCCAATGAGCTCAACCAATCAACATCCTCGACAGCCAGTGCTCAGCTGGAAAGCCTGGCCAATCAGACGGAGGGTGGCAAAGATGTGATGTTGTTCAACAAAGGCACCAAGGCCATCATCTGGGGCATGCAGATGAGGGCTGTGCAAAGCATGATGGACTACGACTATGTGTGTTCCCGCAAGGAGCCCTCTGTCGTCGCTATGATCTACCCATTCACGTATGTATTGTCATGTTTCCTTTAAGTATGAATACACAATGTAATTTAGAAACGTTCACATGTAACATATGTTATATTTGGGATTACGCTTTCTCAGCAAAGTATTGATTCAGGGTGCTGCTGTACGGAACAACCTTAGTGCTAAGTCTAAATCAGCAGTGCCTTACTTAAACCTGTGCCCAGGGTGGTGGGTAGCCTAGTGGTTAAAGTGTTAAGCCCCGTCACCGGGCGAAGACCGGGTTCGATTCCCCACATGGGTACAATGTGATGCCCGATTCATTCACGCACTCATGTTTTGTGTTATTTTGGCATATGTGTGCAGATGTGTGTCCAGATTTACTATGTAAATCAGCAGTGCAGTGTCTGAGACCTGTGCCCACAATTATGTAGTTCTTGCTAAAATCAGTTGCTAAAAGCCTTACTCTGGTTTTCCTTCAGAGGTGACCACAAGCAGAAATTCTACTGGGGCCACAAAGAGGTGCTCATCCCAGGTAAGAAAGTATACCAAGCTTGTGTCTTAAATTTAATGTTAGATATGTCCAGTGTTTGTTTTATGAATTATTTGTCCATTTCCAGCAGTCAATAATAGCTGTTGATGGTGGATTTAACTGCTGTATATCGGAGTGACAAAATCCAGAAAACTGTCAGTTTTGTCCCCCCATGGAACCAGCTTGAGTGATGTTTGGTTCCTGAATCTGTGGGTCATTGCTCTTAACCACTAGGGGTTGTTGGGTAGCCTAGTGGTTAAAAGTGTTTGCTCGTCACACCAAAGGCCTGGGTTTGATTTCCCACATGTGTGCAATGTGTGAAGCCCATTTCATGTGTTCCCGCCATGATATTGCTGGAATATTGCTAAAAGCGGCGTAAAACTAAACTCACTTACTCTCGACCACTGGCAATGATTCAATGAATTTTTTTATTAGCTGTGAGATAGTTACACTGCAGACTGTGGTGTAGTTTTGTTTGTTTGTTCATTTGACCCATTTATTGTGTGAATATTTAAAGATCTGTGTTTATGACTTGTCATGACAATATTCCTGCTTTCTCAGCCTACAAGAACATGGCTGACTGTATGAAGAAACATCCGGACGCGGACGTTCTGATCAACTTTGCTTCTCTCAGATCAGCCTATGAAAGCACAGTCGAGACCATGAACTTTCCTCAGGTAGATGTGACATGTTTGTTGTTTAGATGAACAAATCGATATTATATAGAAAGTCTTATCTGACAATAGCTATGGATATTACTCTGCTTCACCTACAGGTATACTTGTTCTCAAATATGCATGGTGGGTATGTTGTCAGCCATTACAAACATGTCAGCCATTACAAATATGGGTGCACATACACAAAAGTAAGGTAGAATATTCGTAGCACATTGATGATGGTAACGTTACCCAATATTCGTAGATCATGTTCTTTTCGGTTTTGCAGGAAATATGTTCATAAAGGCTAGGTTGAGTTGTTAAGTTAATTACGAACATTTTCACCGTTTTCAGATCAGAACAATTGCCATTATCGCCGAAGGCATCCCCGAGAATCTCACACGCCAACTGGTGAAGACAGCTGACGAGAAGAAAGTAGCCATTATTGGACCAGCCACGGTGAGTAGACATGCTGTCCGAGACACGTGACATATCTGGAGCAATTATCACACTGTACAATAAACAAAAAAATGATATCTATAAAGTCATATGCTTCACTATCATGTATTGTAATAAATTGTTACAAAGTGTTATTAAAAGATATAATGTACCCAACACTTGACACGCATCATGCATTCAGGCAAGTCCCGACTTTTGAGCACGTGACTGAACAAGCCACAGTATGTTAGCATGTGACCAAATGAAAGCCAACACTTCGAAATGTGAGCAGACGGGCTCAAGCAGATTCCACATGATTTTAGCAGACGACATATACACCCCAACACTTATGCATGTATGTGTAGGTGAGACCTTGCACTTGTCCAAAGTCAAAGTGCCCAAAGTCATTTTATAATGCTTTATCGCAAAGATTAAAAAGATGCGTACGTTCAGACCTGAAATTCATCTCTAATACAGTCGCCCAAATCTACTTTTCACAGACTTTTAAATCTGTTTTAAATACAGGGCAATACCTCCACAATATTATTCTCAGAAAATTCCTCATTTTGTTATCCAGGTTTAGATGTTCTTCACATGATCTTATAACCGAGAAGGGCTGATATTATAATATTCCAAAAGTAAACAGATTGTGCAAATTTTGTACATTAAATGTAATTGAAGATGAGTTCCACTTGTTGCTTGTATGTCCTTACTACACTGATTTAAGGACAAAATATCTACCACAATATTGCCATTCATATCTTACCACCTTTAATTTGTTAATGAACTCAAATAATGCAACTTATATTTGCAAACTTGGTATGTATATCTATTGTGATTATATGCCATTATTGTTATCATGCTTTGTACTATAGGCCTGTGGCCTCTTCAGTACTGGAATAAAGAGAGTTCAGACCAAGGTTGTACCGACATTGTGTGTATTTACAGGTGGGCGGTGTAAAACCCGGCTGTTTCAAGATCGGCAACACCGGCGGCATGTTGGACAACATTCTCTCCTCCAAGCTGTACAGGCCTGGCAGGTAGGAGTTATTTCCCCTTATCCAGATAATCTGCCCTTACACACCAGACAGTATTGGTCTCTTTCCCTGAGTGCAATTCAAGTCAAGAATGTTTTGGCAAGTCTAGAGTGCTCAGGTGTAGCCTGAAATTTTGGATTGTTCTGGTCTGTTTGGATTGTCATGTGTTATATAATAAAGTGTGAAGTAAGACAACGTCAGATTGGGAATTTCTTATAATTTGTAGATATATATTTTGAGATAGGATAACTTTAGTTCTGGACGAGAGTTCAGTCTGGGACATTATATATGAATCACTTTGAGAAGACGACTTTTATCATTAAAAAGTATCCATATTATAAATTCAATTTTATTTACAGGAAGCCAAAGATCTTGAATTTTGTCCTCTATTTATTGATTCCAAGTGTTGTGTTTTCAGTGTTGCCTACGTGTCCCGATCAGGGGGTATGTCTAATGAACTGAACAACATCATCGCTCTCAACACCAACGGCGTGTACGAGGGAGTAGCCATCGGAGGAGACAGGTAGGGCTTGCTGTGTGACAGCTGTATATAACATGTTGTTTAAACCTTTGAAACTGTATTTCAGTTCTGCAGGGAACTCGGAGGACAATATCTAGCAATATTCACTTGGGAGATAAACACGTCTTACATATAGATCTGGTGGTGCTAAATTGGATGCAGTTTAACTGACTACGACAAACACTCAGCACTGGGATTGTCAATGAATACAGGCAGAGTATAGAGGTTACAGCAACGTAATTGGATGTCCATGTATCAGTGGAGAATTTGGAGTCCCACCTCTCCCGAGTTGGTAGATATTTTGGGATGAATACACTGATTGTTGACAGAACTGATATGGATTAATCATGTACTTAGGTGAGGTGAGGTGAAATTGGGTTTAACGTCGCGCTGGAGAATATTTCGCTCATATGACGACGTGCATCCATGTGTATGTGTAGGTGCGGCTGCTTGTACTAGCCCAGACTGAAGCTGGTTTTATAGTGCTAGCCCACTGAGATACCAAGCCGCAGTGAAGCATGAATACCCCACTCAGACACATTATACTGACTCCGAGCCGACCAGTCCTTGTTGTACCCATTAATGCCGAGCACCAGGCAGGGACCAACAAGTACCATATTTTAACGTCTTTTGGTATGATGCCATGTACTTCGGTGTCACATGGCACCGTCTATCAGTATTTAAGTCGCCACAATGAAGCAGTAGTCAAAAGGCCACCTGAATTGGTCACAGTCATGAGCACTTTGGTATCTCCAACAAACAGCTTCTTGTATTTGAGGTGGAGTATGTCCACTCAATCCTATTCTTGTCACAATCTGACCAAGTTAGAAATGTCACTCGTACTGTTATGGTTACATCATATTCCAGATACCCAGGAACCACATTCATGGACCACATCCTCCGTTACCAAGACAACCCAGAAGTTAAGATGTTGGTGCTGCTCGGAGAGGTGAGTGCTTCATCCAACATCCTAAAACCATAACTGTGGATGTGACCTTGATGTTAGTTCAGATATGGATATGACAAGTTTTACCTTGCATCATATCTGATCTTTTTAGACATGTGCAAACCCTCCAGTTAATCATGGGGAATGAACGATTGTTTGCAAACATTCCTAGAAAAGAATTAGTGTGTCAAACAACATTAACTTGGTGACTCACTTGTTTAGTATTTCGTCTGTTTAGTGACTCGTCTGTTTAGTGACCGCCTGTTTAGTGACTTCGTTTGTTTAGTGGCTCGTTTGTTTAGTGACTTGTTGTTTAGTGACTCGTTTGTTTAGTGACTTGTTGTTTAGTGACTTCGGACTCGTCTGTTTAGTGACTTCGTTGTTTAGTGATTTGTTGTTTGTTTAGTGGCTTCGGTTCGTCTGTTTAGTGGCTCGTTGTTTAGTGACTTGTTTGTTTAGTGATTTCGGACTCGTCTGTTTAGTGACTCGTTGTTTAGTGATTTGTTTGTTTAGTGACTTCGGACTCGTCTGTTTAGTGGCTCGTTGTTTAGTGACTTGTTTGTTTAGTGACTTCGGACTCGACTTGTTCGTTTGTTAAGTGACTCATTGTTTAGTGACTTGTTTGTTTAGTGACTCTCGGACTCGTCTGTTTAGTGGCTCGTTTAGTGACTCGTTTGTTTAGTGACTTGTTGTTTAGTGACTCATTTTAGTGACTCGTTTGTTAAGTGACTCGTTTGTTTAGTGACTCGTTGTTTAGTGATTTGTTTGTTTAAGTGACCCGTTTGTTTAGACGGACTCGACTCGCCTGTTTAGTGGCTCGTTTAGTGACTTGTTGTTTAGTATGACTCGTTTAGTGACTTCGTTTGTTAAGTGACTCGTTTGTTTAGTGACTCATTGTTTAGTGATTTGTTTGTTTAGTGACTTCGTTGTTTAGTGGAGTGACTCGGACTTCGGACAGGACTCGTTGTTTAGTGACTTGTTTGTTTAGTGACTCGGACTCGTTCTTTAGTGACTTGTTTGTTTTAGTGACTCTCGTTTAGTGACTCGTTTGTTTAGTGACTTCGGACTCTTCGTTGTTTAGTGACTTGCTTAGTGTTCGTTTAGTGACTCGCTTGTTTAGTGACTTGGACTCGGCGTTTAGTGACTCGGACTCGTTGTTTAGTGACTTGTTTGTTTAGTGACCGTGACTCGTTGTTTAGTGACTTGTTTGTTTTTAGTGACTCGGACTCGCTCTTTAGTGACTCGTTTAGTGACTTGTTTGTTTAGTGACCTTCGGCTGTTTAGTGACTCGTTGCTTTGTTTAGTGACTTCGTTCGTTTGTTTAGTGACTCGTTGTTTAGTGACTTCGTTTGTTTAGTGATTTCGCTTGTTTAGTGACTCTGTTTTAGTGACTCGCTTAGTGACTTCGACTTTAGGACTCGACTTGTTTAGTGACTCATTTGTTTGACTTGTTTAGTGACTTCGGACTCGTTGTTTAGTGACTCGTTTAGTGACTCGTTGTTTAGTGATGACTTGTTTGTTTAGTGACTCATTTGTTTAGTGACTCCGGACTCAGTGACTCGGACTCGTTGTTTAGTGACTTCGTTGTTTAGTGACGCTTTAGTGACCTCGTTGTTTAGTGACTCGTTTAGTGACTCGTTGTTTAGTGACTCATTTGTTTAGTGACTCGTTTGTTTAGTGACCAGCTTTGTGTTGTAGTTGAGTGTGGGAATGTTGAGGATGTTAAAACTTGGTACTTGTTGGAAACCTGCCTGGCACTTGGCAGTAAGGAGATGAAATAAGGATTGGGTGCTGTGGTACGAAGCGATCTTAGGTCTAAGGTGACCGTAACTCCCTTCCCTTAACACAGATTTAAGGTAGAGTTAGTGCTAAGGTCGTTCTGTACAATATGCTGAGTCAATTGACTGCCGTAGGGTAGCCAAGTGATGAAAGTATTGAGACGAATTCTTGGGTTCAATTCCCCACTTGGGTACAATGTGTGAAGCCCGTTTCTGGTGTACCTGCTGGGTTGTTGCTGAAAGAGGTGTAAAACAGTACTCACTCACTCACTCAGAAGTGCAGTAAGATTGAACTTGTTTCATTGTTTGGTGTGAGTGTTATCCAGGTCGGTGATATTGCAGGTTGGGGGTGTGGAGGAGTACCGACTGGTCAACGCCCTCAAGGAGAACCGAATCAACAAGCCCGTGATCGCTTGGTGTATTGGAACGTGTGCCAAGATGTTCACCTCAGAGGTAAGAGCAACCAAGTACCATGAAGGAAGTTGCTAGTGTTTACAAATATTCAGATTGTTGTAGATCTTCTTTGAGAGCCATTTAGAAGTTGGGGCAGTAAGGAAGGATATATGGGTGAACAACTTCTTTATTGCTGTGAGAGCGACGTTTCGGTGTAGTTTCTAACACTGTTATCAAGCAAGTGATGAATAGCATAAGGATGGAGGAGCATATATACAAGTTAGAGTAGATGTTTGTACAGTACAATAGGGATTAGGAAGCCAGACACAATAACAACACAAGGGCTTAGATAAAAGCGTTACCAAATGAAGCTTGCAAAGTACACAAGGGGATAGTGAAGCCTGTAATATACATAAATGGGGTTTATCGATGAGGATCTTTAATGAGTTGGGGGCTGGTGGTGTAGCCTAGTGGTTAAAGCGTTGGCTCGTCAGCTAAAAGACCTGGGGTTCGATTCCCCACATGGGTACAATATGTGAAAGCCATTTCTGGTGTCCCCCCGCCCGTGATATTGCTGGAATATTGCTAAAAAGCTGCATAAAACCATACTCAGCGACTCACTTTAATGAGTTGACAGTATGCAGGAGGTATGTAGTAACCTTGGTCATGGTTGATTTATGGCTGGAGTCTTTTGATGTAGATGGCTTCTTGGAGTTTTCTGAGTTTTTTGAGGTTGGTTGTTAGGGTTTGGGTTCTGTCCCACTGGATCCTGTGGTTGGGATTGTCAGTTGTAGATCTGACAGGATCATTAAATTTCAACCACAATTGTGTTTCTAGGTTTGTCAGCACCAAGGTTCGACCAGAGTAGTAAATGTGTAAGATTTTCTTCGCTTGGTGCCATGATATAGCTGAATACTGTTCAAAGCAGCATTAAAACAAACCCATATCTCGTGAAATGTTGACTGTACGAGTTCCTCTGTTGCAGGTTCAGTTTGGCCATGCTGGGGCGTGTGCAAATGCAGATTCTGAGACGGCAGAGGCCAAGAACAAGGCTCTGAAAGAGGTTGGCGCCAGTGTCCCCCGCAGTTTTGATGAACTTGGAACTGTCATTAGGTAAAAAGGAGTTAAAATTGATTAAAGCTGTCATTTTGTTGCATAATGCTGTTATTCCTAGAATAAGAATTTAATATATGGCATTTTTGTGTTTTTTAAAAAGTTTCCTTATCTTTTTTCATTGTTCACCTATCTATTGACCCTAAACCTCGCAGATCGATGCTCATGCTGTTGATCATTGGATTGTCTGGTCCAGACTCGATTATTTACAGACCGCGGCCATATAGCTGGAATATTGCCGAGTGTGGCGTAAAACTGAACTCACTCACTCACCCTAAAACTATGAAAGTGAATAGGGGAATTTTATTTATTCCCCAAAAGTGAAATTATGTTCTTCAAAATGTACGTACAATACGTTAATCTGTTATAGACAGGTGTATGAGAAGCTGGTGGAGGAGGGCGCCATTGTCCCTCAGCCGGAGGAGGCCCCACCCACAGTACCAATGGACTACAACTGGGCTAGGGTGAGTGCCATCTTTTCTGTACCCCCCGGGGGTGGATGGGTATCGGTCATGTCCATCCCCTTATGAGTGGATATGTAGGTCTTCTCTTTCACCAAGGGAAGGTGAAGGGAGATCTGCTTGTCTCACTTTACTCACTTTTACTTTTCAAATGGGAATGTATATGGCTGACGGGCAGGGGTCAGGTCTGTATAATTTAGGTGTGTCGAATATATCTTAATGTTTCACAGTCATATCTTCCATCCCCATCTAAAACATACATTAACAAAACATCTGACACCATACTCTCCTTGATCGCTGATTGATCTAGTGGCTGTTAAATGAATTTGTTCTGGGATGTAACTAACAGAACTGAAGAAAATACTAGATATCTCTTGCAGAAAAGAAAGGACAATAATTCTGGTGTATGCCACTTTCCTGACTGATTGAAAGCAAATGGTTATTTGTCCTGCAGGAACTTGGCCTGATCCGGAAGCCAGCCTCTTTCATGACCAGTATCTGTGACGAGCGAGGCCATGAGCTGCTGTACGCAGGCATCCCCATCACAGACATCTTCAAGGAGGACATGGGCATTCGGGGGAGTGCTCAGTCTGCTCTGGTTCCAGAGGAGGTAGGTGCATTGTGGGAGGTAGGGGTGTTGGGGTAGACTATTGTTCTGTAGGGGTGTTGGGGTAGACAGTGTTCTGTATGGATGTTGGGTTATCCCACTGTCAGGTGGGGATATCGGGTTAGACTACTGTCAGGTGGGGAGAGTTGGGAAGACCACTGTCAGGTTAGTCAGGCTAGACCACTGTACTTGTAAGGGTGTCAGGGTAGACCATTGTTCTTGTGGGGGTGTCAGGGTAGACCATTGTTCTTGTAGGGTAGGCCAATGTTATTGTGGTTGTGTTTGAGTAGACCAATGTTATTGTAAGGGAGTTGGGGTAAACCATTGTGTGTAGGGGGTGTAATAGTGAGAAGGTAGGCCAATATCTGTTGGTTTCAAGGAAGTAGGACAGTTTTGCCTGAGGGTCTACGGTGTCTGGCAGTTGTAGGTATTTTAGCGTTTTACACAACCTTTTATTATCAACTGACAAATATATCAAACAATATAGGTTGATGCCTTTCACACTGAATGTCAAAAATGTTGGCAGTCAAACACTGAAATAGTTAAATGTGCACTCGTTTCCAGGACAGTTGCTATAAATAAATGTTGTCATGATTTCCAGATTGCCGAAGTATGCCACCAAGTTTATTGAGATGTGTCTGATGGTGACTGCCGACCACGGCCCGGCGGTGTCCGGGGCTCACAACACCATCGTCTGTGCCCGAGCAGGGAAAGATCTCATCTCCTCTCTCACATCTGGCCTGCTCACCATTGTACGTACATTCTCTGCCTCATCTCTACTGGCTTTTAATAGAAAATTTGAAATTCTACTTATATTATTCTCGGGTCCAAGGAGATTCCAGGTTAGAATAGATGAACCTACGATGGCTGTAAGAGGCCACCAAGCAGATTTGGATCCCAACAACATGGATCACTGCTCGTGCTGCTTATTGAGACTGGCATTTATTCAGATAGCTGGAATATTGCTGAAGGCAACATTAATCGACATTCCTCACTCACCCACCTGCATGATTGCTAAACACTGACTTGTAAACCAATCTGATTGACTGATGACTTTATTCTACAAACAGGGTTAGAACTTGTCCCATAGAGCCATATATGTCCTCAGTCTGTAACTAAACTGGGAACAGAGAGGACAGACCCAGACTTGATTGTTAACAAGCAGCCATGACTCAGCTGAAATTGTTGACGACACTCACTCACTCACTCACTGACTCGCTTACTCACTCACTGACTTGCTTACTCACTGATTTACTGACTGACTGACTCACTCACTTCCTTACTCACTGACTGACTCACTCACTTCCTTACTGACTGACTGACTCACTCACTTCCTTACTCACTGGACTCACTCACTTTCCTACTCACTGACTCACTTCCTTACTCACTCACTGACTCGTTTCCTTACTCACTGACTCACTCACTCACTTCCTTACTCACTCATTCACTTCCTTACTGACTGACTCTCACTCACTCGCTTCCTTACTCACTCACTGACTTCGCTTCCTTACTCACTGACTGACTCACTTCCTTACTCACTCACTCACTTCCTTACTCACTCACTCGCTTCCTTACTCACTGACTCACTCCACTTCCTTACTCACTGACTCACTCCACTCGCTTCCTTACTCACTGACTCACTCACTTCCTTACTGACTCACTCACTTTCGCTTCCTTACTCACTGACTCACTCACTCTCAGCTTCCTTACTCACTCACTGACTCACTCCTTTACTCTCACTGACTCACTTCCTTACTCACCGACTCACTTCCTTACTGACTCACTCCTCACTTCCTTACTCACTGACTCACTTCCTTACTGACTCACTCCTCACTTCCTTACTCACTGACTCACTTTCGCATCCTTACTCACCACTCACTTCTTACTCACTGACTCACTTCCTTACTCACTGACTCCACTCACTCGCCTCCTTACTACTCCTCACTCAAGTCGTGACAAATAATACAAAACAGAAATACCAGATGTTTCAATATTTTCCAGGGAGACAGATTCGGTGGCGCTCTCGATGCTGCAGCCAGACAGTTCAGCGATGCCTACGACACCGGCCTGATTCCCATGGACTTCGTCAACGACATGAGGAAGAAGGGTCAGCTGATCATGGGGATTGGTCACAGGGTCAAGTCGGTCAGTACTTGTTGATTTATCTCAGCATTAATTAACAGTTCTTGGCCCTATCCTGCTGCTTTAGTTCTTGAAACATTTTACTCAATGATGACTGTCCAATACGTTAATGAACTGCATACTTTTGAAGGGCTGAATAACGTAGGTGTTACTGAAAGGCTGAAAGTTGACAGTATTTACCTCAATACATACAAGGTTGTGTCAATAGATATTATGGTTAAGTTAGATCTTAGATTTGATGACTGTGATATGGTTTTACTGTCCTTCATCGACAGGTTTTTAAAATTTGCACATTTATCATGAATTTATAACTGAACAGTTGGGGTGTGTTGAAGCTGAACGGTTGGCACATGTTGTAGCTGAACGGTTGGGGCGTGTTGTAGCTAAACAGTCGAAGCTGAACAGTTGGGGCGTGTTGACGCTGAACAGTTGGGGCGTGTTAAAGCTGAACAGTTTGGGCGTGTTGAAGTTGAACAGTTGGGGCGTGTTGAAGCTGAAACGGCTGTGGCGTGTTGAAGCTGAAAGGAACGGCTGTGGCGTGTTAAAGCTGAACGGGCTGGGTGTGTTGAAGCTGAACTGGCTGTTGGCGTTTGTTAAAGCTGAATGGCTGTGGGGTGTTGAAGCTGAGCGGCTGGGGCGTGTTGAAGCTGAACGGCTGGGGTGTGTTGAAGTTGAACAGTTGATTTTTGTTGCAGCTGAACAACCCTGACATGCGAGTGGTCATCCTGAAGGAGTATGTCCAGAAAAACTTCCCTGCCTCACCGCTCCTAAACTACGCCCTCGAGGTGGAAAAGATAACCACATCCAAGGTAGGAGCTGCGCTGGTTATTGATTGCCTGTTACATACGTATGATCAAAAATATTCTTGGAGTCTGTCAATCAGCCTTCATAACTTTCTGCTTTGGAAGCTTCTGATTCGGGTTGTTCCAATGTCTTAAGCAGTTTTATCCTTCAAGTGCTTGTCATTTGATGTAAATACTCCATCACAAGTTGTAACTGAAGATTAATAAGTCTTGGTTCTTCAGCAGTGTGAACATATTTTGGGGTTTAGCTGACACTCTAAAAACCGCTCATTTCTTTCTCCAGTTAACTTGATTAATCCACTCACGTTCAGAGTTGCTTCCCTTGGGCTGTCAGACAACCTTTCATCATGGTTTAAGTTCCAGTCCATCAGTATGTCTGTACGTTTGTCAGCACCATGCAGGTGTCTGTGAGACTCATCAATACTGGTAGTCCTCGCATATCAGGGGCGGTGGGGTAGCCTAGTGGTTAATGTGTTTGCTCATCAAGCTGAAGACCCGGGTTCAATTCCCCACATGGGGACAATGTGTGAAGCCCATTTCTGGTGTACCCTGCCGTGATATTGCTGGACTATTGCTAAAAGCGGCATAAAACTCCCACTCACTCACTCACACCACATGGGTACATTGTATGAAGCCCATTTCTGGTGTTCCCCGCCATGATATTGTTGGAATATTGCTAAAAACTCACTCACTAACTAACTCACTCACTCCTCACTCACTCACTCACTCCTCACTCACTCCTCCTCCTCCTCTCTCACTCCTCACTCACTCCTCCTCACTCACTCCTCCTCACTCCTCACTCACTCACTCCTCCTCCTCCTCCTCCTCACTCCTCCTCCTCACTCCTCCACTCCTCCTCCTCCTCACTCCACTCACTCCTCCTCACTCCACTCACTCCTCCTCCACTCCTCACTCCTCCTCCTCACTCCTCACTCACTCCACTCCTCACTCACTCACTCACTTACTCACTCATCAAGCTTACATCCAGTCATATCACTGAAATACAGGTCATGGCTGTATGAACCCGACTAACTTAATCTTTTTAGAAATAGATACCCTAGCCCTTAGTGCTGACATGGACAATGTTCCATGTTGTAGAAGAGATAAATCTTTCAGTTGTTCTTCAGCCTTTTTTGGGGAGACCTTTTTATAGCTGGAAAATAATTTTTAACATTTCATTTCACACGTAAACTTTTGTACTATTTTCCAGAAACCTAATCTGATTCTGAATGTTGACGGCTTCATCGGGGTCTCCTTCGTCGACCTGCTGAGAACATGTGGCTGCTTCACGAGGTTGGTACTGTCATCACTGTTTAATAATGGTAACACTGAATATATGAGGAGAGCGGAAGGTCGCGGGTTCGATCCCCGACCGCGTCATACCAAAAGACGTTAAAATATGGTACTTGTTGGTCCCTGCATGGCGCTCGGCATAAATGGGTACAACAAGGACTGGTCGGCTCGGAGTCAGTATACTGTGTCTAAGTGGGGTATTCATGCTTCACTGCGGCATGGTATCTCAGTGGGCTAGCACTATAAAACCAGCTTCAGTCTGGGCTAGTACAAGCAGGCGCACATACCATACACACACATGCACGTCTTCATATGAGCGAAATATTCTCAAGCACGACGTTAAACCTAATTTCACCTCACCTCACCTGAATATATGAATGTAAAGTATAGGGCTGGATATTGCCCCGATTCTCAAATTGTGATATATTGCAATAATTGAAGAGATATTGTAATACATATTGTGATATATTGACTGGAAGGTTTCTGCCCAAGTGTGTACATCATTAATTAATAATAGCTCTGTGTGTGACATTGTCTTCTTAGTTACTGTTACACCATACTTTCTGTATGTCAGTGGTTTACAGATAAATGAAATGATACAGAGCCTTAATGTAGAATGTTTAATTGAAGTACTGCATTGCAAGTTTTGCGAAAATAATGATAAATTTAATAGTATAACATGATTTTCATTATCAGCGTTGTTTTCTTCAACAGAATGCACTTCTAAGCAGTATGTAATTATTGTTACTGTATGTCAGTGATTCACTCAGATTAAACTCCAATATAAACATGTGTTAACATGAGCTATTGCAAAATGAAAACAAAAACATGATTTAGGTGAACTACTTGAACTTTAAATCTCATGTGACATCCAATATATTAGTAAGATTCTTGACTAGAATGTCATTATGCAGTCCTACAAAAGACTTTGGCCTTTATGATAATTTGAAAACATATGTCCTATTATATAACAAACAAAATGGTCACTCAGGGCCAGGGGTTCTACAAATACGTCCAAATAAAAGATTGGTAAAATCTTTTAAGGGCATTTAGAAGTGGAAGGCGTTAGAAAAGCAAGATTTATGGATGTCACCTTCTTTATTGTGAATAGCATCTTTATTGATGAAGGAGCAAGCATGCACTCCGAAACGTTGTTATTCACAGCAAGAAATTGACATCCATAAATCTTGCATGCTTTTCTTAAAAGATTGGTCCATTTGAGGCCACTTAATTCCTCCAAAATGTCACATTTGAAACCATGATTCAAATCCACCAAACTTAAAGCATTTGGTAGAATATTTGGCTCTTTTGGAGCCACTTATAAAGATTCTTCCACTTGTAAGATGTTACATGAAACCAAGAGAAATAAATGTATATTTGGTATTTATTAAATGTTTATTTAAAACCATACTCACTCTTATCTGCAAACTGGACTGTAATTTGCTTTGGTTATGATAGTGCTGGCAATGTCATGATGTAGAATTTGTATTCACTTATAACATGCATGTCCATTACGGCGAGGACAAAAAATTCATACCTGACCATTATTTTACAGAGAAGAATCCCAGGAGTATGTAGAAATCGGTGCCCTCAACGCCCTGTTTGTTCTGGGACGAAGCATGGGATTCATCGGCCACTACCTGGATCAGAAGCGTCTGAAGCAAGGATTGTACCGCCATCCTTGGGACGACATCTCCTACATCATGCCCGAGGGCTTGAATGAAACCGCGTGAAGCTGTGATCATCATGAACATCATTGAAACATGTTGTGGAGAGAAAGTAGTATGACTGTTGATATGGATCACATGATCGTGTGTATGGGATCACTGAGTGAATTGTCCGTGTGGGAAGCCTCCCATTCATGTCCATGTGGAATGGATCTCGTTATTCACGTCCATGTCTCATTCCTTCTAGGGTCAAATGAGCAAATATTATGAACAAAGATTAGAATATACGTACTGTATTTACCCTATCAAGCGTCGTGTGGCACGATGCTCTTTGATAAGTACCCGTTTACATCTAAGTGATTGGGAAGATTATTACAGTGAATATAGAAGCTCAAGTTACTTTCAGATTTTGCCAGCAAAATAATAACATTCATTCACAAAATGTTTTGGCAAAAATGCCAATCTCATTCAATGAACAATGTTTTCTGTTCATGAACTATGAAATATGACATTTACGACACCTTGTCTTTGGTAGATAACACCTATATCTGATAAACGTATATGGGATAACACATGTAGGTTTTAGCCAGGTGGTTAAATGTTTAGCTGGCATTGTTGGGGTTTCATGTTATGGGACATGTTTGATTAATGCTTTATTGATTCTATTTATTTGTGCCATTGTATATTTACAGAATTTTATGTTTTGTTATTTTTGCTTTCTTGATCTCCAGTTGTTTTGTTCGTACTTTCTTGCATTCAAGGTTAAAATTGTCATTTTGATAACGCTGAAGCATAGATATTGGTGAAAAAATGTGATGACACTTACAACTTGATGCCAGTATGTTATTGACATATCACTATCAATCTCATTAAGATCTGTAACAGTGCTGGCTATGGCTTCTTGTGGTGGCAGCAAGCACAAGAATCGGATCTAAAGTGGATATTACACACATGCAGAACCATTATTTTGGAGTTACATGATATTTGCTTGCTGCACTGTCCTGACAGCTTTGTTTCTTTGTTTGATTTCATCATGTCTAATTAGCTGCAAGTTAAGATTTTTTAACAGACCTCTTGAAATCCTTTGATGTGGAAGCATCGTGTTGTCGTGGATCTGATATCGTGCATTCCAGTCATCTGTCACTAATCTATTGAACAGTTTCCTTGGCAGGCGTTCGAGTTGGAGGAGGCTCGTCTTTCATTCCAGGTCTCATGTCGCACTTCTTTTGTTCCTTTTAGACCAATATTCTGTCATTTGACAGTTGCACATACATAGGCAAAAATACCCCCCAGTCAATATTGATGAAGTGCTTGTTGAGAGGGGAGGGAACAAATATGCTCACTATTTAAAATTTGGGGGTGGGACTGAGTATTTTGTTACAATCCGAGTGTTTTTGGTCACCACTGCTAAAAGACATGTTCGTCTCTGGAGCTGGCATATTTTGTCCAGATTTTGACAATTCTATTTATTTATTTTTAAAACCACCATCCTCAACATCATGGAAATGGTCAGACCCCTAGCAACCCCCATGATCTGAACAATATACTACATATTAGTAGTCAAATGTCTGTTACTGTTTATTTGAAACCTGTGAACTTTGTTTTCACCTTTGTGATACTTTGCAATATTAGTTCTGTAACCATGGTAACATGTTCAGTGACAAACATGATCCGAGACAACTATACTGCTCAAAACTGTTAAAGAACATTGATTCTTTCAAGTTGTTATAGATATGGTGTCATTAGGTGCTCCTTAACTTCTTTGAGTGGTATGTAGTTAGTGAATCATGAATAAAGTTGTTTCCATTGGGGTGATCTCTTTCTTGTCCTGGGCCTAGATTTTTGAAGCTCTCTTAGAGCTAAGATAGTTGTAAGTCAATGTTAATGTATGGCACTTACGACTATCTTAGCGCTAAGAGAGCTTCGAAATCTAGGCCCTGGGTGTTAGGTTATAGGGTTAGAAATGGATGCATTAGCCTCTGTAGGGTATGCTAGTTTGTGTTGGAGAATATTAATATTATGTACATAGGTGTGATAGATCAGGGAGTAGAAGTGAATCTTGGCCACATCTTTTGACTTGAGGGTTTATGGAATGTTATTCATTTTCATGGGTAGGTTGAAATGTCTTCACTATTTCATAGCCTATAGTCATATGATGCCATGTTCTACTTAAACCTGTGAATATTGACAGACTTTAGGTCCAAATGGAATCGAAAATATATTTGTACCTTATAAAATTGTATTAGTCTTTGGGAGAAAAATATGTGTAAGCCAACTGAAGATATTTGCAATTATTAAACTGGATAGGGGAGAGACGGCATTTCATTTTGTAATTACTTATTTTTAGGTGATTTGCAAGACTGATGAAAGTGTGGCTTGAAGATTTCAGCCCCTGACATAATGTACAGAGTAGATGCTGTGATGGCTGGACTTTGTTATTACTGGTTATCACCTGATAAAATAGTGTAGTTTCTGCACATTTGTGATACATTGTTACACTGTGCAACTAGTGGCCATGGCTGGAGGATATACAGGTATATCCACCAATGTTGGGGAACAATGTGCTTATTGTTTAGACATGGCTAAATCTGTTTGCCACATTTTTCTAGACATGTTCTATGGGAGATAACCTCTCAGCCTGGATTTGCACTTTGTCCTGGCCATATCTCATAGAAATGGCTAGAAATTGAGGAATATAGGGTGTTGTAGATATTAGCCTGGTTGGTTAAGTTAGTGGTATTTAATACTTGACACTGGCCAAACAGATTTTGTCAAATAATTTATTTATATCCCGACAGTATAGACTAACACATAAGTTAATTGAACATTATCCTTAACTGTTTCCATGGAAACACATTTTTCCTAACAGTCATTGGAAATGTGGTATCCGTGGTAACAGAGTTTTGATGGAGGATTATGTCGATGATTTGAATGGCAATGTAGATACTGGCATAAGATAACTATATTGTGGGACCACTTACGCAAAGAGTAATTAACTATTCGTCATGCTGTAACCATGGTAACATGTCTTGTGACTAGAAGTCAGATGTAGGCTTGGTGCAGTAATAAAGCTGGGAAACTATATCTGGTGTGTTTGTTTTGTGTGATAGTAGTTTACTGATTGACCTGTGAAGATCAAGGTTTGTATTGGTCTTTGGTGACCCGTGCTTGGCAAAAGAGGTCACAAACAGGATCACCTGTTGAACTGAATGTAAGCAGGTGAAATACTGTGATGTTGTAATCAGTTCATTTGTTTAACACAACACTTGGCGATATTCCAGTTTTACGATGACTATCTGGACTAGATCAACCTGTGACTGACAGCCCGAGCATCAAATTCAAAGACATACATAAACTTCGCCATTCAATTCCATCAGTTACCATTATCGTCACTGAATCAAGACGTTAGAAAGCTGATTATGCCATTCATGTTTTATTCTTACTCAAAAATATAACTGATCCTCTGAAGAAACTGTGTACACAATGTGGATGGAGGACAAATTACAAAATGAAAACGGATGTATTCTCTACATGATGATCAGCATGTGCACTCGGCCACTATTGAAATCAGTTTGTCACACAACATACAAAAGGAATATGAACGTGCAGTGAAGAGTTGCATCCCTCAGTCATGGTAGGATATTATAAGTTATCACATCGTGTCGAGGGAAATACAGGGTTTTATCAGGCCCGAGTAAGGTTGTATTCCCCGAGCCGGAACCAATACAACCTTACGAGGGACTGATAAAACCCCGTATTTCCCTCGACACGATGTGATAACGCATTTATCTAGCCGAATGTTTTTACTAAATGAAAAGAAAAGAAAATTCTCAGTTGTGGCAAAATGTTTTCTTGCTGCCATGTTGACAACAGCTGATCGATTGACCTCAATGCAGCTTACGTTACTAAAGGCTTGGCGATGCACGCTTTTCTCAGTTCGCGTGGTCACCGAGGCGTGGCGGGATAATACGACTTTTGTACTCCCTGCTCGCTGATCGTGATGGGTGTACATGGTATTTTATCAGAGTCACGTGAACCAATCAAAACTCGACATTCTTACATGAGGCTGGATAAAGTGACTTATCCCAGATTGAACCTATATTTTCTACACATGCTCAAGGTAAACGATAACCTGTTTAAAGGGCTGCCATGCACATACTGCTAATGAGAGGGACATTGTGGATTCAACACATTCAAAATGGCATTCGATCAATTTCATAATTTTTGCAATTCAAACAGATCAACCTGACACAAGGCAGGATGATAAATGTGTTTGTCTCCAGTGGGGCGCACAAACTTCCTCTCATCACAGTTACCCATGCTGTTGTGTTGAACTATGACAAACATTTTTATGCCAACAAGTTTTTAATATCAAATGTAAAATCCAGTTCTCTACCCTTATCCTTCTCTCAGGTCATGGGGCGGTGGGCTAGCCTAGTGGTTAAAGTGTTCGCTCATCACGCTGAAGACCCGGGTTCAATTCCCCACATGGGTACAATGTGTGAAGGCCATTTCTGGTGTTCCCTGCGGTGATATTGCTGGAATATTGCTAAAAGTGGCATAAAACTCACTCACTCACACTTTTATGTGACGACAGACACAAGATCAAGGATCGGCTTTTCTATGTTTGTTACTAAACGCCACCCTCCTTCCAGCAATGACAACATATATATTATCTTTTCATATATCTGAGGGGCGGTGGGGTAGCCTAGTGGTTAAAGCGTTCGCTCCTCACGCCAAAGGCCCGGGTTCGAATCCCCACATGGGTACAATTTGTTAAGCCCATATCTGGTGTCCCCCGCCGTGATATTGCTGGAATATTGCTAAAAACGGCGTAAAACCATACTCAGTCAGTCAGTCAGTCACATATCTGATATTTGTAGAGGTTTTACAGAAAGAATGATTGAGCAGCACTGACCACATGTAACCATGGCAACATGACATTCTTTCCACATACTGGTACATCCATTACAACACATACATACAGATCTCATATTGTTGCAAAGAGTGCATTAAACATGTTGAAGATTGGGAATCATTTTGTGAAAGACTCAAACACACATCACTTCAAACAGTGCAAGTTCTTTCACAGGAGGAAGATGTACTTGAGTTGTGAGCCCCGAGAACGAGTGTTGAAGACATCACCAGTTCCTCCAGTCTCTCATACTCCAGTGAATCACAGTCATCTTCCTCCACCTTGTGGGCCGGTGGGGTAGCCTAGCTTGTCACGCTGAAGACCCAGGTTCGATTCACCACATTTCTGGTGTCCCTCACTGTCATATTGCTGGAATATTGCAAAAGCAGCGTAAAACCAAACTAATTCACTCACTCCTCCACCCTGCTCATCTTCCTCCACCCTGCTCATCTTCCTGCAACTTGGTCATCTTCCTGCAACTTGGTCACCTTCCTCCAACTTGGTCACCTTCCTCCAACTTGGCCAACTTGGTCATCACCACTTTGTTTCTCAATCTCCTTGTACTCTTTCCACCAGACTCCTCCATGGTCTCTGTCCAAAATAGTCTCTGTAAAATAGACGAGCCTGCTACATCAGACATCTGCAGCAACTCACAATAAGCTGATATCAGAATACACACCAGTCAGTCACTCACCACGCTGTAAGGGCAGCATTTTTATTTTCTGTGTTTCTCATTTCCCGACCAACCCTTCTAATCCTATAGCTCATCTCCCCAAAACCAACACAGCCAACACGGACCTAAAACGTACCTCCTTATCATATAAAATGTTTATCTTTTAATCAGTCGATGCCACAAGTCCACAGAACGTCAGAAATTGTAATAAGAATTACAATAAATGAGAATCAAGAACATTATTTAGATAATTTTGTCTTTACTAAGTTGGGGTTTTTTGGGTTTTTTTCCGGCCGACCGACCCATGTTCAGAATTTGGTTGCTGCATGAAACACAAAAAACAAGAAGACAAAGTCATCAATATCCCCCGCAATGGCAAAATACTCTTCATGATTATGTCTACGAGTTATGATTATGTCAAATATTTAGGTGTGTATATAGAAAAGTGGAAGGAGAGTATTGAAAGGTTTTGAAAGTTCTGCTCCAGAAAGGAGCACTATCACCAATTTCAGTCTAACTCAAACTTGTTGCCATGGATATGACAAAAATATTTTATTCAGAATTCCAAAACTACCAAAAGGCACCAGTACACCACCAGATCTATCTATGTGCCAAGTTTGGTGAAGGAATAGTGAATGGTTTTAGAGTTCTGCTCCGGAAAAGAGCACAAACACCAATTTCAGTCTAAGTCAAACATGTTGCCATGGAAACGCCAAAAATATTTTATTCAGAATTCCAAAACTACCAAAAGGCACCAGTACACCACCAGATCTATCTATGTGCCAAGTTTGGTGAAGAAATATTGAACGGTTTTAGAGTTCTGCTCCGGAAAAGAGCACTACCACCAATTTCAGTCAAAGTCGAACTTGTTGCCATGGAAACGCCAAAAATATTTTATTCAGAATTCCAAAACTACCAAAAGGCACCAGTACACCACCAGATCCATGTATGTGCCAAGTTTGGTGAAGAAATATTGAACGGTTTTAGAGTTCTGCTCCGGAAAAGACAAATGTGCACGGACGGACGGAGTCCATTTTAATACCCCCCGCAAATCGCGTTGAGGGGGATAAAAAGGTGCCCTAACTACAGCTGGCCATTTCCAACCCAAATTGATAGTTCCAGCAGGTTTTGTTTGTTGTTCAATGTCGCACTCAGCAATATTCCAGCTATATGGCGGTGGTCTGTAAATATTTGAGCCTGGACCAGATAATACTAGACAACTGGGAGAAATTCTGTATCATTTAATGTCTGAGAACTGATGGAACAGGTTCATCAGATTTCACCACATTGTTTTCTGTTCTTTATTACCATGGTTACGGAAACTTACTTTTTGACTGAGCCATTTCTCTGTCGACTGTGGACAGAAACAAGATGTTGCTGTTCTGCTGCTGTCTGTAGACACGCTGAAACAAACAAGACGGACCTGTTCCACTGCATTTCTTGTCTGCGCCTCCTGGTAATTAGCGTGTTTCTGTGTAAATGAGACACTGCCTCTATATAAATAAGATAAACACTGTCTGCAAGATTGTTCCATGTCAGCCATGGGGACACAGTTCAGTTTTACCTTGTTACATTCATATGTACCAGCAGAGATGCAGTGTTGCAAATAATAGTTTCAAGGATCAAAATTAGTAGTTTGACCATAAAATTAGTAGTCAACTAAACACTTAAAATCATGAAGGACTCTGAGAAAGATAATATGACACTAATCAAGAGTGAAGCTTGAATTTCACACATCGGTTTCGTATAATCAAACGTAAGGGACGGTCACGTGGTTAAATCATTCCGATAGGATTGTCATTTTCTGTCAGTACACAATAAGTGGGTCACATCGCAAAGGTATTGAAATCAGCTTCATATTTCTGAAAGACAATTTCGCTAAAATTATGTTAGTTACTTGCAATGTTCAAATGTGTCATTAAATTTGATGGATGAAGGTAATTGAAGTCCAAAAATGTATTTAATCGACGAAAATATATGGTTTTGTCCATATATCCAAATTTTAATGAATTTTCTTCAAATTTCATAGAATTTCTAGTGCAATCGTATTGGTGTAGTTTGAGGTTAAAATTCGTAGCGACTACGACAAAACCGTAGAGGTTGGCATCTCTGTACCAGGCATATCACTTTTCAGTTTGGACAGAAAGTAGTTCAAAGAATTGAAGTCTCAAAATCACAGTAATAGCATGATCGCCAACCCTAAACCCTTATCATGATTAATATTATCACCCATTTTTGACAACATTTTGTAACCAGGAAACGCAATGTATACTGGAACTCTCTATTATTGCGGGCTCTCTAATATCGCGACCCGTGAAAACATTGGGAAAGCAAAAACACCACACCCCACATCAGCTGTTTACATATGCAAATTACGTAAAAACAAATCATTGCTCTCGAAAAAGTCGTCTATTTCATTGGAACGTCATGTCTCATCATAAAAATATTAAAGCATCTTTTCAGCAAGTTCTGGAACATCTTGAACTAGTATGACCCCTACTGCCAATACATCTGGCATGAATCAAAACTTACTCCGTCAAAAGTAATCCTGCGACAACTATAAGGTCATTTGCATATTTTCCATCCTAAAAATGTAACAGGAAGTAGCAGTTTCACCCTGCACACGGCAGCAAATTTTATGGTACGTTTTAAGGCGGCAAAACAATATTTTGTTATTGTTACCTTGTATCTAAATGAATAGAAGTTTCCTGTGTTTTTGTTGAAAACATGATGATATTACTAATATTAGTAATGTGAATGAAATTCCTCAATAATTTTTAATGATAAAACTATTTAGATTCATCACTTGTCTTAGTAAACATTTCACAGTGTCATTTGCTTGTGCCACGTGCCATAGTAAGAAAATAGCAATGCCGCGATAATAGAGAGTTGCTTCAATTTCCGTCTAAGTCTAATTACTGCACTTAAAAAATGCTGCATTTATGAACTCCAAATACGTACTGCTCCTTTCCTGATTGACTTCATCTCATCTTGAAGAACCTTCTGCTCAGTAATCTGTATACAATCAAAGGGCATGAAAACTTCAATAAAATACAATCAGGCAAACAATGAACAAAATGAAAGGACTTTAACATGATAATTAAGAACCATTTTCTGCCCATGCAATATTTTTGTGCAATCACATGTCCAGGGTATACTCTAACTAACAAAACCCTCATTACTAGTCATAGATAACCCGCTGACTGATGTATATCTGTATAGATATCATCCCCCAGATAAATCTGTGTTATTTCAGTTTGGAAACAAAAACATATTTCAGTGATTAGCAAGATTGATAATAATAATAACAATAGTTATAATTTATATACATGTAATTGAACAGCACAGATATCCAGTAAACTACCACTCAAGAGCACTTCAAGGTGCCATGACCTTGATGATTTACTTTATATGATCACTGCTGGTCAGAAAATCGATAAACTAGGCCCCAGTTTAGTATCCACTAAATTGGGGCCTAGGTTATCGATTTTCTGACCGGCAGTGCTTCCTATGCTGTTTTAAAAAGATGGTGATTGTGATTAGCACATTATGTTCTTGTAGGTTGCAAGTTTCTGAATTGGGAAATGCACAAAGTTAGGTTACTGAGCTACTGTCTGAAGAGCCACCGTAAGTTTTACTTTTTATTTATCACAAATATCAGTCTCTTGCTTAGATCTAATTTGCATATTATCATTCTTAAACTTAGATGCTTCAGTTATCCGTGCAAAAGAGAAAATAAATACATCTGTAGTACGACAAACATCATTAATTGATTATTTCCTCACACTTGTCAAGTGTCTGGACGTTGTAATATCCTCTACATTGGTGAAAACGAAATCTTGCCTGACCGAGACAACGACGCTACTGTTTGTGAATAAATATTGCAAGCACATACTCCTGTGGTCGTACCTTTGAATCAAGCTTCTGTTTTCTTCTAACAGCTCCTGTATTAGACATTGTGTCTAAATTTCACACATCAAACATCAAACTTAAACTGGAGAAAGGTGTTTCATGTTTGTCGACTGCAAGACACGATGGTAACAAATCATGAGAATTAGAGTTACCCGCCCCTGGTTTATTACAAAGTTAGTATGCGGAAAACACGGATTGGGATATCATATTAGCATTTTGTAGAAGTATGAAAAAATATATCATTCTCTGGACAAAATTTCAAATATACAAAGAGTTAATCTTGCCAGTCAGAGGCATTGTTAACATTCCTTAAAAACTCACAAGTAAACAGGGGGTGTCATGCTGCAGTGCCTCTATCTATGTTAGGATGTCATTGAGATAGAAAGTTTTATCTGGAATTGAGTTCATTATTTGAGCACCTGTTCATTCAAAAACATAAATAATTGAGGTCTTAAACATTAAAAAATATCTTATTGCAGATCTCAAACCTAAACCCTACCCATCATCCCTTCAAACACAAATGGTTCCTTTCTAAAGATTCCTTAGTAAGTGTAGTGAAATTGCATGTGTTTTGACTCCCAAAACGTATTTCTTTACTTACAAGCATCCAATCTCTGTACTTCTACACAGCAGTCGTAATTCCAAATTATTTGAATGAATTTTCCAGTTCGTAGATCACTTGATTGTCTGGTTTGTTCACAGTGTCAGGTAAAAAAATACTTCCATTTTAGAGCAGGACATGCTTACCCTTTCTCTCTCTTCCGGCCAAAAGCCCCTCGGGACAATTGCCCCATGGTACAAAAGCAGTTTGAAGTTACCAGCCCTGATGTCTTGCTGGGTTTTTGGCTTATTTCATACACTGACAAAATACCCTTGCTAATTTGAGCACCCCTGTCAAAATTCTGTAAAAGAACCTGGAGAATTCACTGATCCAGGGCCCCGTTCCTCAAAGCGATCTTAGCGCTACGACAGTCGTAAGCCTATGTTAAAGTATGGGAGTTACAATCATCTTAGCGCTATGATCGCTTTGAGGAACGGGGCCCAGAGTGACTCAAGTTTCACACCAACCATTGTTTTACGTGGTCTATCTGCCAGGTGGGTACAATAACAAAAGCAACAACCAGTCCACCGAAATTGCTCTGGATCAGTGTCCCTTTAAGCACCTACTGTTCACTCCTCTTGAGATAGACTGTATGACAAATGACTGTAGCAGGATTTGCAGCAATGTTTGAATGACAAGGATGCCATACCACAAAGCCAGCATAGTGCTAAGATGTTCTAGTTCCCATAGATGGTAACTTTGGACTACTGTAAACAGCTTTATTGAACCGGACCAAGTGGACATTGAACTGAGTAGAGCTACTGAGACTCGGACACACCACTGAACCAGTCCTTGATCCAGGCAGGGAGACAACAAGTAGCACCCTGAATGTCTGGTATGACACAGCTGGGGATGGGACTTCTGACCTTTCATTCTGCAGGTAGACCCTCTATCCATTACACAATGGCAGCGGTCTACAGTGATGGAAATGCATGCAGTCCTGTTTACTGTTGCAGTTTAGTGATGGAGGATATGTGATTAAGTATAGTGATAATGTGTAGTGATGAAGTTTAGTGAAGTGTTGTGATGAAGTATGGTGATTACACTTTGTAAGTGTTGTGATGCAGTATAGTGATGAAGTGTTGTGATGCAGTATAGTGATGAAGTGTTGTGATGAAGTACAGTGATGAAGTGAAGTGTTGTGATGAAGTATAGTGATTACACTTTGTAAGTGTTGTGATGCAGTATAGTGATGAAGCGTTGTGATGCAGTATGGTGATCAAGTGTTGTGATGAAGTATAGTGATGAAGCATATTGATGAAGCATATTGATGAAGCATTGTGATGAAGTATAGTGATAAAGTATGGTGATGAAGTGTTGTTATGCAGTATAGTGATAAAGTGTTGTGATGAAGTATGGTGATGAAGTTTACTGGTGAAGGATAGTGATGAAGTGTTGTGATGCAGTATAGTGATGCAGTATAGTGATGCAGTATAGTGATGAAATGTGATGAAGTGTTGTGATGCAGTATAGTGATGAAGTATAGTGATGAAGTGTTGTGATGAAGTGTAGTCACTGTGTAACTGAGTATGGAATTGTGAATACATCTTGTCTCCATCTTTCTTTCTTTTTTTCAAGCATTTGCCCACAATGAGTAAATAAGCAAGAATAGCGAATTGATTATTATGTATTTATTCATACATATACACATAATATTCATCATGATACATAATACTCAACAAGGCTAGACAATCAGGCCCCATGTTGTCCTTATGAAACATTCTAGGTGATACGAAGAAAATCCTGTTGATAAGTCTCAATAGTATGTCAAATGAGCTTAACCCATGAGCATGGGATGGTGCTGATGAACTTAAGATCATAAAGCAACCTGTCATTGACTAACAGGGAGAAAAGGACAGGGGAGTGGAGCAATGGAATCTGGGCAGTGTCACCCAAAATATAGTAGTGAGTGAGTGAGTGAGTGAGTTTAGTTTTACGCCGCTTTTAGCAATATTCCAGCAATATCACGGCGGGGGACACCAGAAATGGGCTTCACTGACTGACTGACTGAGTTTGGTTTTACGCCGCTTTTAGCAATATTCCAGCAATATCACGGCGGGGGACACCAGAAATGGGCTTCACACATTGTACCCATGTGGGGAATCGAACCCGGGTCTTCAGCATGACGAGCGAACACCTTGACAAACAGGCTACCCCACCCCAAAGTCTAGCAACAAGGGGAGAGTAATAAAATATACTTAACATCGTATAATAAAATATAAAGAGCTTTTTCAATTTTACTGAGAAAGTGTAATCCGAAATAGAACATTTGTTACTTCTTCATCTTGTTTTGGAAGGTCATGAAGAATATTTACAAGGACATTTGGCATTTTACAAAATATGAACAAACAAAAATACATTAACAAATAAACTTATACATAATGTTTGTGGTATCATATCACTTCTTATACACTGATTTGTTATTCTAACAACTCAGAGAATGATAACACAATGTGGAATCTGGATGGTTATCACTGTTATGGTCTATTTGAATGTAACAGGGAAATATATGCTATTTACCTACAACATATCACAGTGAAAACAGATACTCCTGGTGGTGTAAAGAAAGTATCTTTTGTGTTTCATGTTTTCAGGTTTGAAATATGTTTAAGTAACATGTTAGGGCAAGTCAATGAGCTGACTCTAATTGCTTTGTCTGTAGCATTTAAATAAGTTATGAGGGAAGTATCATCACTTCATGTAGTGTTCTCTGGAACCGGGGCCTCTTTTGTTGCTGCTGCATATCTTACAATTTGTCTGAAAAATAAGACAAAATATATATTTAATGAATGTACTAAAGTAAAAAATTATGTAAAAAAGAAAAATCATGAGGATATTCAAAGAACAATGCTGTGACATCACAGCCAGGGGAGATAACTGCGTAGCTCTTTAGGAATACCACTAAGGATAACTATGACTTAATTTTGAATTTTATTCACATTCATTTTCTGTATGTCTGTGGTACCCACAGCATACGGCAGCCATAATCTAGAGCGAATGTTTACGACATAATCTAAATATTTAGTGAATGTACTAAAAGAAAAAGTTATGTTAGTGGAATTTTGTTACAAGAACATGTAACATGTTTCAAAATCAGTATGAAAAACCAAAAACAGTAAGTAACATGTAATAGATTTTTACCTTAAACAAACTAAACACTGAACTTTAACACAACATAAAATACCAAATTCACACAAGATTGTTATCAGTACAACTAATCGAAATAAATTCAAAAGGACAAAATGGAAGTTTGATTCTTCCAAAGGTTGAACCACAGGTTTCATGCTATTTTATTGAGAGGAGAGCAACAGGGGTCTTCTTGTATTCAAGTCAGCATCAATCTCAGGTCTTATGTGCTCAAGATAAACACACTAACCATCTGCCCACCCTCTTGACTTACGACGTACAGCACACCCTACTGAGCTACTTACCGCCCCAGCAGGGAGACAGTCTTCATGGAATGCATGATGGCAGAAATATGCATTGACATTACTTGCGTACCGCAAATCTACAGTCAGAAAGAATTTGAAAGATCAGACATTTAAGCATGCAGCGTTAACAATATATGACATTTTACTGTTTAAATAATCTGTATCAAACACATATATCATTGATTTATTAGTGTCTGCACTCTCTTTTATAAATCACTCGCAATAAAATGGTGGGGTTTTTTTGTGGACAGAAGGTCTGAACAAACCCCAACATTCGTATGAACACATTACTTGAAAAACGGTGGATAGCCGTGCATGCAGCATGCACAAAAGCTTGCGTCAGTGGACATTGTTACTGAACAAGGCAGAATTCGTCATGTTTTCAATAGAGCAGCCATGCTGTCGGTGACTATCTCTCATAGTGCCAAATCAGTGCACAGTTGTACGAAGTCAAATAAGGACTTCAATAAGACCACATGGTGGTTTCGGTGGTCAGATAAGGACCGTGTCTCATGTCAAATAAGGACATATTGATGTATATAGTGCCATTGAAATATTTTGTTGGTTCATGTTTCTGTCGGTAAAACTACATGAACTTTGAAAATTTTTGAGTTATTTTCAAGTCTTCCTTTGCTGCTTAACAAGTAGCCTCTTACAAACAGCAGTAGAGTCTAGCAATACTAAGACCATCATTATCTAGTCCAGAAACACAATAAGTACCCACCATTCACAATGAGCTGCTGGTGGCAAATTGGACACACTTGTACATCTGTAAAGTGAGAAAGATCCTTCAGTTCCTTGTCTCTACACTCACTCACATGAAGTCACTCTCAAAATCACAATAGTTCGGAATAACAGGTACCAAAGCTTTGAACAAACCATGATAACAAAAACACCATGCTTCAATATAAAAGCAAACAATATTTTTCACATCACCCACTGACCACATTTTTTTAATAAATAGCTTTTTTTATATGGCCACCACTACTGGGAATTATTTTGGGCAGTAATTAATTCACATGGACTAAAGTAATTAATTCACACCGACCAGACATTAACATTAAGTTATTAAATAGCCTGGTTCCTTCCTCACCATCTACAAACACGCCTTTCTTCATTGTGCGGACCAGTCGGTCCATCAGGTTGAAACTGTCTGCAACCAGTATCTTACGGCACCCCTCTCGGAGAGATATCTGAATACAAATACACGAACAACTAACTGCTTCAATCAATGCTTCAAGTTCCAGCGTTTTACTGCTAGCCCACAAGGCACACGATGATTGTGAATTGCTGCACTTTATAAATACATGAATTATTACTTATTATGAAAAGCTGTTTCTAAGTCTGACATGAAATCAAATTTTAACATTAGACAAGATTATTTAATTCCTGACGTTATTTGTTGTTTAACACCAAATTCATCTACATTAAAGATATTTGACTTGCAATTCACTTGTTCACTGACTGACAACACGTTTCCATTGAGTTGCCCACATGACTGATTGGTTGGTTGGTTGGTTGATTGGTTGACACTGCTCTCAGCAATATTCCAGCTGTAGGGCGTTTGTAAATAATCAAGTCTGAACCAGACAATCCAGTGATCAACAGCACGAGCATCGATCCATGAAATTGGGATATGATGACATGTCAACCAAGTCAGCAAACCGAACCACCCGATCCCGTTAGTGACAAGCATGGGTTCCTGAAGACCACTTCTAACCCAGATCTTCACAGGTAGGTGAAGACTGTACTACCTGTAGGTTGTAGTCCTGTAGGATCTTCACCAGTGAGTCCCGGAGTGACGGGATCTCCATGCCCTTCTCAATACGACTGATGACCTTGATCGGGTCAATGTCGGCCCCTACATTCTGCAGCAGAGCTGTTATAAACTCTGGAAAAGATACATTCATGTCAATTCACAACACTATTCTCTGATACATCATACATAATGAAGCAAAAAAAGTTTTTGTAAGTTGCTACAGCCATGCTAGAAGATACATTTCATAATAGTGTAAAGTAAACTACAGTTACAACTCACTCAAAGAGCATCGATCTGCGCAATTGGGATCCGATGACGAGCCTGACCACCCGATCCCGTTAGTCGCCTCTTAGGACAAGCATGGGTTACTGAAGGTTCATTCTAACCCAGACCTTCACGGATACTCAAAGGGTTAAGATGTAGCTGCATGAAATATGCAAGGACCAAAAACACAGTTTGTTATTTCCATCAGCTTGTTATAAATGTATTTGTTATAAACAAAGCATACCGTACATGTCTGCAGACTAACTCATGGAGTTCGTCAAGCATGACCACTGAACACTCCAGACGACAAATTGATCTCATTTGGCAACACGGAACTATATTCAGATGAAAGATATCCGTACGCCATTCCGATAGTGTATCGAAGCTTATATTCAAATATATACAACAATTGATAGTACATTACACATAGCACTGGTACATTGCCTGGGCCCCGTTTCACAATGCTCTTGTAGCGCTACGACTATCGTAAGTCAATGTTACAGTTTAGGAGGTAGGAGTGCTACAAGGAAAGTTACGAGATCTTAGGCTTACGAGAGCTTTGTGAAACGGGGCCCTGTATTGTTGCTTTGTACATTTTTAACATGTCATAATTTGTGTATCATCCCTGCCCTTTTTTCTGGAATATATTTGAGAATGCCCCCAATCCATTAAGTGTGTAGCCTTGTGGTTAAAGTGTTCGCTCATCACACCAAAGACTTATGTTCGAATCCCCACATGGGTACAATGAGTGATGCACATTTCTTGCGTCCTCCACCATGATATTGTTGGAATATTGCTAAAAGTGGCTTACACCATACTCTCTCTATCCATTGAATAGACTCATGTAGTAATGTAAGTATCTAAAGGGAGACAACTCTAACTCTACTAACCAAAACTATCTATCAAAGCACATGTGTTTAAGGCTCTAAGGGCAGAGAACTTTGACTTTACAAACCAAGGCACGTGTAACTAAGGGCAGACAACTGTGGCTTTACTAACCAATCCATGTGTAACTAAGGGTACACAGTTGTGACTTTACAAGCCAAGGCATGTGTAACTAAGGGTAGAGAATTGTGACTATACTAACCAACCCATGTGTAACTAAGGGTAGACAACTATGACGTTATTAACCAATCATGTGTAACTAAGGGTAGACAACTGTGACTTTACTAACCAATCCATGTGTAACTTTACTAACCAATCCATGTGTAACTAAGGGCAGACAACTGTGACTTTACAAACCAAGGCATGTGTAACTAAGGGCAGACAACTGTGACTTTACAAACCAAGGCATGTGTAACTAAGGGCAGACAACTGTGACTTTACTAACCAAGCCATGTGTAACTAAGGGCAGAGAACTGTGGCTTTACTAACCAAGGCATGTGTAACTAAGGGCAGAGAACTGTGACTTTACTAACAAAGGCATGTGTAACTAAGGGTAGGTAACTGTGACTTTACTAACCCATCCATGTGTAACTAAGGGCAGAGAACTGTGTAACTAACTTGTGACTTTACTAACATGTGTAACTAAGTAGACATGTGTAACTAAGGGCAGACAACTGTGACTTTACTAACCAATCCATGTGTAACTAAGGGTAGACAGCTGTGACTTTACTAACCAAGCCATGTGTAACTAAGGGCAGACAACTGTGACTTTACTAACCAATCCATGTGTAACTAAGGGTAGACAGCTGTAACTTTACTAACCAAGCCATGTGTAACTAAGGGCAGACAACTGTGACTTTACTAACCAAGCCATGTGTAACTAAGGGCAGACAACTGTGACTTTACTAACAAAGGGGTGTATAACTAAGGGCAGACAACTGTGACTTTACTAACAAAGGTGTGTGTAACTAAGGGTAGGTAACTGTGACTTTACTAACCCATCCATGTGTAACTAAGGGCAGAGAACTGTGGCTTTACTAACAAAGGCATGTGTAACTAAGGGACTTTACTAACCAATCCAGACAACTGTGACTTTACTAACCAAGCCATGTGTAACTAAGGGCAGACAACTGTGACTTTACTAACCAATCCATGTGTAACTAAGGGTAGACAGCTGTGACTTTACTAACCAAGCCATGTGTAACTAAGGGCAGACAACTGTGACTTTACTAACCAAGCCATGTGTAACTAAGGGCAGACAACTGTGACTTTACTAACCAAGCCATGTGTAACTAAGGGCAGACAACTGTGACTTTACTAACAAAGGGGTGTATAACTAAGGGCAGACAACTGTGACTTTACTAACAAAGGTGTGTGTAACTAAGGGTAGGTAACTGTGACTTTACTAACCCATCCATGTGTAACTAAGGGCAGAGAACTGTGGCTTTACTAACAAAGGCATGTGTAACTAAGGGTAGAGAATTGTGACTTTACTAACCAATCCATGTGTAACTAAGGGCAGACAACTGTGACTTTACTAACCAAGCCATGTGTAACTAAGGGCAGACAACTGTGACTTTACTAACAACGGTGTGTGTAACTAAGGGCAGACAACTGTGACTTTACTAACAAAGGTGTGTGTAACTAAGGGTAGGTAACTGTGACTTTACTAACCCATCCATGTGTAACTAAGGGCAGATAACTGTGCACTGACTTGGTTTATCCATGGAGTAGTTGATGAGATCCTCCCAGAGCTCCTCGTCCACCTGCTCCTTACAGAACTCGATGGCATGGTTGACATCCTGCAGCTCCGTCATGATCAGCGTCAGCGCCTGCCGCACGTTACCCATACGTCCTGAAACACACCAACGGTTGAGTCACATCACACACATGCTGCACATACCCCAAGTAGATGATTCACTTTAACGAACAACTGTGGATTGGCTTTTTGGAGGACTACATTTTAATCTAAATGACCACTATCTCTAACATAGCCTTCAAACAGGAATAGGTGTATTTGACAGACATGAAAACAGCAAAGCAAAAAAACCCCGCAGATTTACATCAATCTCAAAAATGTTCAAAATGAAACAAGAATCCCGTAAATCTGCAGATCCGTGGAAAATTCTTCACGTTAATTTGTTGAATAAGGTACCATATATGAACATAAAGAATTGTCTGCATTACATCTTCTTTTTATTCTTTGATGCAACATTTCCGGTCCCATCATCAGTTACTGTTCATTAGTTTTGCCTGATGATGGACCGGAACAGGCCCCAAACATTGAATCAAAGAATAAAATGAAGATGTAATCCAGAAAAATATTTATGTTCATCAAATAGCATCTTCTAATCAATCATCTAAGGTACCATATACTTGTTGTAAATTCAATAAAATGTCAGCTTCACTTTTTTAATGTTTGTTGGATTGTTGTTTAACACCACACTCATCAATATTCCAGCTACATGGCATGAGCTGTAAATACTTCAGTCTTGACCACGACATCTAGTGATCAACAGCTCGAGCATCGATCTACGCAACTGGGATACAATGACATGTGTCAACCTAGTCAGCGAGTCTGACCACCGGATCCCGATACTAGCCTCTTACAATAAGCATGGTTTCAGAAGACCAATTCTCACCCGGATCTTCACTTGTAACTTATTAATACCGCCACCAACATAAGTTCTTGCCTGACATACCAGTCCAGTCAATCACCGTTGCCAAGATTTGGATTTCATATTTTGAACTCAAGCTTACCTAGAAGAAACACCTGTTCCCTGACAAAGCTCCTGGCTTCACATTCCTCCAGCGCCATCTGTAGGGGGTAGGACTCACTACGTCGCAGAAAGGGGAGTAACTTTTGTCGGTCAAACTCAGCATACAGCTTGACCATCTTCCCATGATGCTCTTGGGCTGAGTTCATGTCCTTCTGTATCAGCTGGTCAAGGTACTGGAGAAAGACAAAACATATAGTTTGAATCAAACTCAGAATTTGAATGGTGACAAGCACTCGCAACACATTGTGTACATTTCTGCTCCCTTGAATCAAAACACAATAATGGAGACTCAAGGACACTTTGAGTAAGGTTGGCCAATGTGGAAAAAACACTCTTAGAATTACCCAAACAGTCATATAACCTAAACTTAAAAGCCTCTAAATTTACTGAAGCAAATATCTTTTGAATGACACATAAAAGATAATAAGCTTGTAAATAAATTAATAACTCAGGTAAATGAACTGGTAAAAAGCTCTGAACTAGCATAGTCCTTGTAAACCCTGGCTGAATTCAAACCTCATCATCCTAGGTTATCAATATCAATGTGCAGAGTTAAATGCCTTCAACAGATCAGGATCTGCTGATTCTGGGTCCAAAACCAAGATTTAACCTAGGTTTGTCTGTACCATAGCCATGGAAAATGTACTCCAATGGCATAACTTCAACCTGCCATACTGTGATTGAAAAGCAGCATTAATCCTAAATATCTTGCATTCCCATCACTGTTGTGCTGAAAGCAATGACTCACCACGTAGAGGAACGGTGGAGTCTTGTTCAGTTGTTGTACGACCTTCGACACCTGCAAACAAACACACGTTTATTACGTCTCCCAAGTTTTCATTCAGTCATGGTATAAGGGTATTCTACCACACAGAACTTTGTCAAGAGATTCCTGAGAGTTATCTGCCCTTCTCAATATTTTGAAAAACCACATCTGTAATGAATCATTGAAGCATAAGAGTATTTTGATACTTTGTAACAATATTTAATCATGTCTGGACATGTTATGAGTATTGCTTCACACATTAATCCATAGCCCTGAAACAAATATACCCCATGCAGTCCATGCAAGACTAGAATATGTAGTATGACTAGATTAACACAGTTTCACAGTTTCAGCATTTGTACAAATCTGCTGAATTCACAAGCGAGGACAAAGTTTGTAATTAACAGTTACTCTCCAGCTGTCAACAGTGTTTAGCATCAATACATGGCATAGCTCCCCTAACGGGATCAGGGGTCAGGCTCGCTGACTTGGTTGACACGTCATCGGTCCCAATTTTGCAGATCAATGCTCATGCTGTTGATCATTGGATTGTCTGGTCCGGACTCTTTTATTTACAGACCGCCGCCATATAGCTGGAATATTGCTGAGTGTGGCGTAAAACTAAACTTACTCACTCACTACTGCATTGAGATGAGACAGATCGAGGTGAACTCACCGGAACCTTGGCGACATTATCCAAGAGCATCTTGCAGGCCTGGTCCTGGTCGAACTGCATCAGCTGCACGATCTTGTCACTGATGGAGTCAAACAGGTCATGCTTGTGGATCAGCTGGAACACGTCCTTGTGCTTCAACCTTGTCGGAAACATCACAAACACACTTACAGATATGGATAGTTACTGTTTTTGTTTGTTGTTTAATGCTGCTCTCAACAATATTCCATCGATAAGGTTGCATGCCACCCCATCCTGCTAATCGTCTCTTATGACAAGCATGATTAAAGACCCACATCTTCACAGGTAAATTGTGAGTGGAAGCAGTATTATTCTGAAGTGATCTACAGTGAGACCTCGGATACCCAGACCCCAGATATCCGGAAACCTCGCCTTCTGGTCAATTTTTAGTAAAAACCAATCTCTTACGTTATAAAAGTGACTGTCTATAACGGATATTCAGTTTCCGTTTCCGGACGGTACATTTTACAAACAAACCGGCTAAGTCAACACAAAATTGACTCACCTATCCGCACGAAGCTTTGATCTACCGCTAACCGTGTGAAGGGAAGTGCGAGAGTCCCACGTATTTTGACACGAGACATGGTCGGCTAATCCGGATTAATGATCATCAAGGTATTGGTGGTGATTAGAAGGCCTAGCTGACACTGAGTTAACCATTGAGTTCTAACTGTTAAGTTGTTTATTCAGTCAAAGCAATAAAAGTGCAGTGCGTCGATATTCAAGTCAGTCGGTCTTTCAATTGATCACAAATGGCTAGTCAACCTACTAAACGCAAGCGCTACGCAGTGACAGCCAAGGAAAAGAAAGATATATGTCTTTACAAAGAACAAAATCCCAAAGTAAGCTTTAATAATACTACGAAGGCCTACTCAGCTTCTTTGAGAACAATGGCGACCGTGAAAACCTGGACAAAATGTTGTCCGTCGTGTTGCAAAGGAGCGGCACCCAGTGTAAGCAGTCCTCAATGAAAGACTTTTTCAAAACTGAATAATTGTAAAGGTATGATTGTTATGTTGTGATGCTGTTTTTGAATGTCTATACATGTACAATAAACGATTGATGATCATAAACATTTTGGATTTTCCTTGAGGTGTATGAAAACCAAAAATCCAGATATCCGGCTATTCAATTATCCGGACGATTTACGTAAAAATGAATGTGTCCGGATATCTGAGGTCTCACTGTATATCAGTTATATCACAAGACCCTTCAGTTAATCAGAAAGGCAAATCACTGATAGACAGTATCAATCAGTCATTGTCAGGACAAGGGTCTTGCAACATACTGTGCTGTGTATATTATATTGAGGACCTATTCTGTCTACTATCTGCATAGAGTTTTTGATGCAGAATATCTTCATCACCAAAACACAAAAACTGTAAACAAAAACTTAGTTTGGCTGCCGTTGACATATTCCGGCAATATTGAATCAGTGTATGTGCCAATGTTATCCCCATAAGTTTATACTGTAATAAGAGTAACCCCTCTTGATCAAAATGTAATAAGAGTAATTCCCCTTGCTCCATCCTGAAAAAGGGTTATCCTCTGTTCCACTGTAACTAGAATATCCCCTTTTGTCACACTAATAAGAGTTACCCCCTCTTGTTACACAATGTAATAAGAGTAATTCCCCTTGTTCCATCCTGTAAAAAGGGTTATCCTCTGTTCCACTGTAACTAGATTATCCCCTTTTGCCACACTAATAAGAGTTACCCCTCTTGTTACACAATGTAACAAGAGTAGTTCCCCTTGCTCCATACTGTAAAAAGAGTTATCCTCTGTTCCTCTGTAACTAGAATATCCCCTTTTGTCACACTAATAAGAGTTACCCCACTTGTTACACAATGTAATAAGAGTAATTCCCCTTGCTCCATACTGTAAAAAGAGTTATCCTCTGTTCCTCTGTAACTAGAATATCCCCTTTTGTCACACTAATAAGAGTTACCCCTCTTGTTACACAATGTAACAAGAGTAATTCCCCTTGCTCCATACTGTAAAAAGAGTTATCCTCTGTTCCTCTGTAACTAGAATATCCCCTTTTGTCACACTAATAAGAGTTACCCCACTTGTTACACAATGTAATAAGAGTAATTCCCCTTGCTCCATACTGTAAAAAGAGTTATCCTCTGTTCCTCTGTAACTAGAATATCCCCTTTTGTCACACTAATAAGAGTTACCCCTCTTGTTACACAATGTAACAAGAGTAATTCCCCTTGCTCCATACTGTAAAAAGAGTTATCCTCTGTTCCTCTGTAACTAGAATATCCCCTTTTGTCACACTAATAAGAGTTACCCCTCTTGTTACACAATGTAACAAGAGTAATTCCCCTTGCTCCATACTGTAAAAAAATGAAATTTTTAGAGTAAAATTAATATTTTATACTTATCCTGACTCATGCTTATTGCTTGTCTTCTTCTTCTGGCGAACCTAGTGGAACACTTGTATCTCCCAATTGAAGTTCCCTTCAATAAAAAAATCACTCATTAGTACTGACCACGAGTTACCTCCCTTCCACAAGCGCGGGAACGAGGGCGCCACCCGAACCCATGTGCCTCACTCTCTCCTCATATACTGAGCCCAACATTTGAATTTACAGGGAAATCCAAAGTGTTATGTGGGGAGGATGGGAGGGCTTACCTCATGAGTCAGGATAAGTATAAAATATTAATTTTACTCTAAAAATTTCATATTTTTCCTTATCCTGACTCATGCTTATTGCTTGTAGAATCCTAATGGATAAGGAGGTGGGATTATATATACTTTGGATTTTACTAATTAGTGATTTGAACTGAGATGATTGCAATAACCCTATGGGAACTTCATAAAGGCACTGAACTGAAGAATTCCTGCTGTTAACTTATCAGCTGCCATATAAGGGTTATTACAATTTACTGAATATAATAAAAGTATATATAACATTAAGTAAGCTGAAGCCATTAATGTGATAGTATAAACTCTTGATAGTTTATAGTGAATACTTTTATAATGAACCAAAGTATTAAGCTTACAATATGCATATATATAAGCTATAATATAACTGTGCTTAAGATATAACTATAACTTAAGCTGTATAATTGTAACCAATTGCTGAGAATTTGTTAACTAATACATGTCATGAACTGAACATATGACTGAGCTTAAGGATTGAAACTTAAGCTGAACATATATATAATAGTAGAACTCCTAAGAGTTGTAGGCATATATATAGAATGATATAGAATCACAGTACCGTATAACAGCAAAAGACTCCCTAGAGTTTATTAGCTAATATACTTTATGATATGAGTATAGTACTGTGCTTAAGATATAATTAACTTGAGCTACCTAAATAGCCAAAACAACTCCGTAGAGTTTGTTAGCTAAAACATTTTATAATGTAACCATAATGCTTAAGATATGATGAAACTTAAGCAAAATATATAATAGCAAAAAACTCTTTAGAGTTTGTTAGCTAAGATACTTATATGATATAATATAGTACTGAGCTTAAGATATGAATAAACTTAAGCTACATATATAATAGCGAAAAACTCCATAGAGTTTGTTAGCTAATACATTTTATAATGTAACCATAATGCTTAAGATATGAATAAACTTAAGCTAAATATATAATAGCAAAAAACTCTTTAGAGTTTGTTAGCTAATATACTTATGATATAAACATAGTACTGAGCTTAAGATATGAATTAACTTAAGCTACATATATAATAGCAAAAAACTCCGTGAGAGTTTGTTAGCTAATACATTTTATAATGTACCCATAATGCTTAAGATATGATGAAACTTAAGCTAAATATATAATAGCAAAAAACTCCATAGAGTTTGTAAGCTAATATACTTATAGGATATAAACATAGTACTGAGCTTAAGATATGAATTAACTTAAGCTACATATATAATAGCCAAAAACTCTTTAGAGTTTGTTAGCTAATACATGTTATAATGTAACCATAATGCTTAAGATATGATGAAACTTAAGCAAAATATATAATAGCAAAAACTCTTGAGAGTTTGTTAGCTAATATACTTATATGATATAAACGTAGTACTGAACTTAAGATATGAATAAACTTAAGCTACATATATAATAGCAAAAACTCTGTAGAGTTTGTTAGCTAATACATTATAATGTAACCATAGAATTGAGCTTAAGATATGATTAACTTAAGCTAAATATATAATAACAAACTCCGTAGAGTTGTTAGCTTATATATAGTATGATATAAACACCATAGTACTGAGCTTAAGATAATAAATTAAACTTAAGCAAAATATATAGATAGCATGTATCTATTAGTATTGTCATCCGATAAGTATAAAATCTGTAAGATAGACTTATCTTCTCCGTGGAACTGTCAACTGTTGAGCGAGGACCATGGGACCGAAACGGTGGATACCTGAGACTTCCTTGGTGGTGATATCTCTCAGATAGTGGTTGGCAAACACCATATCGGATCTCCAGAAACATCCCTCCATTATGGTATTCAACTAACAATTCCCATGTAGAGCGAGAGTTGAGGCTAGCCTAATTTCGCGGAGGATTAGAAGCTCTTGGAGGGTCGCGCCCAACAGCCTTGTAGGCACGTAGTATGACAGTTCTGATCCAGATAGAGATAGTAGTACGAAGACTTCCGTCTCATGTAGCTGTAGATATAGGGATAAATAATCTCTTTGAATATCCCCTGCTCTATTTGGATCGTTGGAGATATATTTTCAGTGTACTTAACTGGGCATAGTGATAGATCCATCGTATCATGCGGTCCAAGTATGGATGAGAGAGCTGGGACGTGGAATAATCTGTCTGGTTGACCTGGCAGTTGGTTTTCCCTATAAAATCCCAGCGAAGTCCCAGATGAGCTATGTTATGAAAATCATCAAAGCGTGTTCTCTCATAATCCAGTGCGTGAATCTGACATCCTGGTGGCTGTAGCTAGTGCTAACAGGATCAAGGTTTTGTGGGTCAGTGATTCAAACGATGTAGATAGCGATGGTTCAAAAAACCTCACTAGTGAGGTGTTGGAGCATTATATTAGATCCCAACCTGGAGCGTGAAACTTCCGTTTCTAATCCTCCAATCGGAACGCTTGTAACAAACCGAGTAACTCTGGCGTTTTGTCAACTTGACGCCCACTCTCATAGTATGACAGAACTTATAGCTGCCAGATAAATGGACAAGGTTGAGCCTTTTAGATTCTTAGTTTAACGTAGATAACATAAGAAATCTGCCACTTGAGGATGTGTAGCATATCTGGCTGTAAATCCTTTCTTAGCAGCGTAATTGACAAACTGTGCCATTTGTCATCGTGATAAGTTACGAAGTCGAAGTTACGCCGCAAGCGTGACCGCTGTAGCCGCTATGGCAGAATAACCTCTTATTCAGACATGCCTTGATACAATCCATACGTGAAGTTGGAATGCTTCTGGTGTATCGCACTTGTTTGTGTGCAGATGTATCAATAGATTGAGCGCTGTGGGAGCTGAAGAATTAGTTTTCCGATTTCTTGTATGAGATCTGGAAACCAAGTTCTCGCTAGCCAGTAGGGCGTGACCAAATCAGATGGAGGCTCTGCATTTGACTGATTTTCTGTAAGACTTGCTTAGTGCGCCCGCTGCCCATGCTAGTGGGTCTGGCACTGGCGATACTTAATGTTGTCAGTTGCTTGTTGAACCGAAAGTGGTGAATAGGTCTATCAGAGGAGATCCTATTTCCTGTGTGTGGAGCATCCATTCTGTCGGGCGACGGTAGGTGTAGCCCAGAGAGAGCCGCCTGCTAATACATTCTATGCTCCTGAATGTGGCAAGTACTGACGTGTATGTTTAGATTGTCGATTGATCGAACAGTCTGAAACATCGAAGTCAGTAGGTTCTGTGACCTAGTTGAACCTTGTTTGTTCACATAAAAAACGCCAGTGTTGAATTGTCTGTGTGAACCATTATCTGAGCCGCTCTGTAGTAGGTTGCTCCAGTGACTTATGGCGCTTATAACTGCTTGCATCTCTAGCAGATTATGTGACATTTGCTCTCTTGATTGCTCCATAGACCTGAGGCTGTCCTGCCGGCATGCGGTGGGCTCCCAACCTTGTAGTGACGCTGCCTCACGCACAGATGTGTTTTCGATTCGCCTCTACTAAGGAGACGCTTTTGCTAAACATTCAATCTCTTGGTCTTGATGATGAAATTCAACTGTAGTCTGAGACGCCTGTGGATTTGGATCCACTTGTATACCGTCGTCGAGGAAAATTCGCTGCTAAGTCCTTTGATGATGCTCACTGAGATAATGTTGTCACTTGCAACCTAAGTCTTGAACTGTGAACTATGCTCGACCTCTGTGTAGGGCGTTGTCCATCGTGGTCCAATCAGAACAAGGCATTTTGATTCTGTAGAGTACCCGCTGTGATGTCACCGTGTAGCAGGAAAAGGAACCTTGTATAATATAGTGCCGTGCTGATATTAGAACAATCGCCGGTCTTCACCGTAGCTTCCCTCGGGTTACCCCGAGTAACCACGTGTTCGAGGGTTAATGGTAAACGCTGAACCTCCGCCAAATACCTCGCCTGTAATATTAATGCTGGGTAGGTTATTTCCCTGGCTGTCGCGGAAAGTAACTTCAGTCTTGAAGATAATTCCGACTTCCTTATATAAAGGTTTAATAAAACTTGCAAGTTGTCAACTTGTAGACTGTATACATGAATGTATCGTCATAATTGTAGAATTAAAGCTGAACTTGTTGTACATATTTCTTCTCAGAAATCGTTGACGATATGAGTTTTATTCGCTGTAACAAGGTTGCTGTTCAATTCCGTAATAGAATTGTCTGTAGATCTGCGTATGGACTTCCGAAGATTTGGAGCAGGCTGTATCCAGATTAGCTGGTACCGCTGCAATCGGATCAATAGGAGGTAAGGTGAAATAGTCTACATCATCATTCTTCATGACGTAAGTCTGAGTTGAATTCTCGTTCTTCGATGAAAACACGTTGTAACTTATTCACCATCCAGTATCTAATCTCAGCATCTGAGAAAATGATACTTTCCTCCTCTTTGACGAGGGTCACATGTCGGAGTCCTAGATCTATAGGAAGATCTATGAGAGGACTGTGATGAACGGACTGGACGAAAGTGGCTAGTGTAAGGAGACCTTGAGGAGACACCCTCCGCTAACGCTGGGGACTTCGCGAACTCTACTATATCTTCCGAACGTTGGGGCTTCAGTGAACGCTGGGGGCTTCGAAGCTCTTCTAGGCGATGTAGATCTTCTAGGCGATGAAGAACTGGAGCCACTTAGCCTTCGCGACCTTCGCGAATGTATCGAGTCAGTGTCCAGATCGACATATGAGCTTGCTTCGCTAACGCCCGCCGTGCATGACAAGGTGCCTGCTCAGCGAAGCGCTCCTTCTCCGCGAAGCCTCTTGCAAAAGGTGAGGCTCTAGCTCCTTCACGGAGGCGCCTGGGATACCTTATGCAAAGAGCTCACCCGGCAGGGTTGCCCTTCGCGGGAAGCGCGTCTATGGGCTCAGAGGCTCACGCTGAAGCCAAGGCGGGCTCTGAGGCCCTGTATGACTTTGATATGGGGTGGGCTCTGAGGCCCGTGGGCTCTGAGGCCTCTGTAAGTCAGAAGCGGTCTTCCATCACCCTCATTATCTGGTTGATCAAGTCGTCTGAAGCGGTCTGCGTTGATGAGGGATGTCTCTCTGCAGAGGTGACGGGACCCTCAGATAAATTTCTGGTGATAGTGTCGGCATCTCCGGTTGTGTGCTAATCTGCGCTGAGGTAACAGTCGCAGAAACAAGACGTTTCTTATGACGAGCATCTGGAATGATAATCGGAATGTCATCATCATATAAAGATAATTCTGTGATAGGTAAACTATCGGAGGCAAATTTATTAGATTTTGTAGATTTCCCTTTTGACGTAGCTGTAGACCTAGGGTTTGAAACGTATGTGATGATATGGACGTTTTCCTAGTCTTAGACTGAGAAGACGGCAGGTCTTGAGATGCAGGTCGCTGCTTGGACATAGCGGACTGCGTCCCACGCTATTCTCCGAGGGAACTCAGGCATGCCACCAGCCGGCTGCGGGTCGTCAGTCAACATTGACAGGGAATATTAGCTTCTGATCTAATAGCCATGACTGAAGATTGTTTGCAAGATTTATCTGCCTTCCGTCTAAAAACGGAACATAAATATTTATCAAAGGCAGAAATTGGTAAATTAATACATAATTTACAACGAGAAACAAAAGAACATGGAGTAATGCAACTAGGGCATTTTAAATGTGGATCAGTAGCGGAATAACGTAGTTTACAATCTGTGCAGATTCTCATTAACGAACTATTGAACAATCACGGCGAACCGTGAATAAACAGCAGAAACACCATTAATAATCAATGCAAGTTGAATAAGGATACTAGTTACACCTCTATACTAAGTATAAGAGGTACTAAACTAAAAGGATATAGTGTGTTGGGAGACACAGGCGCTCTCACGACCAGCTCACTGGGCGAAGAAGGAGAGAGTGAGGCACATGGGTTCGGGTGGCGCCCTCGTTCCCGCGCTTGTGGAAGGGAGGTAACTCGTGGTCAGTACTAATGAGTGATTTTTTTATTGAAGGGAACTTCAATTGGGAGATACAAGTGTTCCACTAGGTTCGCCAGAAGAAGAAGACAAGCAATAAGCATGAGTCAGGATAAGGAAAAATAGTTATCCTCTGTTCCTCTGTAACTAGAATATCCCCTTTTGTCACACTAATAAGAGTTACCCCACTTGTTACACAATGTAATAAGAGTAATTCCCCTTGCTCCATACTGTAAAAAGAGTTATCCTCTGTTCCTCTGTAACTAGAATATCCCCTTTTGTCACACTAATAAGAGTTACCCCACTTGTTACACAATGTAATAAGAGTAAATCCCCTTGCTCCATACTGTAAAAAGAGTTATCCTCTGTTCCTCTGTAACTAGAATATCCCCTTTTGTCACTCTAATAAGAGTTACCCCTCTTGTTACACAATGTAATAAGAGTAATTCCCTTGCTCCATACTGTAAAAGAGTTATCCTCTGTTCCTCTGTAACTAGAATATCCCCTTTTGTCACACTAATAAGAGTTACCCCTCTTGTTACACAATGTAACAAGAGTAATTCCTTGCTCCATACTGTAAAAAGAGTTATCCTCTGTTCCTCTGTAACTAGAATATCCCCTTTTGTCACACTAATAAGAGTTACCCCACTTGTTACACAATGTAATAAGAGTAATTCCCTTGCTCCATACTGTAAAAAGAGTTATCCTCTGTTCCTCTGTAACTAGAATATCCCCTTTTGTCACACTAATAAGAGTTACCCCTCTTGTTACACAATGTAACAAGAGTAATTCCCCTTGTTCCATACTGTAAAAAGAGTTATCCTCTGTTCCTCTGTAACTAGAATATCCCCTTTTGTCACACTAATAAGAGTTACCCCTCTTGTTACACAATGTAACAAGAGTAACAATGTAACAAGAGTTTGTTCCATACTGTAAAAAAAAGAGTTATCCTCTGTTCCTCTGTAACTAGAATATCTGTAACCTTTTGTCACACTAATTTGTCACACTAATATGAGTCACACTAATAAGAGTTACCCCTCTTGTTACACAATGTAATAAGAGTAATTCCCCTTGTTCCACAGCATTACTACATTTCACTGTATGTAGCATTACTTACCTCAGATAAATAGCCAAAGCTTTGTCAAAAGCCCTCTGACATGCATATCTGAAAAAGACAAAAAAGTTTAACTGACCATCTAATATTATCCAAGCTTGCAAATCAGCGCCCATGCACCAAATGTTTTTTCATTTGTGTCAGATAGCAAAGCCAAACTTACACTGACAGCCGGTAATGAACATCTTGACGCTGAGGATAAGACTGACTGACTGACTGAGTTTGGTTTTACGCCGCTTTTAGCAATATTCCAGCAACATCACGGCGGGGGACACCAGAAATGGGCTTCACACATTGTACCCATGTGGGGATTCGAACCAGGGTCTTCGGCGTGACGAGCTAACGCTTTAACCACTAGGCTACCCCACCGCCCCCGAGGATAAGAGGCACAATATACTGTGGACATGAACTACAATGATGATGGCACATAGATCAAACAGTAGTTTATAGTTTATACCAACAAACAACCCCTTAGAAAACCCTGTGTTTATAATATTTTTTAATTCTCTGCACTGTAAAGATTTATTAAAGAACCACTAAACTTTGTTTTTTGTTACTCTTTTAACCATTACATATGAAAGATTTGTGGTTAGTCTTATGCGGAACACCAAATTTATTCTTTAAAAACTTGTGGTTAATTAATACCGAGCGATTAAAAGTGGCCAAAAAGTCGCCTGTCTCCCTCTCGCCCGCCAACGAAACCACAGACAGGTTACGTAACTCTGTCGCCAGAGCACTGGAGTGACGTCATATGAGGAACGATTTTCAGTTAGTTGTATAGAAAGTGTGTAGCACGCTCATCATTTTGATGATTTCTCGACATGAACGCACAACATGCCGAATCGCTGCTTTGTCGTCAATTGCTCCTAGGGCTCGGGTGATGGTGTCACCATGCACAGATTTTCACAGGACCCCGCAGTTCGGTGCTAAATGGGTTATGTTTGTGAGCGGTTTAGCGTTGTGGAAGCCTGAAACGATATCTTACTTGTGTTCAGATCGCTTCACGGAAGTTAAAGAATCAAAACTACTTACTAGTTATAGTAAAATATGTATATGATTGATGACCATAAAGATTTTCCATAACACAACTTGTAACATAACGATTTCTTCCTCGAAGTGAGGTTGTGGTCAAGTAACAATAATATTGTAAGTAGTATTATATTGACACCCACCTCGCTGCCAGGAGAGAAATTGTTATGTTATACGCTATGTCATGCAAAATCCTATTGGCCATCAATAAAATACATATTTTACTACCAGTAGAAAGTAGTTTTGATTTTAACTCGTGAAAACAAACCTAAATAGCATTTATCCACAGACTGGCGGATGTTCCTGACAGGGCGCCGCCATTTTGAAAATCGTAAAGTCTGGTAGAATTAATGAGATTATAGTTTGTTTTCATCAAGTTAGAAAATCAAAACTACTTTCTACTCGTAGTTAAATATGTATTGGAATCATAACCAAAAGGATTTTGCATGACACAACTTATAACATGACGATTTCTTCCACGGAAGCGAGGTGGGGGTCGAAGTCACAATACTTCGCGATACATTTCTTGCTACATTCACATGGTTAATGTCCACTCACCAGTATGTAGATACTAGTCAATGTGCGTCTTTATATTTGGTCTTATAATCCTAATTAGTTTATTATCATACTTGCATGCATTTTGAAACTAAATAAAAAGCTGACGATCTGCTGATACTTATAGTGAATTTATAACAGAACTGTAATATCTAGACATTTTATAGTTTGCCAATGTGAATCATAATTCGCACACACACCCTAGTGTATGTTGTCTGTCTCATTACACTTCACGGCGAAAACAATGATTCTGTTGAATGCTACGACAAATGAATAAAAAACAAAATACAAATATTAAAATTTAAACAGATTAAAGTTATAGGAAAAATATCAGGCCATTACCTTGTTTGAGGAATGTATCCATCAATATCCACAAAACTGTTCCAAATGATGTGTCTTTTAACAGTTTAATATACGAAAAAGTGATAAATCTTTTCAGGTATTGGTGTATAGTCTCATTGGTCACCCAAGATAGCACACCTGGCAACTAATTGCATAATGTCCGCCTTTCATTAAAAACAGTAATTTAGTTAGCCAATAATGGGCAATCAATCAATGTATTGCCGGTTAATCCTTTGAAAGAAGGACATTGTTTTTACGCCGACACCGACACGGCAGAGTGTATTCAGTATAGATTAGTAAATCTACATACATAAACACTACCTTTTGAAAAATCCGCTGTGTAAGATAAAAGTAATTAATCAATCAGCGTGTTATCGGTTAATCCTTTGATCGATGTTTATAATGTTGAATATTTACTCCAGACACAAGAAATGCCAAATATGAACCTTTGTCGGGTAATCTAAGTGTGTTACCACTAATTATACCTGTTATAAATTCATTAACTGACCATCAAGTGAATGATGACAAATAACATGTGTAGGTTTATACCACCTAACACGGGTTACAACAAGGGAGTATTAATTGCTGTATTGCATGTGAAAACTTATGGGCCGACACTGTTTTGAGAATACAAACAGATTTTTACATGACATGATTAAATATCGAGGTAAAAACACAGAAATGGGATCAATTTGGATCAGTCATTATACAAATAGGGCCTAACGACACCAATCAATTGTGACAGAAGCGCCTATGAAAACAAGTTGTAACTCGAAACTAGGCAAAGCAGGAGACAAAATTAAATGCCAGTAGATTGTGAGAACATATAGCTTTCATTTTCCACAACAATTGTCACGATTTCAGGTTTATACAACCCTGTAAACAAGATAATTTACCCCCTAAAATGTAGATGAATTCTGCATCGGCCCTCAAAGCTATTCCTCATATGACGTCACAGAGTCGCGCCGCTCTGATTGGTTGAAATTTCGTTCGCGGGTGAGAATTGTGCACTGTTGTCAAAAAGGTCGATTTAAGTCAATTAAAGGTCGAAATGAGTAGTTTTAATGACGGGGTTTCATTTATAACGATGCCAGTTAGTGATTTATGTATTTTTAACCCCTAGGGTTTATGTGACCTTTAAAGTAATAACAGAACAGAGCGAGTGAGGCATATAAGAAAGCTATGGGCACAAGGGTAGCTTAACGGTTCAAGTGCTTGCTTGTCATGCCAGAGGACCTTGTTCAATTCCCTGCATGGTTAAGTGTGAAACTTGTTCCTTGGTGTCCCTCGATGTGATATTGTTTGATTATTGCTGTAAGTGGCATACGGCTATACTGGCTCACTCAAACCAATTGTTTTCAGTTTCTAGCATGCCAAGGGCCACAACTCTGCACAGCAAACGCAGCAAGACGGTGCACTTACAGTTGTCCGAGGCACTGCAGGAGGTCCCAGTTGTTTCGATCTCGGTCTAGTTTAGTCAACACAGCGTTGATGATTGTCTCTATACTGTATAAATCCTGAGGCCACTCTTTGATCAGCTGGTAGAATCTCTGTAAAAACACATCAAATTTATCATTTTGCTCTAATCCAAGTGAGAACAATATTTGCATGAGTTCCCTCCTTTTGAAGAAATGCATCAATGCATGTGTGGAGATGTGTCAATTCTAAATAGTTTGTATACATTATGTTCCTCTGTCATGCAAATAAAAAAGGGATGTATTTTCAATAGGGCTGGGTATTGCGGAGAATTTTCATATTGCAATATATTGCGATGCAAAAGCAGATATTGCGATATGTATCGCAATATTTTGCAAGAAGTTCTTTTTTAACAAAAACTACTTATAATCGAGTTAATGCTTGATATATAAAGCAAAAACACCAAAAAACTTACCATGCTTGATTAAGCTTAATAAAAGCTTTTAATCATGACAAAATAAAAATGTAAATAATATTTGGCACAAATAAAAAAAGGAAAGGAACAATTTATAAAACGGAAATATCCGAAGATTTCCAAGTGTTACGAAGTTTTCCGAATGCATGTCAAAATACCGGTTTTCATTCAGCGTATCGCAATACGTATCGTTTTCATGTCTGAACCGGTATATACCGGGTAAACCGGTTATATTGCGCAGCCCTAATTTTCAATATGGTTGCAATGGTGATCATGTTTGAAATTGGACTGGCACTTAACAAGCACTAAGAGACACAATATATAAAGTGGGACCAACTATACTTCAGTGTTAGCCTCATTGGTTACAGAGCTCCAGATAAGCCTTTGGCCTTGTGGGTATGATACCCATACTTTTTAAACTAAGTGGGTATTTCCAATTTCAAGTGGGTATCTATACTTTTTGATACTCACCATATTTTTAAGATCCGGGTATTCATTTCAAATAACAAGTGTAAGAGGTGTGCCTGACACACATCTACAACATAGCCTCATAAGACCTTTTTTAATTCAAAATTAACCGTGGATATTTTCTTTTCCACATGGCAACTGTTGTTTTTTCAAAACCTTGTTCCCATCGTGTTGTTTCACTTCCACGCAGTGAATAGCTTATATTACAAGTTCATTTAAGATATCACCGGCAATTGATTCTGATTGGTGAAACACAGCGTAATATTAATTCATCTAGCAGTCCTCTAATGAAGTTGTTTTCTGTTTGTAGCATAAAAAAACTAGATATTTTACTTTTGAGTGTGTACACAGGAAACAGCCATTTGATTGGTTGCTATGTATAGACTGGCCAATCAGTGAAGGTTAACAAACTATGACTGGTATTCTATCTGCATTACGCATCTTAATTGTGTTTAGAATTATTCAAGAATATTTTAATCACAACTATTTGGAGATGGACAAGTTTGTTTCGATTGGCTTGAATTGATCGATGCCAACATAATTTTGATGCACTGCGTAAATACTCAATGTTATTTTGGCATAGCGTAAACGTAAATTTTTTGTGTTTTTTCATACGCTGGCATTTATTTTTCTTTTGTATTTCAACTTTTCTATATCGTATTATACGCAAATACGCAGCTTATCTGGAGTTCAGTTGGTTTCAGAGAAATTGTAATACATTGTTTAGAACAACTCACCACAACCTATGGGACCATTCGTAAATTATGGTTGGGGGCGTGATGATGATTTGAAGGGGTCACCCATTTTGTTCTGGGGAGGCAGCGGGGGTCATCAATTTTGTACACATGCACTAGGGGGGGACCAATTCTAACCCGGATCTTCACAGGTATAATATCAAGTCAAAATTAAAGGCAATGTTTTGTTGAGAAATTTCCTCCAATTGCCTGTGTTGAATTTGATGAAAAATACCATGATGATTCATCCCAAAGTGTAATGGCTGTTATCTATGTACAGCCGCAGACCGACACTTTCAGATATTTCCCAGATCAGGAACGGGACTTGAAGGAAATAGGAAGACTGATTCTGATTATTGTTAGGATGGCTGTTTTATGTCTGATATTCTCTTACCTCGGTGTCCACCTGTAGAAATTCATTCAGCACCATCTCGTATATCGCAGGGTTGAGTTTGGGGTCTCCACGGGGCAGGTAGGTGGCTATAGCCTGCAGCACACAATGGCAGACATACATGATCAATCATTCATGTGATTTCGTCATATGTATTTTCTTTCAATTAATGATGTTAGATATTTTGTTATGAATAAACACTTTGGAGGTCTTTCTACCTGACATAACCTACACAATACAATGACATGTAGTCTGTCTCCTAGATCTCAGTGAATATATAAAAAGTAGGAGTTCAACTCAAGTCCAGAATGATTTGGCAAGTCCTGAAATTAAGCATTATTCTGGGTTCCAGTTGAATATCACTTTATATCTTGTAGAAATATATGCTTGAGTGAGTGAGTGAGTGAGTGAGTAAGTGAGTAAGTGAGTGAGTGAGTTTAGTTTTACGCCGCAATCAGCAATATTCCAGTTGTATGGAAATAAATATGTCTGTAAATAACCAAGTCTGGAACAGACAATCAAGTGATCAACATCATGAGCATCGATACGACAAGCATGGGTTACTGAAGATCAATTGGGAACCCGGTTTATATGCTTAAGAGAGATGGCAGTAAGTCTGGCCTCAATGCCAGAGCTACAGACCAACATCAGTGGAAACCGCCTAAGTAAAGCCTAACTAAACAGACCTGATAAGATTTTGTTGGTCCCGCAACTTTCTTCATTAATTATCACATTAGCATGGGTTAACTAAAGATAAGTAAACAATAATCTAACCGGTCCCACTTGGATAACTAAATTTGTATCACCACATAATCCGACATGAGGGGCACGTGTCAGTCTCCAGTTAAACAAACATCCTACTTTACAGCTCGGGCTGGCGTCAAGGCAATACACTGACAACTGGAGGCCAGCCATTGTTACATATGCATACATATACATACATATGGTTGTCATTTGCAGGTTTTATAAGTTTGATAACCACTGATAAGTACAAGTCCCTTGAAATTTTACTTATCAGGTTTCCACTGTATTCTGTATCTTAACCACTATTACAACTGCCCACACGATACACAGCCATAATATGGCTGGTAGAAAACTTTTCGGTATGGTGTTTGGTCATGTTACTCAAAAACTACAAGTACAATCGTTTTCTAATTGGGCATGATGCATTATGATTGTTCTACCATTGTGAATTTTGAATTTCATGAATTATGATTTAATAATAAAAAATGTTGTCTACATAACCTATCATTATGTCAAGACACAATAACATTTTAACTGTCAAGGGCGTTAGGCGAATAATCGGAACAGCCACCTGGCCATGCAAATGTGCATGGTGACACTACCAGTGAAGGACAAAAGAGGTCATCTCAAAATCACATTATCAAACGATGGTTTGCCATTTAACAAGAAGCAAAAATGAATACAAGATGGTATTAGTGACTGATAAAAAATATACCATCAGGTACAGCACCCTACAGTGTACAACACGCCAAGATAAGTCATACCAACCAACATACTGTCCACTGATACAACAGCCTATATATTGCCATACATACCACAAGTGCTGGTACAGTGCTCACAATATGCAGATCGATAATCAGAGCTCAGTAATCAATCAATAATCAATTGTAATCGTAATTGATCATGTTCAAGCCAAGGAGAACTGCTATCGTGTACTTCAATGACAGTTGACATAAACAATCATAAAATACATTCAGGAAAGATTCTCCACATCTACACAACTAAGAAAGGCGCTCACCTTTAATTGATTTATTTTTGCAAACTTGTAGACTTCATCTTCCCACAATTCCTTCTTCTTTCCAAGGATCTTCACGCAGAGTCTACCTGCATCGTCATAGCAACGCTCCTCCAACAGATAGTTCAGATACGCACGACCAATGCCCTGAAATGACAATAACTCCCATAATTCCCAATAATAGTTATGGATCCATTCATAATTTCATCTCAATAATAGTTATGTATCCATTTATACTCTCGAGAGCCGCAATCCCCTGGGAAGCCTCTGAATGTACAGACATTAAACATGGTACTATCTCAGTCTACTGGTAACGGGCAAGGACTGGTAGCTCCAGTGGTTAAAGCTGGAGGGGTATTCATGCTTCACTACGCATGGTATCTCAGTGGGAAGGCACTATAAAACCAGCTTAAGCCTGGGCTAGTACAATCCCCACATATGGGTACACAATGTGTGAAGCCAATTTCTGGTGTATTCACAAGCAAGATGTGGCTGGAATATTGCTAAACCTTAATCCCCTGTGAAACCAAAATGTCAGTCAGTATCTCATTCTACTGGTAACCCAGTCACTTGGCTAAACTGACAGTGCATGTACCGGTACTACACATGTGCCCAAAAGACCAGACACCCTAGAAAATCTCAGGACCATGGTTACCCATCAAACTTCTCTCTGCCACCAATGTTCCTCAACTTCACATAATATTTGACCCATGTCCCTTTCAAGGATCCCGGCTAGCACTATAAAACCAGCTTCAGTCTGGGCTAGTACAAGTAGCCGCACATACACACGCATGCACGTGGTCATATGAGCGAAATATTCTCAAGCATGACGTTAAACCCAATTTCACCTCACCTTCAAGGATCCCAAGATTACTGCATTTATATAGCAATGTGCAAGAATATGTGAGCCTGCTTGTACCAATCCATACTGGAACTGGTCAGGGGTGGAAATAACTTTATAATTGCTAGTGTACTCCGGTACAGTGGCACATGCAAAATCACTTGCCCTGATAATTTTTCCACTATACCAGCTGTTTTCTTGTTGATTTTTTACATAAAGAACATAATTAACATTGGAAAGTCAACTGGACACCGGTACAGTGTGATATACAAATTTGCTTGCCCGACAGAAAAAAACACTGGACTCGGGTGTCGGGCAATGGGTTATTTCCACCCCTGCTGGTTCTTCAGTCTTAACTCCCTGAGCATAAAACATAAGGCAGGCCAACAACAAGGATACCTGTTCTGACATCTTGGATACGGAGTATAATACACAGATGAGATCAAAACTCAAATCTTCTCTGTTCAAAGAGATGTTTCACCACAACACAACTGACTTACTCTGTCCCAGATTCATGCATCAGACAGACAAGACAGCCATAATGCCACAGCCATGCAGGGATCAACAAGTACCATATTTTCTTTGGTATGACAAGGTCGGGATGTTTCACCACAACAACAACGGACTTAACTCTAACCCACATTCATGCATCAGACAGACGAGACAGCCTGGTCACCTTCTATTGCTCACCTCGTATGTGTGCTTCTTGAGTTCCTTGCAGTGTTCAGACGCTGCTGCCATGGCCGCCTGAAGGTTAAATATTGAGGAAAATGTTATCTGAATAACAACAGTTTCAATAAATTTTCAGGCATATTCTTTGTAATATCCAAAAGACCATTTCTACCCAGCCCTGATTCATAAAAATACCCACTTTTGTAGATCCAATGGCTGAATAGTGTTTTACGCCACAGACTACAGTAATGATAAAACTATCTGACAGGTACTAATATACACAATCAGTCAAAGATCTCCTCCCAGTTTCAGCTGTTACGTTTGCCTGTTTGTCATACTCAGCCACATTCCAGCTACAGGCAATCCAGTGATCGATATTATGAGCAAGCATGGAATCCTAGGATTTGTTCTACTCCAGGAATCCTGGAGTCAAGCATGGGGTGTGGATAAACACACATGCTGTAGAACACTCAAGGGGTTAAGTACACAAACTGTACAGGCGTACCTCAAACTGCTCATGTTCCAACAACCAAGTGATGTGATCATCTTGGTCCCGGAGTCGAGCCAGGACAATGTCTTTAGGACTGACAATGTAGAACAAGTTCTCCTCCACAATACTCTCTGCACAACAAACAAACAGAATTATTCCAATGTGTTCACAATTTTTCTTCCCCTTGGGAGGAACAGCAGAACACAAACAGTTTCTTCTCTACGTATTATGCTACATCTACATATACTAAGCAGCAAAAAAAGGTCAGTTTGGAATTTTCCTTCGCAGAAATGAATAACTGTAAACTCATTTAATGTTTTGATTGTATATTTTTGACAACATCTCCAGCTTTACCTGAGCAAAGACATTCCTTCCCAAACTCAGAATGGAACCCAGGAAATGGTCTAAAAAATGCAACCTGATATCGGAGATGGTACGGTGTTCTCCATGTTTTTCATGCAACTCATGCTGCACGTGCTGTTCACAAGGACCAGCCCTATAAAATGCACCCCTAAACCTGGTTGAAACATTCACTCCATGCATAGACGCTGTGCTGCAGTTATTGCCGCTCGTGGTGGTCACACTAGATACTGAAGTCAAGAGTCTGAATGGACTGCAAACATTCACGTAATGTCTTGAGTTTTTCATTGATATGTCAAGATATTGTACACAAAAAAAGTTTTTGATCTGCTTATTATGTCCAATTCTGTAATGATTTGATTACAGTGCCTTTCTAATTTTGAATTTGTACTGACATTTTTTTTGCTGCTGAGTATATTTGATATACATTTTAAAAATCAAATGAAATTTTTTTATATCTTACTCTACAGCACTACTGAAGTCTTTCTATTTTATTTATGAGTAAGCAATTTGCCTCTGGACACTTTAATCGGCAAAAGGAATAATAGAAATGGTGCAGCCATAATGCTGCAGGTTATCATGTGAATGATACTTTGATAATTATCATGAAAGTGTAAAAACTATAACTGATTTCCATGACGTCAACTGTCACAAATACGGAATACGAAGGTGTCAACTGACACAATGACTGATTACAAACAGACCGATGGATTCACTTACCAAGATGGTAGTCATTGCACCTGTATTCCTGGAAACCTCGGATTGAAAGAGCATCGTTGGAGATTTCATCAAACCGGTTCATCCCTGCATCCAGCACTTGCAGATGGGGCCGATTGGACACCATGCGACCTCCCTGGAAGTAAGTAACTGAGTGAGTGAAGGAGAGGAAGCAGGAAGGGAGGACAGGCATGTGGCCGGTTGGGCGTACTTGTAAGTGAGTGAGTGAGTGAAGGAGTGAGTGAGTGAAGGAGAGGAGGCAGGAAGGGAGGACAGGCATGTGGCCGGGTGGGCGTACTTGTGGGAGTGAGTGAGTGAGTGAAGGAGAGGAGGCAGGAAGGAGGACAGGCATGTGGCCGGGTGGGCGTGCACAGTGTGAGTGAGTGTGGTGAGTGAGTGAGTGAGTGAAGGAGTGAGGAGTGAGTGAAGGAGAGGAGGCAGGAAGGAGGACAGGCATGTTGCCGGGTGGGTGTACTTGTGGGAGTGAGGAGTGAGTGAAGGAGTGAGTGAGTGAAGGAGAGGAGGCAGGAAGGGAGGACAGGCATGTGGCCGGGTGGGCGTACTTGTGAGTGAGTGAGGGACTGTTGCTTAACGCAATATTCCAGCAACATTTCAGCTGTCTGTAAATAAACCAGTCTGGACCAGACAACCACGTGATTGAATTCATGGGCATCAATCTACACAAATGGGATGCAGTGACAAGCATCAGTGACACCACCATATCCCAGTAGTCGCCTGTTACGGCAAGCGTGGGTTGCTGAAGACCAATTCTAACCCAGATCTCCGCAGTTAGTGACGTCAGTTGATTGGTGTTTTACGTCGCACTCGGGTATATTCCAACTATATGGTGGAGGTCTGTAAATATAGTCTGGACCAGAAAATCCAGTGATCAACAGCATGAGCATTGATCTATGCAATTTGGATACGATGACAGAGTGGTTAGTTTGTGAAAGTATTGACTCACCTCCTGGTGAGGATCGTCCTTCTCGTACGACAGTACCACCACACTGTCTGCAAGTGGCGCGATTCCGCAGACAAAGAACTCAGTCTTAAACATGGCAACAATCTCCACATATCTGTTGGGCGAATCCCTCGCATCCCGCCTCTCCTGTTCTCGTACCACACAAACCTGTGAAAAAAGATGTCACAGCTCAAACTAAGACATACACTTACTGTTACTATCTACCATTAGTTTCCTGGTTCCAAACACACTGAGAAATCTTCCCATTTTTACTCTTACGGTTCACAGAATGGTCCCTCATATGTTAAAATCATTCAGAGACATCATAAGTTCACTTCACAGTTTCTGTTGAATCAGCAGCCATTAAAGTGTTTCTAAATATGGCCACAATGGCTACATTAAAATGAAGATTGGAATTTTGTGATTTCATACAAAGTCTCTCCTAAACAAGACTTGTAGTTTCATGACTTCAAGTCAAGTGAGTCAACAAGACAATAATATTGAAAAGAAGAAACCTTCAAAACACAAGGCAATATGGATAAGGCATAAGTCAACCATTATTATTCCGCTGGACATGGAAAGCAAGACTTGGATGTCAATTAGCATATTAATGATGACAATAAGGTGAGGTGAGGTGAAATGGGGTTTAACGTCGTACTTAAGAATATTGCACTCATATGACGACGTGCATGCGTATGTATGTGTATGTGCGGCTGCTTGTACTAGCCCAGACTTAAGCTGGTTTTATAGTGCTAGCCCACCGAGATACCATGCCGCAGTGAAGCATGAATACCCCACTCAGACACAATATACTGACTCCGAGCCGACCAGTCCTTGTTGTACCCATTAATGTCGAGCGCCAGGCAGGGACCAACAAGTACTATATTTTAACGTTTTTGGTATGACGTGTCCGGGGATCGAACCCACTACCTTCTGCTCTCTGGGCCACTACAGCAATACACTACACCACGGAGGTGGTTTTGATGATAATAAACTCTTACAAGATGAACACAACATCTTAGCGAACAAATACCCTCGATTTGATTTCAATTTCAAATTAAAAGATTCTCACATATCAAGCTTCATCATGCTGAAATACAAATGTTTACAATCCACACCAATGCTCACTAATCAAACTTGGAGTTTTCACTTGTAAAATGTACCCCGACTATCTAAAAGTTACTTACCTTGACCTGGTCGCCCCAGCCGAGGAGCAGAGTGTGGTCATCCTTCCAGAACAGACTACAGCAATACAGCTCCGGACGGTGACTGGAACAAAGTCAAGGTTGACTGGCTAAAAATGGCTGCCAATTCTGAAGTGACTTTTCTCATTAATCACAGTAAAATGAAGTCTGTATTATATAACAGGTTTAGAGGCCCATATTGACCCACAAATATAAAATGATCCTAGGGAAGGGATGGGAATGTATTCTTACTGTTTCCTCACAGGAATACAGGGGATACAAAGCAGGGGAGCTGTTCTTGTGAGGTTTCTCCTTTCCAGGAGACACCAGAAACTGCTTCACACATTGTACAGGGCTGGGGACAACCATAGGCTTTAACCAGTTCCTCACTAAGTCACGAACTGGCTCTTTAAAGGAAGACAGGATATACAGAGCTGGCTGCCATTGTACACAAAACATCCTTAGCTTAAGGTCCCATACCTTAACATAGAAAATTGTAGCTGATGTTGTTTTGAACAACAGCACCCTGGGAAACTATTCTAACCTGCTCCCAGGGGGCACACAAAATATATCAAAACCTCTTCAGAGAGTCAAGGACCCAGTTTTCACTAAGATACAAGCAACAGACAGCCACGTACCTCTTCTAACCCAGCCATCCGACCCAGTTTTTTCACTAAGATATAAGATACAAGCAACAGACAGCCATGTACCTCTTCTAACCCAGTTTCTACTAAGATACAAGCAACAGACAGCCACGCATACCTCTTCTAACCCAGTTTTTCACTAAGATACAAGCAACAGACAGCCACGCACCTCTTTCAACAGACACCCAGTTTTCACTAAGATACAAGCAACAGACAGCCATGTACCTCTTCTAACCCAGTTTTCACTAAGATACAAGCAACAGACAGCCACGTGCCTCTTCCGACCCAGTTTTCACTAAGATACAAGCAACAGACAGCCCAATTACCTCTTCAAGCAACCCAGTTTTCACTAAGATACAAGCAACAGACAGCCACGCACCTCTACCTCGACCCAGTTTTCACTAAGATACAAGCAACAGAGAGCCGCTCTTTCGAACCCACCTCTTCCGACCCAGTTTTCACTAAGATACAAGCAACAGACAGTTTTCCTAAGATACAAGCAATTACCTCTTCCGACCCAGTTTTCACTAAGATACAAGCAACAGACAGCCACGCACCTCTTCGACCCAGTTTTCACTAAGATACAAGCAACAGACAGCCAAGTACCTCTTCTGACCCAGTTTTCACTAAGATACAAGCAACAGACAGCCACGCACCTCTTCCGACCCAGTTTTCACTAAGATACAAGCAACAGAGAGCCCATGTACCTCTTCTAACCCAGTTTTCTACTAAGATACAAGCAACAGACAGCCGCATTACCTCTTCTAACCCAGTTTTCACTAAGATACAAGCAACAGAGAGCCAGTTTTACCTCTTCCAGAAGCCAGTTTTCACTAAGATACAAGCAACAGACAGCCCGTACCTCTTCCGACCCAGTTTTCACTAAGATACAAGCAACAGCACTCTTCCTCCGACCCAGTTTTCACTAAGAGCCACGTACCTCTTCCGACCCAGTTTTCACTAAGATACAAGCAACAGACAGCCACGTACCTCTTCCCGACCCAGTTTTCACTAAGATACAAGCAACAGACAGCCATGTACTCTTTTCACTAAGATACAAGCAACCCACCTCTTCCGACCCAGTTTTCACTAAGATACAAGCAACAGACAGCCATGTACCTCTTCCTAAGACCCAGTTTTCAGTTTTCACTAAGATACAAGCAACAGACAGCCAGACCTCAGACCCAGTTTTCACTAAGATACAAGCAACAGACAGCCACTACCTCTTTCGACCCAGTTTTCACTAAGATACAAGCAACAGACAGCCACGTACCTCTTCCAGTTTTCACTAAGATACAAGCAACAGACACCCAGTTTTCACTAAGATACAAGCAACAGACAGCCAGATTACCTCTTCTAAGATCGACCCAGTTTTCACTAAGATACAAGCAACAGACAGTTTTCACCAAGTACCTCTTCCGACCCAGTTTTCACTAAGATACAAGCAACAGACAGCCATGTACCTCTTCCGACCCAGTTTTCACTAAGATACAAGCAACAGACAGCCACGTACCTCTTCCGACCCAGTTTTCACTAAGATACAAGCAACAGACAGCCACTAAGATGTACCTCTTCCGTTTTCACCCAGTTTTCACTAAGATACAAGCAACAGACAGCCAGCCACTTACCTCTTCCGACCTAGTTTTCACTAAGATACAAGCAACAGACAGCCGTACCTCTTCCGACCCAGTTTTCACTAAGATACAAGCAACAGACAGCCACGTACCTCTTCCGACCCAGTTTTCACTAAGATACAAGCAACAGACAGCCACGTACCTCTTCCGACCCAGTTTTCACTAAGATACAAGCAACAGACAGCCACGTACCTCTTCCGACCCAGTTTTCACTAAGATACAAGCAACAGACAGCCACGTACCTCTTCCGACCCAGTTTTCACTAAGATACAAGCAACAGACAGCCACGTACCTCTTCCGACCCAGTTTTCACTAAGATACAAGCAACAGACAGCCATGTACCTCTTCCGACCCAGTTTTCACTAAGATACAAGCAACAGACAGCCATGTACCTCTTCCGACCCAGTTTTCACTAAGATACAAAGCAACACCCAGTTTTCACTAAGATGCAACCTCAGACGCGTGCCTCTTCCGACCCAGTTTTCACTAAGATACAAGCAACAGACAGACGGACCTCTTCGACCCAGCCACTAAGATACAGGCAACAGACAGCCATCTTCTTCCGACCCAGTTTTCACTAAGATACAAGCAACAGAGAGGCAAGGACCTCTTCCGACCCAGTTTTCACTAAGATACAAGCAACAGAGAGCCACGTACCTCTTCCGACCCAGTTTTCACTAAGATACAAGCAACAGACAGCCACGTACCTCTTCCGACCCAGTTTTCACTAAGATACAAGCAAAAGAGAGCCAAGGACCTCTTCCAACCCAGGACCTACTCTGACATATGGACACATTGACATTTCTGACCATTTCTATTCTAAAGCCAATTCTATGCCATACTGAATGTGTCAAACACTAAAAAGAAAACTATTTTCCTGAAGGTTAATTATTAATAAAATCTTCCTCTCAATTACACTTACTCAATATTCATAATGATGTTAAAACAAATGGTGACCAGTACTAAATCAGGAATGTTAAGCAGATATTTCAATCTTTAATTATGCTACACAACAGGCAACTGGGAATGTATCATAACAGGGCTGCTGTGTAGTTATCCTACCTGTGACCTTTATCAATGTGAGTGATTCTTTTCCTGGACGTCATATCAAAAATCTTCACACTCTGAAACAGAAACTCACAGATACACACTGATCTAAGCCTGTGAGAGTAACTGAAATGTATCATTAGACTGTTAAAGCCTTGATGTGAGGGAGTAATACTCAGTGGATATGGTACTGTCACACTTGGATCACATTTGCCACCAATCTGTGAACACATGATCAGCAGATCCTGGCAGCAAAGGAAGGTAACTGTGCAGAATGACTAGCGGCCAGAGATCACTGAGCAATGAAAGATAGTAATAATGCACAAAGTTGATTCATAAAGGTTATGGATCAACTTTATGCATCAATGTTATTATTTGTTGCCCAAACGACAATTCTGTGAGAAATCCAAAGAAAGATAATAAGCAGATACATCTTGTAAAACAATCAGCTACTTGATTCACAAGTATTAAAATGCTTGATAAAATCTGTCTATGGTTAAAATATAATTGCATTACTGATGTTACGTTTAGTGATGCAAAGACATTCTGAGATATGTTCCATGCATGGCTGTTTGTTATGAAAGCTGCCAGTGAAGTAAAGAGTCTGGACCAAACAATCCAGTGATTGCAAGCAACAATCCACATAGCTTGTGTACAATGACACACAACAAGCAAGTAAACAAACCTGACCACCTGATCCATTAATTTGTTTGTTTGTTGCTTAATGCCGCATTCAGCAATATTCCAGCTATATGGCTACGGTCTGTAAACAATCAAGTGATCAACAGTATGAGCATCGACCTACCCAATTGGGATACGACATGTGTCAACCAAGTCAGTGAGCCTGACCACCTGATCCCATTAGTTGCGTCCTACTCCAAGCTTGAATTGCTGAAGACTAATTCTAACCCATCCTTGATATGTCAACTATAGTGGAGATTTATCGGAACGTATACCCTGGACATATCGAGGATGAATCTAAGCCAGACCTTCACACGTTTCCAAGTCGCCTCTTACAACCATCATAGGTTGTTTCCGACAAATTCTAACCTGTGAGTGAGTGAGTGAGTTTAGTTTTACGCCACACTCAGCAATATTCCAGCTATGTGGCGGCGGTCTGTAAATAATCGAGTCTGGACGAGACAATCCAGTGATCAACAGCATGAACATCGACCCGCACAGTTGGAAACTGATGACATGTGTCAATCAAGTCAGCGAGCCTGACAACCCGATCACATTAGTCGCCTCTTATGACAAGCATGGATTACTGAAGATCAATATTCTAACCCCGACCTTCACGGATTAATTCTAACCTGTAATCCCCACAACATACATGGTCGGTGTGCTACCAAACATACCCTATCATTAGACCATGCGATGAAGTCTCCCCGCCACTTGATGTTTCTGATGGGACCTTCACCTTGGTGTAGAACGGTCATCTTGTGTCGACTAAACAGTCCTGCTCGTTCATTCAATATAAGCTGTGAATGAAAATAAGGGCATTTTCACTTTCTGATTGTGAGGCTTTTCAAAGGTGGGTGTTGGTGTTAGGTGCTTGTACCTGCCTGATTGTTATTTACACACTTTTGAATATCTAATATCACTAAGAAGGTCCTCAGTTTAATTTTTAAACAATGATCAACAACATAAATGTAATTTTCTGACTAAAATTGATATTTTATACTTATCCTGACTCATGCTTATTGCTTGTCTCCCTTTCCTTCAGAATGCTAGTGGAACACTTGAATGCCCTTTTGAAGCTCCCTTCAAAAAAGCGGACGTAAAATCACTTACCAGGAGTCACCTCCCTTGCCAGGTTTTGGAGGGAACGGCGCCACCCGTCTGCCATGTTCTTCACTCTCTCCGTATTATAACCCGACACACTGGTTTACTGGGAAATCCAGAGTGCCTTGAGGGGAGGTTGGGAGGGCTTACCTCATGAGTCAGGATAAGTATAAAGTATCAATTTTAGTCAGAAAATTACATATTTTTCCTTATCCTGACTCATGCTTATTGCTTGTAGAATCCGACGGTATAGGTGGTGGGTCAAGCCACCTCTGGATTCTTTAGTGATGAATTTACATCCTATATACCCCCATGGGAACTTTAAATGGCACTGCTGCTGTTGATCCATATGTCAAAATAATTTGGTAATTTGGGGGGACCACAATATATCAAACTCTTCTGTAACCGTACATGTGGATTTAAATAACTCCAACTCTTGATGTTCGTATCAAGTGGAGTAGTGACCCTAACCATGTACAAGTAATTCCTTACCAGTACAGGGTCCAATATTCATGCTAGTCTGTTCTAGACGTGTACATGGACTATAAGCTCTATTCCTTGGAGTACCAGCTTTGCATGACATGCGTAAAAGGATGGAGATACACCTCAGCCTTTGAGGGACCGGCCAGCTGTTGAGCTACAACCAGAGGTCCAAACTGGTGGATACCGGAGACGTCCTCGGTAGCAAAGTCTCTGAGGTAGTGGTTACCAAATACTGTCTCCGATTTCCAAAAACACCCTTCCATGCTCGTGGATATTGAGCAGTTTCCATGTAGAGCGAGTGTAGATGCCAGTGCTCTAACTTCGTGCGGATTGGAGGCTCGAGGAGGCTCAAGTCCTGCTTCCTTGTAGGCTCGTAGTATGATTGCTCTCATCCAAACTGATATCGTAGTACGTGAGATCTCTGTGGGTGTCTCTGACGATATGGGGATGAAAAGGCGTTTGAATTTTCGTCTCCTGGTTTTAGACTTTTGTAGATAGATTTTCAGCACTCTGACTGGACATAAGGATAAATCTTGTATATCCTGCGGACCAAGGATTGTAGATAATGCTGGGATGTGGAATTGTCTGTCCGGTTGACCTGGCAGTTGATTCTTAGCTATGAAATCCCACCTCAATCCTAGATGAACCGTGTTGTGACGTGTGTCAAACCGTATCCGTTCAAAGTCGAGCGCATGTATTTCTGACATCCGCGCCGCTGTTGCCAAGGCGATCAGAAATAGCGTTTTCTGTGTAAAAAATTCGTAAGAAGTTCTTTCTAGTGGTTCGTACACATCACTGGTGAGATGTCGTAATACCACGTTGAGATCCCAAGCCGGCGCTTTATAATTTCCTTTGTTGGTCTTCCAGCTTAAAAGAGCGTAGCAAGGCCAGTAACTCTGGCACTTTCGTCAGTTTCACGCCTGTCTTCATAGTGATAACTGAGCTGAGAGCCGCTAGGTATGTAGATAATGTCGAACCTTTTAATTTCCTCATTTGTCTGAGATGACAAAGATATTCCGCCACTTGAGGATGTGTTGCTTTCATTGCAGTGAAACCTTTCCTCGATGCATATTTCTCAAAGCTTTGCCACTTGTCGTCATCTGTGTAAAGCTAGTGTAACTGCTTGAGCTGCTCTGGCGGAGTATCCTCTTTTCGACAAGCAATTCGTGATACGTTCCATACGTGTAGGTGGAATAATCTGGGATACTTGTGATCTTGCTTGGTGTGAGGATGAATTAGTAGGTTCGATCACACTGGAAGTTGTATTGTTGGTTTTCCGATTTCTTGTAAGAGAACGGGAAACCACGTTCTTGCTGGCCAGTAAGGCGTGACCAAAATCAGTTGTAGATTGTTTGTCTGCCTGATTTTCTGTAATACCTGTGGTATTAACGCTGGCGGAGGGAACGCTGCGACGCGCTTAGCCCTTCCCATGGGATGCTTAGAGCGCCTGTCGCCCATGCTTGCGGATCGGAATTGGAGAGATGAATGTTGCCAGTTGATTGTTGAATCTCGTGGCGAAAATAGGTCGACGAGTGGAGATCCTATCGTCTGTATGATGCATCTGAACGCTTGTGGATGTAACATCCATTCTGTTGGGGATGGTTGATGTGGTCGAGATAGCGCATCTGCTATTATATTCCTGGCTCCCGGAATGTGACATGCTTTCACATAAATGTTGAGATTGTCTATTATGTTGAATAGTTGAAAGCTGAGGTCTAGAAGATTGCAAGATCTTGTTGATCCTTGTTTGTTTATGTAGAATGCCACTGTTGAGTTGTCCGAATGGATCATCAATTTTGCGTTCCTTAGTACGTTGGACCAATGTAGTAGGGCATTTACTACTGCTTTCATCTCGAGCATGTTGATATGCAGATTCATTTCTTGTTTCGACCATTTCCCCGGCAACCACTTCGTTGTCGAGGTGTGCTCCCCAACTGTGCAGTGATGCGTCTGTGTAGAGGTGGACGTTGCACTCCGGCTTTATTAAGTAGTCCACCATAGTAGATATGGTTTTAGCCTGTCTGGTATTTCGAAGGGATCCAGACTGTGTAAGTGGGCGTTCACAAATCTCTGTAGTGGACGCAGTTGTAGTCTCCCTCTGCGTGTCATGTCTTGAGCTGACGTGAGGAGACCTAATAGGCTCTGCCATTCTCGTGGTGGTAACGGGAGAGAGTAGAACTTGAGAGATCATTTGTTGAATCTTGATCCAACGATCCTCTGGAATGAGAATGCGATTCTTCGTTGTTATGAGCCGTATTCCTAGGAATTGCAAGTCCTGAGTAGGCTGTAGTTCTGACTTGAGGAGATTTACTAGCCATCCTAGTTGAGTGAGAAGTCTGATGGTGAAGTTCAGTTGCAGCCTGAGTTGACTTGGATCTTGCTGAGCTTGAATCCCGTCGTCTAGGTAGAACGCACTGCGTAGACCTCGACGATGTAGATATATATTGATGGGCTTTGTCACTCGAGTAAACAACCAGGGGGCCGACAATATTCCAAATGGCAGGACCTTCCATTGGAAATGACGTCCGTTGAACAGGAATCGTAGATATTTCCTTGACTCCTGATGGATCGGGATGTGTAAGTATGCATCCTGTAAATCTATGCTGGCGAGATAATCTAGTGGACGTATGAGCTGTCGTAGCTGTGGAAGATGTATCATCTTGAACTTTGCGGGTGGTAGGAGGTAATCTTTGTTGAATTTCCTCATGTTGTAAATGAGTTGGAACTTTTCTTTTGAATTTTTCTTTGGTACCAGAAAAATTGGGGAGTAGAAGCCTGGTGTGACGCAGTGTTTTATCTCTTCTAATGCCTCTTTCTCTAGTAGAGATGTGATGGATTCTAGTAGATTTCCCTTCTGGTCTGCAGCAGAGTTGTGAACCATAGAGTTGATTGTTACTGGTGGTACTGCTTGTAGCTGTATCCTGTAACCTCTGCGTAGAATCTGAGATACGAAGTCGTCTTGAAGAATTCCCCAATTCTTCCAGTAGAGTTGCAGACGTCCACCCACTTGTGAGGGTTGTACTGGAATGGCTGGGGGTGGAAGACTCCAGTCATTCCGAACCTGTATTTCATCGTCTGGAACTTCTGGTGCCTCGAAAGGGCCGACCTCTTCCGTAGTTACCTCTTGGAGCTGCGGATGGGTGACGAAAAGAATCCTTATTTCCTTTAGCGTTGCCTGATTTCTTATCCCTTGCTCTCTGGATGCCTGCAAACTTCGAGTTGCCGGAATGATGTTGGGAGGTCTGACGTATTACACTGGCCAGTGTATCGATAGACTTGATCATCATTACTTCTCGGGAATCTTTAGCGACTTCCTTGGCGACTTTATCAATTTCTCCTGCAAAAATGTAGGGTGCTGACCAAGGGGCTCTGTAGAGTGTCTTGGTAAACTTCTCGCTCCAAGTACATGAAGATAACAGTCCTTGCCTTCTTGATAATGTTAAGCCTGCAGAAATGGATGATAGGTGTTCAGACATGAACTGATGATCCTCTTTTCTGTGTAAGTAGAGCTGAATAAATCATTCTATCTTCCTCTGAAGTTGAATTCTTAAACTTCGAGATGAAAGTCTCGTTGACAGCTCTTGACCTGGCTAGGCCGAAGAAGGTTCTAACTGTGCCAGCTATCTTCTATCTTGTAAGCTTTAGTCCGAGTGTCGTTGATGATCTTATAATTCTCATCTATCTCTGGGGCCTTCATGAAGGGTTCCATGTGGTGTAGAGAGAATTTCTTAGAGTTGAACGACGGAATACTCTGAGTCTGGTATTTAGTTGCCTTCTTGAAGGCTGTGCTGAGGTTGTCTGGAACGTCTAAGACTGGGTTGATAGGTGGCATCTTGAGTGAGTCTATATCATCATTCACCATCAAGTATGATAGTGCTTCGTTGGTCTCCTTAGAGGGTGATGCGAGTTCCAAACCGTTGGCCATCCATGACTTGATTTCCGAGTCGGAAAATATAATTCCCGCCGTCATCTTCCTGCTCTGAGGATGGATGTCTTCTATTGTCGTCTGAACGAGGAGATCTGTAAGGTGATCTGTAAGACGATCTGTGTGGTGACCTGCGTGGCGATCTGTAAGGCGACCTCCGTGGTGACCTTCGTGGCGAACCATACGTTCGTGAATGTGTTCGTGACATCCTACGTGGGGACCTGCGTGGAGATAGAGATGACCATGTGTGCCTTCGCGCGAACCTGCATGTTGGTGAATGGCTTTGTCGAGGGTTGGAGTCTTGTGACGAATCTCTATGCCTTCGTACGGATGTTGATTCTCTTCTCCTTGGTAACGAACCGTTGCGTGCAGGTTCATGACGAACGTCCGTATCTGATGTCGATGATGATCTGCGTGGGTTCGGCGAACGTCTGGTCCTTCCGTCGAACGTAGTTGGTGCTGAGTCCACGTTGGTATGGCTGCCAGGTATTCGTGCGGATGCTGTAGTCGAGCTGGAATTTTCCTGTATGCTCTGCAGGACGTTGGTTCCCAACGGACGTGGTGTGCTGCTCAGTTGACCTTCACTCGGGTTCGTCGCAGACGTCGTCTTCGCCGCAGCTCTCTGGCGTGCGAACCGTTGATCCATCAGATCCAACATCTGTTGGGTAAATTGCTGCAATAAAGGCGCCCGGGTTGAAGGTCTGCGTTGTCTGTTGTACTGACGACGCATCTGAGACGTCTTCGTCTTCTTCTTAGATGTGATCTCAGGGATGAGGATGGGCGGCTCATCGTAGACATCTATTTCTTCCAGAGGGACGATCTCAGCTGAAAAAGATCTCATCTTCTGGTTGCCCCATGTGGAGACTTCGCCGAAGTCTTAGCTGTAGCTGCCTTCTTCCGCTGGGAAGACGATGCCCTAGTCTTCTTCGACTGCGAAGAGGGTGTCTCAGATGTAGATGACCTCTTCCTCAAGCCAGCTGTGTCTAAGGCGGCAACCTCCTCCGTAGACGACCCCGGTAGACCACTGGAATGTTGTATCTGCGCAGACACCAACTGCCGGTCCTCTGCAAGCTTAGCCGGTTTAGACATGTCGTGTAATTCTCGTCTGGACCTGTCCTTTGCACGTCTAGACAGATAATATGAATATTTGTAAAATGCAATATCAGACAGGTGAAAACACAACTGACAACGAGTGTCAGATAAACATATAGGCTTGCAATTAGGACATAGGTTATGCGGATCAACAGCAGACAAACGATACCTACAATCAGAACAAGATTTCATCAACTGTAAACAATGTGAATAATCACGTAAAAACGTGACAAAAACGGAGAAATTGAAAATTAATTCCGTACAATATTGTAGGTAAATGTTAGCTAAAGCCTTATACAGCTAATTTAGAAGAAAAGCCTAAATAATAAAAGGATATAAAGCCGTATAGGGGACCAGGTGCTCTCACAACCGCCCACTCGGGCGAATCAGGAGAGAGTGAAGAGCATGGCAGACGGGTGGCGCCGTTCCTGCCAAAACCTGGCAAGGGAGGTGACTCCTGGTAAGTGATTTTACGTCCGCTTTTTTGAAGGGAGCTTCAAAAGGGGATTCAAGTGTTCAACTAGCATTCGGAAGGAAAGGGAGACAAGCAATATGCATGAGTCAGGATAAGGAAAAATAATATAAACAATTCTATATATACTTAGGATTATTATCTCCATTCCTTTCAATTATCTATCAAAAGCAGCTGCTTCTATTTTGATTCTTCGTCTTTCCACTCTGAACAACAAAGATCACCTTCTCGTCTCCAGTGACAAACAGTCTCCCTCTCCCGGGCTTGCTGAAGTGCGGATCAAGAGCAACGGCCTTGACAGGTCTATCAAAGGTCACACACTGGTTGTTTTCCGAAGCATACAGACCGGATATGATCACCTGACATATACAAGCATCTCAAATCACATGAATACAGTCCGGATATGATCACCTGTTAAAGACATATACAAGCATCTCAAATCACATGAATACAGTCCGGATATGATCACCTGTTAAAGACATATACAAGCATCTCAAATCACATACATAATCCTGTAATGACCTTTTGGGTTTGTTTTCATCTGACAACAATGTTTCTAATCTGACAATGTTCTATCTGACAACATTTCTATTCTTCTAATGACAGCTCTGACCACATTGCTCCCTATCTGACAACAATGTTCCCTTTCTCAAAATGGCAGCTGTATCTGAAAATATTGTTCCCTATATGATAATTACAGCTCAATCTAACAATAATGTTGTTAATCTGATAGCTCTGATAGCATTGTTCCCAACAGTAGTCTTATCTCTACAATATATGACAATAACAGCTCTATCTGACAACTATGTTCCCTTTATGACAATAACAGCTCTATCTGATAACAATGTTCCCTTTATGACAATAACAGCTCTATCTGACAACTATGTTCCCTTTATGACAATAACAGCTCTATCTGATAACAATGTTCCTTATATGACAACAATGTTCCCTTTATGACAACAGCTCTATCTGACAACAATGTTCCCTTTATGACAATAACAGCTCTATCTGATAACAATGTTCCTTTATGACAATAATAGCTCTATCTGACAACAATGTTCCCTTTATGACAATAACAGCTCTATCTGACAACAATCTTCCCTTTATGACAATAACAGCTCTATCTGACAACAATGTTCCCTTTATGACAATAACAGCTCTATCTGACAACAATCTTCCCCTTATGACAATAACAGCTCTATCTGACAATGTTCCCATTATGACAATAACAGCTCTATCTGACAACAATGTTCCCTTTAGGATAATTACAGCTCTATCTGACAACAATGTTCCCTTTATGACAATAACAGCTCTATCTGACAACAATCTTCCCTTTATGACAATAACAGCTCTATCTGACTACAATGTTCACTTTTAGACAATGACAGCTCTATATATCAGCTCTGACAACAAAGCTCCTGACAGTTTGATCTCCACAGTAACTGACAATGGTAGGCATCAACAATGTATTTACCTTGCCATCATCCGAGCAGCTGGCGACATAGTCTCCCTTGTAATCAATGCTGATCTGGTTGATAGTTGTTGTGTGCTGGATGGGACGATATATATCAATGCATAACAAATCTATCAACACTGGCCAATATTGTTGACAGAATCCTACATTCAAGTCTTATAAGGGAGGTTTGGCAATTCGTGCGATGCTATCACTTCAATGCAGACATAAAACAGACTAAGAACATCAGAACAGATTTTTTCTGTTTTAAGTAGTTGTGCCGCAGGGTTGTGTAGTTTAACTGTTGCAGATTTGGTTGACATTGATGTATCAGAAAGTTATATCCCCGGCATTGTATTACTTGAATTTCACCACTGAAACATTTCACTCTGAGATATGTCATGAATCTGCATAATAGCAGCCAGTGAGCCTAGTTTATAGCATCACCTTCAGTAGACATTAATGCTAATAACTGGATGAGAATTACCACCCACACACCCACACACACCCCCTCCACAATACAGAAAGGTTAGTCAGGTGCCTGGGGTAACTGCTGTATATCGCCGCATACAAGGCGAGTTTTTCCTAGCTAGAATTAGATGGGTTTGAAGGGCAGTGACCTTACACATAGAAGATCTCACATTTTGTTCTGCCTGGTGATGTCAATGGGTGTCCAATAACCAGTAACGTTGTTTGACATTAAAACTAAACATTTCATTCAAAATTACTGTTCTAAGAACTACTTTGGTAGAAAACATGGGTTCCTTGTTCATACTATATATTCTGCAAATACAGATAAAATAAGCCTCGCCTCGATTACGATTGCCCAGCCCGCTGACATGGTAAGAAAACCCTGTCTCTGATGATGTGCTTCTTCAAGGTCACGTTATAGACGGAGTATAGAAATTAGTGTTGATTTTGAAGCTTTGTACAAGGGTGGTGCCTTACACGTGGGATCGCTTTATACACGGCGATATACAGTATGTGATATATGCATATATAATAATGGCACGTATCACTAAAGTAAACCATGACGTAACAAAATCTGTGAATGTACCAACAATTCTCAACCCAGGCACTTTTATGAAATAAGCTTACAAAGACCAAACAGTGCCACTAATGATCTTCCGACTGATAGTTAACATGGCTAAAGTCACTGACAGTTGTAAGACTGTGTCATAAAGAGTGCGACATACTGCATTAAGTTCCTTGCTCTTGATGTCATTGCCGCTGTGGTCAAGGATGTGGATCACTCCCCAGTGAGTCCCTAGAGCCAAGAACTGCAACAGATGGGGTTACATCGTGGAATACATGTCTACTTTCAAAAACTAAAACATTCCCAAAGGGGGCCATAAATTGTCTAAATTGGTGAATAGTATTCAATATTTGGGAGTTTTTAAAACTTTTGCTGTAGAATTTGTTAATTATTGCCTGGTTTAATTGAGTGAACATGTATTGTCTACCTTTGGATGTACAGCCATGCAGCTGGCTGCATCTTTATTGAATATCCCTGTCAGATCGTTGCCAATTCTCTCATACTTCAGCTTGGGTTCAACCTGTACAAATGGAAACATGGAAACCCATGATACAATTTAGAGTGTCATTATTCACTTCTGACTTCTGTCTGTCAGACGTGAGTCTCATTTTAGTTTTTTCTTACTCCAACATAACACACATTTGGACAAAGATTTCTTCACATTGCAAGATGTTTACAGAGACAAGTTTTTATGTTTCTTAGTAGAATAATTGCTTTACAATCATGTTTATTTCATATGTTAAAATCTGCTCTTATATATCCATGTAACATAACTTACATAATGACATGTCAAATATTTTGGGAATACAGCTAAAATTCACTGGAACTGATAAACAGCAAATCCTTAAACAGCTAACATTGCAGGTACTTAGACTATTTTCTCAGACATGTTAGATTTATTATTAGTAGTAATTATTGTTACTTTGTTTCACAGATTATTTAGCATTACCGAATCTTCATCATCATCATCTTCATCATCATCGTCGTCGTCATCATCATCATCATCGTCATAATCATCAACAGCTTCAACCTTCTCAACCTTCTGTAAACACACATTATTAGTTTATTGTAAAACCATAAGCATAAGGGCAAACAATAATAAAGGTTTCCACATTGTTGCTTATCAAATGATAAAAATGTACTAATGTTAAAGTTATAACTCATTGGTCACTAGATAAAAAATACTTTAGATAGTAGTGTTGAGTAACATAAATAAAGGTATCTTATTATGCTGACAGTTGAATGGTGTGAAATGTCTTTTTACTTTTGAGCTATAGACAGAAAATGCCAAGCATAGCATGGGTAAGCTGCAAACTCCATGACGTGTTTGGTTGTTGGTTTGTTGTTTAACACTGCACTCAGCAATATTCCAGCTATATAATATGGTGTCGGTCTGAAAATAATCAAGCTTGGACCAAACAATCCAGTGATCAACAGCATGAGCATCGATCTCCACAATTGATTTACGATGACATGTGTCAACCAAGTCAGTTTGCCTGACCACTCAACCCATTAGTCACTTCTTACGACAAGCATGGTACTGACCAATTTACTGGTACTGGGCACACAAGAATGCAGTTTATAGGATCCTCTGATCTAGCGATCTTAGCGCTACGATGATCGTAAGCCAATGTTAATAATATGGGAGTTACGATCACCTTAGCACTAAGTCTAAGATAGCTTCGTGCATGTGGACCCTGATTTCCGGTTTCTGTCAAAGCAAGTTTCAAGTTTGGCTATAAAGAATCGGTTAGTATCCCATATTTTAAAAACCACATATCTCTGTGGGTGATCTTAGGCTCAGGTTATCAATACTACACAGGTCAATGTCTGCGAATCAGAAAAGCCTAAAGACATGAAAACATCGTACCCCCAATTTTGCTTCCGAGGGAGTCGCCATTTTGAATAAGATGTATCACATGACACAAATTATTTTTGTTTACGTTTTCTCTTTGGGCGTAATATACGTTTTATTTGCTTTAAATTGATGGGAAGGCAGACCATCACCTATAATCCAGCAACTATTTGTGTAAGAAGTCTATATTATTGAAAGTAGATATTAAAAATTAAGGGAACTATATCCTGCAATGTGAGAAGTTATTATGTGTTGACAGCTTGTAGCTGTAAAGTATCTTTCTTCATATCACTGTAGAATAGGTGCCCATTATTATAGTAAAAATATGATTATAATATTAATCTCTGGTTGTATCTGAACCGACATAACCCCATGTTTTCATCTTTGCTGATTTTTCAAACACTACTCAAGAGCTGCTCCCTAAATTTGGAAAATTGAAGTGTGCTATTTTCCTAACGAATAGTCCCATTGGCAGTAGTCTGTTGACTCTTATGACAACAAGTGAACAATTATTACTGCACTGAAAGTGCTTATATTCTTCAGTGATATTTTACACAATTATACACTGTTTATGTTACGTTTCTCAAGACAGAGATCAAACTTGAAAACTGTAATCAAGGGCCTTGCTCGTAAGATTCAGAAAGGTTTCGAGTAAATCCCATCCTGAACTGATAAATTAATATAGAAGTTATTGTATGAACAAACCGCAGCAGATACAATCTAAGCATGGCAAAATATATTCTGGTGTGATGCAGGTGAGATTCTGCACATGATCGATAACCACTTAAAGGTTATCCCCTTTTTGACAATTTACTTTCACAACATATCATATTTGGTTTGTCAACACCAAACCCAAGCTCGTGGGTCTCATCCAAGTTGCAAATATCTAACACCTACTTCACTTCGGTCTTTCTTTCACAATACTCAAGGTGGACACGTCGCCATTAAGTTCAAGGCAATATTAAACCTCACTCATTCAAACGTAATCGTAGAAGAAAACGAATAAAACTGAATATTTCACAGGATACGAGTGGGAATCTGTAACGAAAAACTCATTAATATTCTATATTTATATTATTTAATTTGTTATCCATCGCGCAGGAGTGGAGGAGTGAGTGAATGAGTTTAGTTTCACGCCGCTTTTAGAAATATTCCAGCAATATCACGGCCGAGGTCACCAGAAATGGACTTCATGCATTGTACCACGTGGGGAATCGAACATGGGTCTTCGGCGTGACGAGCGAACGCCTTAACTGCTCGTCTGTCCCCAGCCTCCATCATAAAGGTGATTAAAGACGGAAAGGTCATTTTGAGGTCAGCCTACTGTGTCTGAGTGTGGTATACCTGTGAAACTGCTGTATGTAAGATCTCGGGGCGGGGACTAGTAACCAGACACATGTCTGGATTAGTGGAAACAAACAAAACACACACACACACACACACACACACACACACACACACACACACACACATCACACACACACACATCACACACACATCACACACACACACACACACATATCACACACACATCACACACACATCACACACACCACCACCACCACACACACACATTCCTATAACTTATATTTTAGATTTCAACAGCTGATGTAAAGATATCTTTACAGTCCAGTGACGGTCAGAGTGGAAGATATATTGAATTTAATTAAAGATACCTCACATTGAATTAAAGACATCTTTAGTGAATTAATGACATATGTAGTGCGTATGTGATTATGTATTAAATATTTCAAGGTATCTTGAATTGAATTTAATGCATCTTGAATTAATTTCTTACGCGAGTGTGTACAATATGATGGTAAATGTTTTATATATGTTATACACATTTTAAAGATTTCACGAAATGGTTTTTCGATATCTCAGTAACATTTTAAGATATCGGCAATTCTATTTTGAATATCAGAAATAAATTAGAGTTATCGTCAAATCAGCTTGAAAATATTACTGATATCTTCAAATATAATACAGATTTCTTTATAAAAACTGAAGATATCCGCAATTTCTTAATGAATGTGAAAAGGGTTTGCCATACGCACGCAAATACACATACACACTCGCGAATGCATAACTGCGTCAATATTGAATGCATCAAATGTCCAACTTATTATTTCGACTTTTACATCGTATTGGAAAAGTACATATGTATAAATACAAAATAAGAAGACAAAATATATACCCGTGAAGGTCCGGGTTAGAATTGATCTTCAGTAACCCATGCTTGTCGTAAGAGGCGACTAACGGGATCGGGTGGTCAGGCTCATTGGCTTGGTTGACACATGTCATCGGTTACCAGTTGCGCAGATCGATGCTCGTGCTGTTGATCACTGGATTTTCTGGTCCAGACTCGATTATTTACAGACCGCCTCCATATAGCTGGAATATTGCTGAGTGCGGCGTAAAACTACACTCACTCGCTCACTCTTCTTGAATGTCAGTTATGCGTTTTGTTAAAGAACATCCTAATAAAATGTGGATTGGGTGGTCACAATGTGTGTCTGACTGGAGGTTTGTGTTATCAATCACTGGATTGACCATACATGGCGTCTTTATAATATTATGATCGTAATTACTGCGGCATAAAACAACATGGTTACAGGCACATTATATATGTGGGTAACCAAGTTCCGATCTTTGCCACCATGAGCTTTAACTACTTGGCTACCTCACAACATCGTGAGGTCGCTGTGAGTCTTTAGAAGCATGTCTTACCTGTGAAGATCCGGGTTAGAATTGATCTTCAGTAACCCGTGCTTGTCGTAAGACGCGACTAACGGGATTGGGTGGTCAGACTGGCTGACTTGGTTGACACATGTCATCGTATCCCAGTTGCATAGACCGATGCTCATGCTGTTTGTTCACTGGATGGTTTGGTCCAGACTCGATTATTTATAGACTGCCGTCATATAGCTGGAAAATGGCTGAGTGCGGCGTTAAACAACAACACACAAAATAAAAGCACGTCCAGCCAAAAAGACCAAAAACAGCATCAGGATTTGTTTTAAATGTCAGACGAGACAATTGCATCGTGTAATCAGAAAATTGATAGATTTGTTTTGTAGGTGTAGATTCGTATATGCATGTACATATAAGTGAGTGAGTTTAGTTTTACTCTGCAATATTCCAGCTATATGGAGACGGTCTGTAAATAATCGAGTCTGGACCAGACAATCCAGTGATCAACATTTGCAGTGAGGGCTAGGCTGTAGGGAAAATTATATGGTTCAGGGACTGTGAGACAGACTAAAAAAAGTAACACTTCCACTCGTATAAGTCAGAGATCGACAACATTATTCCATAATGATAATGCAGGGCTCCAAACGGCGTCGTGTACCAAGAAATTGTTAGTCAGGAAAATGGTGAGACATGCATCAAGACCACAGCTGCACCAAACTGTCCAAATACATAATGACGACATTTCTATCCATGTTAATCCCGTGCGAGTCATTACGTCATCAAAGTGTAATGGCCGAAGTCTTCTGTGCACAACCATCCGATCCACATTCTCCTGGGTTCACCCAATTCACATTTCCATGAGACCATCTCATCCACATTCTCATCCAGCGATTCTATCCACATTCCCGTGAGACCTCCCGTTTCACATCGCCGTCTGACGACATGTCCCATACTACCGTGGGACCACATGATCCACAATTCTAGTGTAGCCATCCAATCCACATTGCCGGTGATATACCGGAAGCATCTGATCCACACCCTCGTGGGACTGCCCCATCCACATTCCTATGGGACCTCCAGATCCACTCTCGTGGCACCCGGATTTAGTCCACGCTTAATTATAAACCGGAAGAAAAACTTTTAATGCAACATTTTGCTATTATGGCAATCTTTGTTACGTTTAGTATTTTTATATTTAAAGGAACGACTGCTGCTTTATAAGCAGTCTCGACACATAACGTTTTCATCTAGATTTAGCATAAACATCCCTGTATTAGCTTTCATCATGAATGTATACATTTGCATAATTTATGCTAACTGATGAGGCAATAATTGAAAACTAGAATATATTATAATTGATGGCTAGAACATATAATATTGAATGTGTCGGGCAGGTGCACATAATTACTTAAAAATGTAACTAAAGAAATCAATATCATTTATGACATGACACGTCTAGGTCATCGGTTGTTTATGCACCCAAGTCAGAAAGAGTTCTCACAAATATGTTTCATTCTTATTTTAATCCATACAATCGTTTCATACTATATACCGCCTTGTTTATAAACATAGAATAACTTTCATAATCTTTGTATTATGCTAATGAAATCGACCATAAACTAGTTCAAACAGGAGCATTTCCTTATAAGAATAAAAATACGAACAAGCCGTCCCTATATGTCCAACAGACGCCTACAATTGCATACATAATTAGTCGTGAAGAATATAGCATTTAGCAGGTACCCACTATTAGTTCAACCTTGTGCCCAAAAATAGAAATTCCCGGTCGCATTCGACTTGCCATTGTTTGGCAAATCCAATTCTCGGCGTAGAGCTTCTGGAGGTAGGTGGGACATCTAATATTTATTTATGACGAATTATCATTAACATAATTTATTAACATGCACATGTGCTTAGGTGCATTGTCAGTCGGCGTATTTCTAGGGATGGCATTTATTTAGACGACATCGTTACCTTTCCTGATACATCTTTATTTCGCAGTTTGTCGGAAAATTTGGCAAATTTCGCTGAGGAATTTCGAATATTTGGTGAGTTGTATAAATTTTAATATCTGGCGCATGTACATAAGATGGTGTAGTATTATCATAATTTATTGTGTGCGGTATTTCAACATGCTTCCTACCGTCGCATCACGATCGTTTTGGCCTGTCCGGGGCCAGAGAATGCATTTTGTCTTTGGATCCATCTTTTCGAATTTACCAGTGTGATCTACAGACAATATACACCGGCTTCGTACGCATATATCACTGTTGATTGACAACTTGTTTATTTCTGACTGCGGCAAGCCGGCCATGTGCTTTTATCAATCTGACAGCAGTTTGTTTACTAGTATTATCATAATTTATTGTTAATTATTATGAAAAGTGCATCCAAATTGCAATTAGACTAAGGTGTAGTAATACATTTTATATAAATTTTAGTGACTTTTGAGTTGGTTTTGAACATTTGTTAAATTGAAAATTTATCTGTTTGTTTTTGTAACCAATTTAACAGTTTCAAATTTGTTAATTGTTTTTGCTTAGATGAAGAATTTTGAAATAAAAACTTAAAACAGACTATATTCAGAATGAATAATTCATATTGTTATGACTGACAGTTGAGTTAGCAGAAGTATTATTAAATAGGGAGACTTTGTCAGTGTGATCAATTTGTTTGTTTCAGTTGAATAAATGTATTTAATTGCAATCAAATATTTCAATAGAAAACTTCAGAGAGCATAATAAAGCTAATTTTTGTTGACAAACACAGTAAACTATTGTCCAGCAGGAAATTCTTTAAAGATAATAAATAATAAAAAATGAAATAATACAGTTATTTAAAAGAAATTTGTGTAGAACAATTATGAGCATATAAAAATGATTAATGTTTGAAAAAAAACAATTAAAAATACTTCTGTTCCTCATAACTATGAGATTTGCATTGTCAACAAGCATGCAATACGATGATAAGAAAGTAAATGTTTTGCTAGTCATTAATAAAAAGATAAGGTTTATTGACCAAAATGACTCTAAAAATCAAATTTGTTGTTTTGCTGTTGTTCTTTAATTTCATTGAGAAACACAAGGGTGGCATAATAAGGATATTGTCTTGCAAATTGGAGTTTAATTTCCCTCAGGGGCACCATTTGTGAAGCCCATTCACAGAATCCCCTGTTGTGAATGTTCTAGAATATTGCTATAAGCATCATATAACTTTACTCAGCCACTGACAGAAAAAAGTTCAGCCGTTGTCAGGAGCAGTACAACGATTACTCATAACTTGTCATAAACAATGAACAAATACAGTTTTTATGTGGGGAACATATATGTTTGTGTGAGAGTGAATTAATGTTTGTTCCATGTTTGTTTTTATTCTTGCTTATTGATCAAATACATTTCATTTTTAATGAAACATTCATCTGGCAAGTACATTTTCTTATCTTGATTATTCAAACCTCAAATACTACTTGCATGTTAACTTATTATTATTTCTACAGTTGAGGTAGAAAACATTGAGACTACTATACCAATCATGGGGCTTATCATCGTTTATGTTGGATATCAGTGTTTTCAAATGGATTACCATTTGCTGAGCTTACAGAACAGATTTTTACTAGACTGGGGCTTCAGACAAGCAACTAAAATCACAATTTCAGTAATGATTCACCAATCCAGTGCGAGTGAAGTACTTCAGCCTACCAATCCAAATTTGTCTTTTAGCCGGATTTTCAAAAAGATTTTAGTCAAAATCACATGGTAAGTTTGTCTGGACTAGAATCACCATATTCAAACTTGGGCTGCTTTTTGCAAAAGTTACAATGTATCTCACATCACAAGGTGTTAAATATGCAAACATGTATCGTAATGCAAGTAAGGTACGCAATAGCCTCACAAAGAAAACAAAAATACCAATTTAAGTATGTAACCTGAAAGAATCTGTAAAAATACAAATATGGGCTGGATTGATTGATCATATGATCTGTGAATATGCAGAAATAGAGGAACGTTATTTACGCTGCCCCATGTTTACAACACAGACGTCTGCATATTACAATCTCACTACTGAACACGTAATATTAACAATGAGATTTTGATTCATTCATGCACTTGTGTCAGTTATTCAGTGAAACGTCTATCATGGTTTCAAATATTCAAATACATATTCAAGATCGGAATCCATTCTTTTAGTGAAGTCAGTGATTCTGTTCAGTACGAATCAAGTGTAATTGGAACAAATGTTTCTTGAATACACAGTGCCATTTAGAAAGTGGTCAAATGTAACCTGTGTTATATTTGGGATTACACTTTCTCAGTAAAGTTCAGATTCTAGTACTTTGTTGGGTTGAGTCCCATCCAGGATTCAAACCCACACTCTCACTGTCAGGCACCTAATCGCCAGCACATCTTATGTATGTTTGTGGTTGCCATTTTCAGGGTAATAAATTAACATAAATGTGCGAGTTGGAGATTAGTAAACCTCATAAAAAACTTGTCAAACATACTTGTGAACTACTAGTTTACTGTTAACGTGATTGATGATGATGATTTGGAGATTTAGTGTGCGCTTTCCGACATAATGCGTGTTTCACACACGGCAACTATTGCACAGTAGTGTCGTAAGTAGACATTTTTTTACTTGACCTGGCCATTTCAATGTAACAATGACACAACTGCCGATCTTTAAATTTACGTCTTGTCAAATCAAACAGGTGCCCTCTGTCGACTGGATACTAGTGTTGGGAATTGGTTGAAATCTCACAATGATGATTGCTTCATAAGCAACGAACAATCATTGAAAAAAATTGGTTAGCGTCATTTTTTAGATTTTCCTATCCAGGTTGTTATTGCAGATATGTATAACATGATGCAACTTGCTACTTTAAAGTGATGACTGATATATCATGAACATTAACTTCCCGGAGTCTTAGAGAAATATTTTCAGATAGTGAAGTGAATAAACACGTTTTCAGGCCCTGACAACTTCTAAGATATGTTCCATTGTCAAGTATTTCAAAGACTAAAAGAGTAGTTCCAAAATTGTTTATGTTCGATTATGAGAAAATGTGATCGATTGCTTGGTCGTTTGGTCACTGCGACCAATCTTCGATTATTTCAATTAATCGGAACACCACTACTGGATACACATCAAATTGTTTGTTACATAGATTCAATAGTCTTAAAAACAGGCACCTGTTTCAGTCTGTAGATGTTTCAGCTGTAACGCGATATACATGGTTTTGTAACTGTGTTTTGTGTTTGATGGTTATATGTCAAGTTGAGTGCTGCTTTCTGTCAAATGTTTTTGTTTGAATGTTCGTCTTATATTTTCATTTTTTCACCAGAGTTCCCCACTTTGGATGACAGGCAACAAAATCTGAACTACTGCTCAAGGCAATATCAAACATTGTTCATTTATAAACATAATCAAACAGTCTTTGTCTGAAGTATGATAGGCAATAGTATTAATAAATGATGATGATGATGATGATGATGATTTGGAGATTTGGAGATTTAACATGCGCTTTCCGACATAATGCGATTAATGATTTCTCACACGGAATTCATCTTAATTTAATATTTCGGCAGAATACATATCCAAAACGGAATATTGTCAACTGAGTTACTTTAATCCCTTTTTGTTGTTTTATCTCAAAATAACCATCATGCTGAAGTATTCGTGTCAAAAAACGGATTTTTTCACGCAGATATAAACAGGTAGATTATATTGGGCTTTACCCACTATTGCAGACTAACATCTAGTCTCTGAAGTGAACATATTTTACAGAAATCTCTTTTCATAAAAATGATTATACGATATAATGAAAAGGCGCCCAAACAGCTTCTCCAGACTTGCCACATATTCTAGACTTGCATGGGCTTTCTTGGATATTTGTTTCAGGGTCTGTATGACAGATTACAATTTTTCAATCACAATGACCAGAGATTACCACAACATGTAATTGCTGACCACCTGTCAGTGTGGACATGAAGCATGATGGACAAAGACATGTGGGGGCAGGCCAGATGACCCCTGGGGTGGGGCTGTGAAGGTGTCTGTGATCACTCAGCCGGAACTATTTTTGATGTATGTGTAATCAGACAGCGAGACAATTAACACCTTGTTGGCTGTCTCCTGTTGTGATTACGTGTAAGTGTGACATGGGTAAATGGAAGGATGGATTGGATGGTGAATGAAGGATTAATTTGTTCTGAATGAATGAATGAATTTGTTGTGCTTAGAGTGTTACAGATCAACCATAATCTGAGAATATATAACTGACATCATCGTTGTTGACTCTGCTTAGTGGCTTGACTAGAGAAAGGGTGGTTAAAGGCAGAGTTGTGTCCCTTCAGTAGACCAGAATCCTATAATTGTCGGTTAGAATTCCTTATTTGTCGACCGCCTCCGTAGTGTAGTGGTTAGAGCGTCCGCCTGGAGAGTGGAAGGTCGCGGGTTCGATCCCCGACTGCGTCATACCAAAAGACGTTAAAATATGGTACTTGTTGGTCCCTGCCTGGCGTTCGGCATTAATGGGTACAACAAGGACTGGTCGGCTCAGAGTCAGTATAATGTGTCTGAGTGGGGTATTCATGCTTCACTGCGGCATGATATCTCAGTGGGCTAGCACTATAAAACCAGCTTCAGTCTGGGCTAGTACAAGCAGCCGCACATACACATACACGCGCATGCACGTCGTCATAGGAGCAAAATATTCTCAAGCACAATGTAAAACCCAATTTCACCTCACCTCACCTCACCTTATTTGTCTGATTAGGATGATCCAGATTTACAGGTAATAGATTCCCATAAACTCGGGGGTAGTGGGTGGGGGTGAAGGGGATGGGTACGGTAGCATAGTGGTTACAGCTTTTGCTTTCCATGTCATACATCTGGGTTTGATTCCCCAATTTTGGTGTTTCCTGACGCAATATTGCTGGAATATTGCTAAAAGCGGCGTAACTCACTCACTCATAATCTTGGATACTCAGTGTAGCCATGAGACAGCTCTATGACTTAATCCTTTGATAATATGTTTTAAAAAACCCAA